CTGCGATCACTTGAATCGCCTCTGAACTATCTACAACAGCTTCAGGCAAGGTAATAGAGGGAAGAGAAAGATTCAAGATACAATTGAGAATGCCACTAGCATGTTGAAAATGATAAACATAGCAGGTGTTATTCATTCCCATTGGAAGAGAAGGAGAAAAAAAAGATCATCGTACGTTGAATGATTAGTTACATTGAAACTCATCAGATTTCTTTATTGAATTTGTTATTTGATTCTTTGCTTATGTTTTGCAGAATATCGTAATTTAAAAATGAAATTTTCAAATAATAATCCTCGATATCAACGACCGATTGTTACATCTGATACTGCACAAAAGCGTCTGGTTAATCAGGCAAACACAAATAACATTACTCATGCTACTGACAGCAATATCTACTCAACATCGACAGTAGCTGAAGGTGTGTTTTTACACTTTTTCTTCTTTTGTTCCATATGGATACGGCTTATTAACAGATAGAGAAATTTCGAGCCGTTCTCCGATTCACCTCATTGATAGTTCATACTGTTCATGCCGCTCGTTTAATGTCACCTTCATTTGTTGGGTTAGCACTTGAACGACAAGCGGTGTGCAATTATGCATACATAATTGACAATTGACTATGTAGATATACGAACGTGCGAAGCGCATTTACTTGTTTCTATCGAATCGCTAATGAATGAAAGTGTCTCGTTTAGATTACTGTCGAGATTTTGGTCCAGCATCATCTGTGTTTCTATTTGCCTATCGTGGTAGTTGTTATTCGCTAACTAATCAAGCTGTAACGTGGTCACAAGCTGATGATCTATGTGAAAATCATTTCCATAGTAGTACTAACAAGAATCAAGCTGGTTTAGCTTTGTTCGAAGATGAAAATGAATTTGATTACATTCGACAAATTCTCGGAGATTTTAATCGATCAGCTACGGAATTCGGAGCTTACATCGGTTTCAGCTATCAAAATCGTAAGTTAATATTCGAATTTTAATCTTTATTCAGCTCGTTTATTTCTCAGACTCATGGCTATGGTCAAATGGACGAAAAGTAAATTTTCTCGAAACACCACCGAGTGTCATTGCTGCGAATAACATTATTTTTCCATACGAACAACAAAAGCCATGTGGCAAAGTCGAATTATTACGACCGAATGACACAACAGTTCTGTTTGGTTTAATGCAACAAGAATGCACGAAAACTGAACGTGCCCTTTGTAAAATAAGTACGTATGACTTATTCGCATTGATCTTTTCTACAACGGTTTGTTTTGATTCAGAAGTCGATCATTGCTTTGAAAATGATCAATGTGGAATCCATGGCGTATGCAAAAATGATGTTGGGACATTTCATTGCGAATGCACTTTTCTCTACGACGGAGTTTATTGTGATACATGTACGTATGATCAGAAATGATGAGAAAGAGAATTCACACTGATTTGACGGTCTCTATTGTAGATAGTTCGGAGGCGATTCAAGTGATCGCAGCTAGCCTATTTATCACAATAGCTTGTATGATTATTTGTTTATGTAAACGTTCACAAAAATACAAAGCTAACCGTCGAAGAAGACAAACACAACGAAGAAACGAGCACAAGTAAGATATTGATCTTTTTTGTCTGTAACTAAATCTATAATTGAATCTTCTTTATCCATTGTGAAGAAATTAATTTACATTCTCTCTTGCCTTTATTTAGTGCTAATTATCTCTCTGACGGCTCATCAAATTGTTTATTTCGAAGTCTCTACAAGAAATTCATGTCTTTGTTTACTTCATCGAAATCACCACGTTCTGAATACAAAAAGTCGGGAATTCCACCGCCATTGCCTATCTCTCGTCCGCCTCAAGCTAAAGTACCCAAACGCCATCGTCCAAAACCAAACATGGATGGTTTACTCACCTTGGCTCAATCGTTCATCACAGTTGCTGTCGCATTGATTTCCCTCGTTTATATCAGCGTTCAACGAACAAGTTCGATTTATATTGAACAATCGTCAAACAACCAATCAAGCAAACCTTACCTATGTCGAATAATTGGCACTGCAAATTCCAATCAAAACATCCTTATGTTACCATTTTCACTGCTTCTCACACTATTACTTTTTCTTATTCATACAACGATGAATTTGGATAGAAAGAAATCTTTTTGTCAGAATTTATCATTTCCCATCATTGTCAATCCATTTCAAAAAGCCAATCGTTTTCACACAGTTATTGTATTCGCGATTATCTCCAATCAGTTAATCACATTATTATACGAGATCTTATTTTCATCAAGTTTAAATCTACATCATGGTATTCTATTCGATTTAGTCCGTCGTCTTGGCTTGATTATTCTCTACGGTTCACGTTATTTTCCAATTTTATTAGCATTAAATATTCCATCGTTTCTAGCCACATTTATCACATCGATATTTTTAACATTTGACCTCTATCTATCCGTTTATTTCGAAGCCAACTGTGTGGGAACATTAATGTCGTTGGTTAGCCTTGAAACTCGTGCACAGATTGAAACAACACGAATATTCTACTTAGTCATGAAGTTTCTTCCACACTACGTCGCACTCGGACATATCATCGGAAGATTTTATGCACTAACGCTACGAAATTTGCTCATTCTTTGCAAAGGTAAGCATGCAAACCATACGATTGTCGTTATATATTGTTTTCTTTCGCAGGTAACAGCGATCGGTTGAACTCATCCACGAGTTCGACTTACCACACAACATCTATCGAATACGATGATGACTGGTACTATACAAAAAGCTTATTGATTAACAAAAAACGTCGACAATCATGTTCGAATTACTATTTCTATACTCAAACGTTGTATGAAGAAAGTAATTGTTGTAATTTGATTAATTTATTTTACAAACCACGAGCATATTTTCGTTTTTCATTATTGGTCTTATTTACCTATACAGTCTCATTTCTTGTGCTGTATTATCTGACATGTTTGGTCATTTTTTCCAGCACATTTACACTGAAGATTGTCATGACATTAACCGGAAATGTTTTAATTAAGTTAATTAATCTGACAAACTTGAATTTCTCATTGAAATCATTCGAAAACTTCTCATTTCAACGTGAGATCTACATTTCGAGTTTATTATCCTTCTTTATCTATATGATCCAATTGTTTCTTGGCTTGAAGAAGTATCAAATGGATATGTTAAATTATTATCGAGGCAAATACAATAAAAAGCAACGAGATCTAATCTCATCATCATGTATCCTTCAACGATCCTTTCATTATTCCGGCTATCAAGTCGGCTATCTCGCCTATGGATTCGTTATTATTAACTATGCACTATTTATTGTCTGTTTGATATGTAAAATTCTCTTTATTCATCCATTATTAGTCAAAATCGTGTTGAAAGTTTTGGCACCATTGGTTATTTTATTTGCTTTGAAGCATATCATTGTTTACTGTTTAACAAAATTCTTTTTCTTGCGAATTATACGATCACACAGAAATCTACGACAAAGTGTCGAACAAAACCGACGTCATCAACAAGATATCTATAATGAACGACAAGGTAAGAAAAGAACCACTATAATTCACTGATCGTTATATTCGGAACGCTTTGATTTAGATCAAGCCATCTATGTCGATTCCTCAAACTCTTCGACCTCATCACCTGATGATGAGTACGAAGACGAATCTCAATTATTCACACTAGAAAATCGTCATGCATATTTCTTATTTGTTTATTTCAATTTCTTCTTCGATTGTTTCCTTGGAATTTTCTCGTGCATACTACGCCTGTTCAAATCGTCGATTGCTTTGATACTCTACATGCCCAGACTCGATTATAGTATATTCGGGCGAAGTTTAGAGGGCATCGACAATGGTTATACAGCGTATACATCGTATATTTATGTTGAAGCAATACATACGCATCCGATTTTGATCGCATTTACACAAATTATTTATATGGATATATTGGATAAACGACGGCGAGAACGGCAATTTTTAGCTATTGACGAAAAACAAATTCTTGAACAGCAGAGAAGAAAAGCGATCCGTTTTCGATGGTTTTTATCGATCACATTGATGAACAACTTATCGTTGATATCAACTCGACGACATCATCGAAAACTGATCAATAACAATTCGAAAATGAATCAGCGGACATTATCTGATTCGTCATTGTCTAATCGAACGATTACAATTGATATGTGCCAGTGAAGAAATACATTAATTTATACAGAAACCAAAACGAACAGTCGCCTTCTTTTTTTTTTCTTCTGGATGTTGTTATATGTACATGATTGTTGTTATAGTTTGTCTTTTTTCTTCTTTTAAAAAATAGATTTTCAGCATTCCGAAAGAAGTTCTTCTTGAATAGCAACCAAGTCACGGAGGATCTTTGCTCTTGACATTCATTGGTTTCTTGTATTGAACAATAAAATGTTGTGGTAGGACTTGTCGATGATTTTTGTGACATGTGATTAGTTTATAGAATTCACGTTGAAAGTCACCGAAGGTAATCAGATACAACGGAAATGATGTGATGTGATACGTATAAAGAAGACTGTCGAGAAAAGCTAAAAGTGCTGAGTTGGCCGTGGAGAAGAATGCAAAAGCGATCGTTGCTGGTACAGTCATCACTAAGAAGAGAAATGTGGTGATAATCAAAGTGACCGATACCGATCGACGTTGAATGACATTGATGTTATATAGATGAGACAAGTAATAGATCACCCCACTATTGAATAGAACCATGAATATGAACGGTAGGCAATTATAAAAGCCTAAGTTGATGTAATCCCATAAGGGATAGACTTTGAACGACGGAGAAAGAACACTAATGGTACCGTTTGTGTTGTACGAGCAGCCGAGGATAAAGAATTGACAATTCAGTACAGCAATGAAGGAGAGAAGACATGTAATGATGATGACAATATTTTTCGAACTGCTGAGCCATGTCTCATGTGGTCGACTAACAATGAAATATCGATCGATACAGGCAAAAACTCGTAACCATGCCGATGACTGAGGAGCAAAGTAATTAAGAAAAGACATTAATCGACAGACTGGTATCGATAATCTTTGTATAGTGAATCCTTGTATGGCCGACAGGTAATGATCGAGATTCCATCCATATAACATTAAAATATCGAAAACTACGATCACTCTCATATAATAGATCGTTGGTTTTAGTTTTCGATGTCGAAATACTGGTCGAAGTAGAATGATCAATGTTAACAAATTCATCGTTGTACCAACAACGACGAGAAATAACGAATAATATGCAGCAATACTCTGTACCGTCATAATAGAATATATAATGGTCTAAGGATCGGCAAATGAGTATATATTTCACAAAAAGACAATAACATCACCATTCTACTTAATGAACGTCTGATACAATGTCATCCAACATTAAATCTTCAGCAATTAAAAAAGATATTATACGTTCGGGCTGGAATATGGTATGAAGCAGCCAATAATATCATAATTCAGATTACTTTTTTTTTATTACATGTTCGAGTGTATTTTACAGAGCATCATTCTACAATCTCTTGTAATTATTTGTGAATCATTTTATTCGCGTTCAAGGTAATTACAAATAAAAGATTAGTGAAATTTTTCTCATTATGACCTACTTCTGACATGTAGAAAAAACATCTCTTTAATTGGGCTGGTAACTTTCATACAAAATTACTTATGCTAGTGTTAGTGCGTTAGTTGCAGGTGCCACCCGTGCTGTAATCTTTCTGCATGTAATTAATGCAAAGCATTCTTTTCGAAATTCTTTAAAAGTAATTAGATATAACGGAAATGACAGAATATGGTATGTAAATAAGCCTCCATCAACTAAGTGTAGGACAGATGAGCTTGTTGATGATTGAAAAAAACTGAAGATAATGTTGGCAGGTAGGGTGAGAAGTATGAACAGAAATGTTGATGTGAGCAATGTAATTGAAATCGATCGATGTCGAATACGAGAGTTCTGTACTGTTGTGGTCTTTTGTAGACGAATTAGATGATAGATGGTCCCGACGTTGAACAAAAGCATGAATATGAATGGTATAAAGTTATATACGGCTAAGTTAATATAATCCCATAGAGGAAAGATGGCGTAAAGTTTTGAGTTGATATCGATTGTTCCGTCTGGCGCGTAAAAACAACCGAAAATCGCTATATGAAGATTGAATAGCAGAAGTATGACGATAGTAAGTAAAATAATGATGATGACATTCTTCGAATGACCAAACCACGTTCGATGAATTCGACTCAATGCCATGTATCGATCCAGGCAGACAAAAACACGAAGCCATGCTGTTGTTTGAACAGTAAAATATCCGAAAGGAAGAAAGAATTTACACGACGGGATGTTATATCGCTCCAGAGTAAATCCGTAGACAGACGAAAGAAAATGTTGAAAATTCCATCCATATAATATCAATATGTCAAAGATAGCCATGGTACGCATGTAATGAATAGTCGGTTGTTTCTTGGTTTTCTTGAATGATGAATAACACAATACGAGTAATGTGAATGAATTGAGTATTGTACCAGCAATCATGAGAAATAATGGATAGTAAGCAGCAAATAACGATTCCACTGATTGGCTATCCGATACGGTATCCGTGGCATTTGCCATTTTATAATCCTTCGTCAATTTGAAAGATCTCAATCCACGACTCCTCATACGTGTTGTAAAGTAGTGAGAGTGAAACTATACGCAAATACGTATCTTCTCATACAGATTTGAAGTTTCTGACTTCTCTAAAATGCCTGGAGGGAAAATATGGAGGAAATTAAATCCGAATGAATTGTAGAAGCCACTTGTTTGTGTTAAATAAAGAATACTATTTATTTCAGAAACCTCTGAAACAATTTGCCGTCTTTATAATATGCTCTGTATTATTTCAAACAGTTCTCATATCCTGTATCTAAATAATCAGAAAAGAAATCCAGATTAGTAGAGTTTCCCGGCTTTTGTATGTAGCCAAATTTCTTATGTAACTTTCAATTCATAGGCTCTTTTGCCCTGAAGAAGACATAAATCTAACATAAGATTAAAAAACTGCTCAGCATATCCTTTTGGTTTTGAAATACTACGGAAAAGTACATGGAACTCTTACTAGTGACACTGAAAGATCATTCTGTATTAATACTTGATTAGATTCAAGCACATTTTTGCAACATATAACTTTGAATCAGATCTTACTCGCTGATATATCTAATCTAAGAAAATTCTAAAGCTTCTTGCAGTCTTTTAAAAATACATGCTAGAATGGTCTTTGACATGACTTCCAGACATCAACTACATGCTTCTCAATAGTATTTTCATTGAAAGAAAAACTAATAATGCGCGACATTTCAGTTTTGTCTTGTTTTTATTGCACAAAAGCAGTTTGACGATTAGATAAATAGACAACAAACAACACAAATACAACAACTAAACAATATACAGTTCAGCTCATGATTGCATCATAAAAGTTACTTAGTTTGTTCCATACTGTACTTCCAAATCATCATCATTCCATTATTTTGTGTTAATGGTTTGAACTGCGGTGCTTGCCATCGGATCAACCCTCCCACCAGCTTTCTTACACAAAATGATTGCAATGAATTCTTGTCGAAATTCATCAAATGTAATCATATATAATGGAAATGATAGTATGTGATATGAGTACAATATACAATCCAACGATCGTAGAACGATCATGTTGTTACAGCAGAAAAAAGCGAATCCAACCGTTGGTGGTACAGTCATCATCAAGAAGAGAAATGTTGTAATGACCAGAGTAATCGAGATTGCTCGATGTTGGATGCGTGAGTTCTGCAAAGTGGTTGTTCGTCGAAGGTTGATGAGATGGTAGATGACACCACTATTGAGAGTGACCATAAGTATGAATGGTAAGAAGTTGTAAAACGTCAAGTTAACATAGTCCCATGTTGGATATAAAACAATGATGTTAGAATTACTGCTGATATATCCATTGGAGTCATAATAGCAAGCAAAGAAAAGTTGAAAATTGAGCAAAGTGAAAAACACCATGATACCTGTAATGATCATCAGAATGTGCTTAGAATCACTAAACCATGTTCGATGAAGTCGACTCAATGACAGGTATCGGTCAAGGCAGATAAACACACGAAGCCAAGCTGATGACTGAGCAGCGAAGTAGTTGAGAAATGAAAGAAATTTGCAGGAGCCCAGAGTCAGAGTTTGAAGATAGAAACCGTAGATTGGATAGACATAATGGTCGAGGTTCCATCCATATAACATGAGAATATCGAAGATGGCAATTACTCGCATATAATGTAGAACAGGTCTCGTTCTTGTATCTCGAAATCTTTGTCGACAGAAGATGAGGAAAGTCAAAGAGTTGAATGTTGTGCCAATAATAACCAGAAAAAGTGAAAAATAAGCGACGACAACAACCTCTGTTGAAGGGACATTTCTAGCCGCTTTCGCTATTGTTGTAATGTTGGTTGACATGATAAACACGAATATCGATACTCACTTGAAGAAATGATACTAGAAAGTAAACAGAAGGCTGAGTTTATTCGGTGTGGATAAGGAACTGAAAGGTGGGTATTCGGTTGTTTCTCTAACATAATGCAAGTCTTTAGCAGCTAGGCTAGTTGTAGAGATATGTAAATGTATATATGAATACGCAAGGTTAGTATGAATTAAAATTCTGAGGAAAGCACAAGAATATTGAGTATAGAGCTTTATCTGAGAAACAACACATCACTCTAAAGCACGTCATTTTATTCTAAAATGATTTCTATACATACTGAATTCAGTGAATAATTTACGTGAGCCGGAAGAATAAAATTTGAGTTAACAGCGCACGTCATAGATTTTGTGCGATATGATCAACCAATCCAAATGTGTCTCAGTGGTCTACTTTATTCGGTATACTTCGTTTCTCACGGTCTTGATAAATATTTAATTAAAATAATGCTTCGCTCAGCAGATAAACTATAGAAGATAAGAGATTCATGGCGGAAACGAACTTATGTGTGATGACAACTTGTATAAACCAAAGAAGAACATTGCAAAGTTTTGTCAATTTGGACGAATACTTTTTCAAAACTATAGAATTATTGAATATATTCTCAGTTCTTATCAAGGATTGAATGCATTATTTAATTCAGTAAACAAACAAACAATGATCTGGTGGTAGCAATTATTGTCTTCGCTGGTCGAAGGATTATATCGATGCCAATATATTGAGTAAAACAAAAGAAGATAATTCATCCATACTCTTAATCATGTTCGAATGTTTCGATATCCCTATTAATGATCAGAAAATTGCATGTCAAGCGTCATCGATTCAAACCATGTATCTCATGATACAATTATTCATTAAACCCCTAAGATGGCGAGGCCATTTTGATATTGTTTCACGTAGCACTAAAATGTTGTCAAAGAGTATTAGCATTTAAGATTGAGTATTAGTAGGAGGTAACAGGATTTGCGTGCTTCTTTCACTGTAAACCCATCCTATTTTACATTCGCCGTCTTATATCATTAGAGAAACAATTATTAATACGTACACTGATACTGTCAAATAATTACGATTGAATGAAGCTTTCATTTTTAATATTTTTCGGCACTTGCACAAGTGTCAATCTAATGAGATGTATAAAAAAGTAATGTTATTCAGTACTTCCTCTTGACACTCATCATAGACAATAAAACAAAGAAATCTTGACCGAAACGATTGACTGCCGATGTAATCACGATGCTATTTGCATATTTCTACGCAGATAACATCTGATAACCACCATTTCATCACAACATTTTCAGAAGTCAACTATCGAGAGGGTGGCAGTAAAGGAATCATTTAGATCGACCTTCGTTCTAATAACTATTGATAACATCCGACAGGAGTCTTTTCATTCGAGCATATGGTAGAACAACGGGTGGCATGCACACTGTCTGATCATAGATCGAATGAATGGCATCTCTGATTTAACATGGTTTTGTTTTATTGTTATCGCACAATAACTTGCATACTTGTTCTAATGATCATACGCATTGCAATCGAAATACGAATTTTATTTACGAAGAGAGATACAACAGAAAGTCAAATACACACATTTGCACATGAAGAGAACATTTAAACGTATACAACAATGCTCTAAGTACTAGTCAATTATGTAATTAACGTGACAGTGCTACCACTGGAGTAATTGAGGGGATCAAGAGAGTTCATTCCTTTATGGCATATGATTTTCTATATAACGATTGAGTTACTGTAATAGTTTGTGGACCGATTCTTCGATAGTTTTTCTTACACAAAATGATTGCAATGAATTCTTGTCGAAATTCATCAAATGTAATTATATATAATGGAAATGATAGTATGTGATATGAGTACAATATACAATCCAACGATCGTAGAAGAACCATGTTGTCACAACAGAAAAATGCGAATGCAACCGTTGATGGTACAGTCATCATCAAGAAGAGAAATGTTGTAATGACCAGAGTAATCGAGATTGCTCGATGTTGGATGCGTGAGTTCTGCAAAGTGGTTGTTCGTCGAAGGTTGATGAGATGGTAGATGACACCACTATTGAGAGTGACCATAAGTATGAATGGTAAGAAGTTGTAAAACGTCAAGTTAACATAGTCCCATGTTGGATATAAAACAAACAACGATGAACTGATGCTCACCGTACCGCTCGAAGTGTAATAACAAGCAAAGATGATGAAATGCAAATTGAGCAAGGTGAAAAACACCATGATACTTGTAATGATCATCAGAATGTGCTTAGAATCACTAAACCATGTTCGATGAAGTCGACTCAATGACAGGTATCGATCAAGGCAGATGAACACACGAAGCCAAGCTGATGACTGAGCCGCGAAGTAGTTGAGAAATGAGAGAAGCTTGCAAGACCCTACAGTTAGTCGTTGAACATAGAAACCGTAGATTGGATAGACATAATGGTCGAGGTTCCATCCATATAACATGAGAATATCGAAGATGGCAATTACTCGCATATAATGTAGAACAGGTCTCGCTCTTGTATCTCGAAATCTTCGTTGACAAAAGATAATAAATGTTAAAAAATTGAATGTTGTGCCAACAATAACGAGAAAAAGTGAAAAATAAGCGACGATAATAACTTCTGTGGTAGGACCATTAGCTTTCACTTGTGTGGTATTAGCAGTAGACATGATCTGTATGAGTGTGGATCTTTAACAAAAGCTTTTTGGTTATAACACTTCTTTTACCGTGCTTTTATAGTGCACTGAAAATATGACGTTCCGGAGAAATATTCTGAAACGCGTAGAGCGTCGTATCTGAGAGTCATTTGAGTTTCTACTTAATTACATCGGAAAAAGAGATATGCTATTTTGAGTTCTCTTTGGCTGATGATATCTACCAGGTAGGATAAAACGCAGTTGCTGATATACCTCCTACTGCATTTTTCTGCTTAATGCTGTTTTAATTTGCGTTTTCTCAGCAATCGATATGCACTACGTCGGTATACGTTGAGTAAACACCAGGTCCTTTAAAACATATAATTTAAAATGCAAAAGGCAGAAGAATCTGCAAACTGATCACGGCAAATCGTACAAACTTTAGTATCCTTCATGTAAAATTCAAACACAATGCATATTTTATTTCATAATAAGATGAGTGATGAAAGAAAAGGACTTGGGTGGCAAAGATATGAATACCTCCTGGTGGGAAGTTCGGAACTGTCAACTTTGAATAGATAGGCTCAGACAAATACCGCAAGAATGTTCATTTAACTGAAATTTGCATGAAAATTTGAATAGTACTAAGTAGGCATAGATCAAAGAAGAAATACAGTTGGATAATGCACGTATTTGCGGCTATTTCATTCAAGAATTACGAATTTCTACCTAAAAATGCTTGAAAAAGACAAAATATATCAAAGAAGTATTAATAGATCGAATAATAACTTTTAATTCGTGTGATCCTTTGTTATATAATTAAATGATATTGAGAGCAGAACACATTTCAACAACATACAAGGCGCTTACTTGTTTTCCCCGAGTAGAATCAAATGCTTAGTCATCCGATTACACAAGAACATAGAGATTTTAATCAAATGTGATTTCAGTTCTACCACGTCCATTTCACCTTTTTCGAACCGTACTTAAAAAGACAAGAGCACTATAGAATTACCGCTTCGAAGATCTGTAACAATGATATAATTAAAACATGAATAGAACATCTTGAGACACTGTGCTCAACAATTTGATCAAATTCGGTTTTATACAATGCACAAAAATATAAACTAATTATTTTCTAATTTTCTAAATGTACTTAAACCAACGAATTTTTCGTAGTATACTTAATCACAAATGGGATACATGTGAGCAGAATGAATTTAGTTGCGATATCATTTCTTGAAATCGTGATACATGCATCTCAATCTAACGAATCTGCGCAGAATGAATACTGAGACAAGGCGAACATTTGGATAAAGTCAGTTGTACAGAGTTTTATTTGTATGAGTTACTGAGACGTAACTAGTGTTATCGACGTGACAATCAGACGAAATTTTTTTCTCCTTTAATTGGAAATGAGCGTCTAAATAGGTATGTGTTGAGATAAAGTCTTCGTCATCACATTCCGATGATACCCCACAGTGTTATTCTATAGAAAAGAAACTTTTATAATCCGACACTGCCGAAAGTTCGACCAGATATGGATGCTACAACCAATATTCAGTTCTCAGAGCTTTACATATGAAGTACTTTTTAACTACAGTCAGTTAAAAGAGGAAGCTTTCCCAAGTATAATCTTGATAAAATGAACTTCTTAGATGGGATAGCCGTGTAAATAATCACGAGACAAGGCAAACGGATGCGTTCTATTTTGCGTGAATTGGGCGTATTCACTTCTTATGATGATATTTAGCACTTTCAGGAGCTGAAGCCATGTAGAGAAACGGCCAATAAACCTAAACAAATATCATACCCATATCTATTTTAGTTGATCAATATTTTAAAAGACGCCTTTCATTACTTATAAATACTGAAATGCTTTTGTGAAAGATTCTAATTTAACAACTGTCGAGTTCATTCCAAAAGTACAATATGATGGAGCGAACTCAGCATGTTTTATATATTGTACTTTATTCTACAATAGTATTTGCTATTCAAGTCATATGCGTATCATGTGTCGTGTAAAATAAATATATGACACGATTGCTCGCCGGAGACATCCACCAACTAGATATTCTCGGTAATTAGAAAAATTCTCTTCCGATACGTTCATTAGAAACGGTACTGCGATCATACGTGATGTTCCCGACATAGCATACACTAGAACAAAACATACAAAGTTCACCACTATCTTATACCTTTGAATTCCTGAACAACCCGTTTAAGAAGTTTTCTTCTAACGTATAAGGGCGCATTTTAGACACAGCTATTGATATGGTATCAATCGAATCTCTTATTGTTGCCAATTATTCACTCACCTTAATTATCGTTGGTACTGTACTCAATGCTACAACGCTCCTTATTCTTTCTCGGCCAAGATTTAGAAATACTAGAGCAAGACCCACGCTCCATTATATGCGCACAATGGCCATCCTCGATACTTTTATGTTGTATGGATGGAACCTTGATCACTATCTGACAACCATGCAGAGTTTCTATATTTTAAGTTATTCCTTGGTTTCATGCAAATTCGTTTCGTTCATCAGCTATTTCGCACCTCAATCGTCAGCATGGCTGCGTGTCTTTGTTTCTCTCGATCGGTATTTATCATTGAGTCGACTTCATCGAACATGGTTTAGTAATTCCAAGCACACCCTAATGATAATCGCATGTATATTAGTCATTCTCTTTGCTCTCAACCTTCATTTTTTCTTGTTTGTCTGCTATTATCGAAAGAACGGGACAATAAGTGCTTTGTCTCGGCTGTATGATGTCTATCCACTATGGGACTATGTCAATCTAGGTGTTTGCAACATTGTGCCTTTCATACTGATGGTGATATTCAACAGCGGTGTTATATATCATCTCATTATTCTCCGACGCACCACAACTTTGCAGAATCCGCGCATCCAACATCGAGCAATCTCGATTACTCTGGTCATCACAACATTTCTCTTTCTGGCTATGACGATGCCATCGGCTATAGCATTTGCCTTCTTTTCTGATGCCAATGCTACGCTTCTGAAATTCTTCGACAGCTTTCTTTATTCGTACTATGTACTTTCATTTCCATTGTACATGCTGACCTTTCCAGAATTTCGTGAGGAATGTATTTCAATAGTTGGACTGAAGGGATGGGATCGCAGAATTCAACCACAAACCCAAGTTCCACTACAAACAATTTAATCGAAACATTTATCGTACACTAGAAATTCGGTACGCTAGACTATTATAACCTACTGTATTCTATCTTGTGAGCTTATGTTTCCTGTCGCGTGCTGATATGAATTAAAAATTTAGTCCCTCTTAAATGAAAAGGTAAAAACGTAGTAACACAAGACAAAGAAGTGCATAACACTAAAGTAGAAAACAAAAGAATTATTAAGCTTTTGAATTCGAGATGTCTTTTCCAAGAGACATTGTATAATTTATTATAGAATAAAGGAAATAATGCTGATCCACGAAAGCTGCTATTTTCTGGAACCGAAATAGGCAGAGTGGAAGCATGATCGTGACAACGCTGTGCTAAAATAATTACCAAACACCTTAAATAACTTTTAAAATATGCAGTTTTACCATCACAATTGTATACTTGGATATTTCTTCCTGATAATACATGCAATATGAATTCTGAGTGAAATGATTAGAAATAGTGCCAAGCTGTAAAATAAGGCAACTCTTCGAATAAGTTGCCTTGACGTTACCAAAAAATGCTGTTTCGGGGTATCTTTGAGAGATTGTAAGCAAAGCTATTTAGAATTATTCGTTTAAAAGCTAATTGGAGATGATTTAAAATATCATTTGAATGAAGTTTAAATGATTCTAAAACATAAAAGAAACCCATCCGGACAAAATCTTACAAAGATCATACATCACTCAAATCTTCTGAACGGAAAAAATTTTGAGTCTCACTCCAAGGCTGCCATCTGTACCCCATTCTGGATAATTTCTTTCTGTGTGAGATTCAATCATCTTTTGTCATAATTAATCGACTTATTAGCTATAACTTTCATTTGCACAACGACACGAAATCTCAATTCGGTTAGTTAAATTAAGGACCTAGGCATCATATTGATGTTCTTATTTTTAGCATTATTGCCTCCTTGTCTTTTCCATTTTTATTCACACCATCGAAATAAAATGCTGCTCCTTATCAAACAATGTTCTATCATAAAAAATGGCACTTAAACCAGTCGATACTGGAAAAATGAGACGATTAAATAAATAGCAACGTAAAATGCAAAGATACCCATTTGCACTATTTTACTCCGAGTTGGTAAAATCTCCTAACATCAAACAAAACTAAAGCTGTGTAAAAATTTTTCATTAGCTAATGGAAATAAAGAGCATCGACTTTTGAACGATATTTTTTAAATAATTTTGGAACAAATAGATATTGTGAGAAAATATGCATTTGTCAATCAGTTGTTTTAATATCAAAAATAGAATTTGAGTAGAATTTTCAAAACAGGCAAAATTGAAAATAATCTTATTAGCATAAAGCTGGTGTTCAAAAGCGATTTTTCGTTCACAGTTATTGTTACTCAGAAAAATACTGTGCACCTGTCAATGCACCCCATTTCAACCTCGAATAGATGGCACCCTTGTCTCACCCAGCAGTTTGAATGATGGTCTAGGATCTCTTTTTGAGCGATTTACTCCTTCGTTTCTCCCAAGGAACTCTCTTCGGCTTTTAAGGATTGAATAACCACACAATCTCGATATTGAAACAGGGTACTTTGTTCTATAAATAATGTGAACTTATACTAAGACGTTAAAGCTTTTGTCAATCATGAATTTCCGTTAGCAATCCTTTGAACAAGCAAGAACATGAAAAAGCGAAATGGCAAGATTTGCAGATTGAAGAACACATTTGTCAGATTAGATTTATTCTATTTTTTTTAAGTAAAACTATAAAAAATAGAAACAACTCATACGTCACTAAATTACACAATATTCTAAAGCTAATAAAAACAGCTGAATGTGGATGTTTTGTCAGAATATTCTGTTGAACCGTGCATTGAAAAAATGGCTAATCTCAGCTGAAAATGCGATCTTACGGATTTCTTCGGATGATCTTTAATCTATAGTTATACACGAGGAAGGACAATACTATTGTGCGAAATAGTTTCTTGTAGCAATGCTGAGTGTAACCGTGGACCAACTCTTAAGATTTGATAAGAGTTTTATCTAGAGGGATTCCAGAAGCCATTCGTTTCTATTAATTAAAAAATCTCTCTTCCATCTTAATCACGAGAAATGATGTTTCAATTATCTTCAATGTCTTCCACTGTCATTCAGAAAGCAAAAAACCATAAGAAGTAAAGAGCAACTTGTTTGTTTTCATTTTCAACAACGCATCGAGCAATTATCTGTTCAAATCAATTTCGGTACAAAAACATTCATATGGCATCAATCGAATCTCTTATTGTTGCCAATTATTCATTCACCTTAATTATCGTTGGTACTGTACTCAATGCTACAACGCTCCTTATTCTGTCTCGACCAAGATTTAGAAATACTAGAGCAAGACCCATGCTCCACTATATGCGCACAATGGCCATCCTCGATACTTTTATGTTGTATGGATGGAACCTCGATCACTATCTAACAACCATTCAGAGTTTCTATATTTTACGTTATTCCTTGGTTTCATGCAAATTCGTTTCGTTCATCAGCTATTTCGCACCTCAATCGTCAGCATGGCTGCGTGTTTTTGTTTCTCTCGATCGGTATTTATCATTGAGTCGACTTCATCGAACATGGTTTAGTAATTCCAAGCACACCCTAATGATAATCGCATGTATATTAGTCATTCTCTTTGCTCTCAACCTTCATTTTTTCTTGTTTGTCTGCTATTATCGACAGAACGGGACAATAAGTGCTTTGTCTTGGTTGTATGATGTCTATCCACTATGGGACTATGTCAATCTAGGTGTTTGCAACATTGTGCCTTTCATACTGATGGTGATATTCAACAGCGGTGTTATATATCATCTCATTATTCTTCGACGGACCACAACTTTGCAGAATCCGCGCATCCAACATCGAGCAATCTCGATTACTCTGGTCATCACAACATTTATCTTTCTGGCTATGACGATGCCATCGGCTATAGCATTTGCCTTCTTTTCTGATGCCAATGACACGCTTCTGAAATTCTTCGACAGTTTTCTTTATTCGTACTATGTACTTTCATTTCCATTGTACATGCTGACCTTTCCTGAATTTCGTGAGGAATGTATTTCAATAGTTGGACTGAAGGGATGGGATCGCAGAATTCAACCACAAACCCAAGTTCCACTACAAACAATTTAATCGAGACATTTATCGTACACTAGAAATTCGGTACGCTAGACTATTATAACCTACTGTATTCTATCATATCTACTTGCATGTATTTTCATGTCGTTTACTGTTATTATGTAAAATCCTAGTGTTCGAACTCGGCAGCGCTCGAGCACCGACACAGTAGTGTATTAATAAACGAAAGTGCTCTCAGTAATACTCTCATATTCAATATAGCTGTATTATTTATGGTCTAATATGTAACATTACGTAAGAATTTGAAATGAGACAAAAGTTTGTTTGAGGCTCGTGTGCTTGGGGTAGTCTTCTATATGGTATATCAAAAGAAAGTATGTAGATGACGAAATCTTCAACATACAAAAGCCAATTGTTATCTGAGTAGAAACATCTGTCAATGATAAGACTTATGTTTTGCAAGAGAAATGCAATGAAAATTAACTACGCATACAAACAGTGTAAGGAGATTAAGAAAACAGTGACGTGAATTGAGGAATATGCGTCATAATAATGTCGTAAAATTCAATTGCAATGATCGAAACACAAAGAGAATGCGTAGTAGGGTCAAAATCCTCAATCTTAAAGAACAACAAAATTACTGATGACCTGACATTCGAAGACATGTGTAACAGGTGTTTTAGAAAGCACTATCGTTCTTATTAACACATCCTCTCATGTCTGCTCTATATTTCATATTTAATTTTTGAAAGGAGCAAATGAAAAGATTGTTGTGTGAAATAACACAACACGCATCAGTTCACATAGAACAGGTCATCTCCTTGCTGCTTTTCACCTATTGACTCTCGTTGTTCTTGGAACAATTCTTAATCTATTAACATTTATTGACCATTGTCAGCCTACATTTCATGATGCAAAAAGAACAATCAACTATCGACTATATGCGTACTATAGAGATCTTCGATATTATTATGTTATATGGGCGGAGTCTTGATCATTGCATCGACAACGGGCATGGATTTCTTCTTCAAAAACATTCGATTCTTCTATGCAAATTTTTGTCTTTTCCCAATTATTTTCCTGCTCAATCATCAGCATGGCTTTGCACATTTATGTGTTTCGATCGCCGTACGCATCAAATATTACTCAATCGGTCGAAATATAGCGTAGTTTATATTTTCTGCATTATCATGATTGATGCTCTGTGCAATTTTCATATTATCTTCTTTGCTTGTTTCTATAAAAATGATGGACAGATCAATCTTAACGTTCCACCAATATCCTATTTGTCTATCGTTGGATTTTATCAACCTTACTGTATATAAATGTGTACCATTAATCATGATGATTCTATTCAACAGCAATATAATCTATCATTTAGCTCGCCTTCGTCGAATGAGTTTAATTGCAAATTCACACGTTCAAGACCGCGCTGTATCGACAGCATTACTGCTAACAAGTTTTCTGTTCCTATTGATGACTATATCCGCAACTGTTTCGCTTGCATTCTTTTATTCGACAGCAGATGCTACACGCTTACAAGCACTCGACTATGTACTTTACACCTATCATATATGATAATTTCCATTGTATTTTGTTACACTTACTGAATTTTGTCAAGAGTACACAACTATGTTCACACATAAGCAGCAGCAGCAACGAACGTCATCGATACGATCTCGACCGATACCATACGCCGTAGACAAATTCTAACGATTAATCTATGATTAAGGATGTGTGTTAGTGAGTGCCAACTGAGAAGATAAGTCGCGATCAAAACAGAAAGTAGGAGTATGGTTTTGTTATATATATATATCTCACAAGTAACACGTTTGACCTCCACAGGATTGCTCATTCTCAGTATTCGATGGAACTCCTAGTAGAATGTGTATAATTACAAGTCTGTAGTCGGTCCATGCCTCCTCTGTTTGTTACGCACTGTGCTTCAATAATTTTTTATTACGTAATACATTCAGATTTATTTCTCAATTATTGCAATACAAAATGTTTTGAATGGTCCCAAATTGTCAGACGAATTCATTCGCTCATTATTGAACAGATCTATTATTTTCACTGAATTCGATTGTTCTTTTGTGCATTCGTAATGACCATTTAAAGTTTAATAGCACTCGCTTTCTAAGTATGTTCGAACTCATTCAGTCGATAAAATTCAGCCATAAAATACTATGAAACGAAGACAATTATTGTTCGCACAGCAATTATTACTTTCTTTCATTCAAGCTTCACAATTTACAATCTTATTAGATAATCCATTTATCTGCTTCATTTACCAATTTTATTGAGTAACAGAAGACGTCATGAAGATTTATCCTGTAATGCATAACATTTATCCAATAGAAGATTGATTATGGTAGTTAATTTGATAATGATAGATGTGTGTATAATACCATAACTGAGAAGAGAAGAAATAAGGCTCAAGATGCAATGTTTGGTGACTAACGCCATCTATTGATCTTAAAAGTACACATGAATACACATATATATCCTGATATGTGTATAGTAGAAAAGAAGAAAAATGATTCCTCTTCGCCATTAGTCAATAGCAATGCCCGTAAGATGCTTGCTCATTGTTCGTCATCTGATCTTCTTATATCTTGATGTCGCGTTTTTAAAATTTTTTCGTTGATCTCAAAAACAAATTTGTTTTTCTTTTTTTTCAGAATGTCTAATAATAAATTGCGCAGATCTCAAATTTAGGAAGAAAAACATGAATGATAATGTGGACGGAACTCCGTTTGTTGAGCAAGTATCTCCTACCTCGCCACTACCACTGCCAGCAGCGTCATCATCAAGTTTAACTCTTAACAATTCCGAAATCAAAGTCTTCTATTACATTGATGATCAAGATCCGCCTTATCTGACGAAATTAAATCTAACAAGCACACCACGTTTAAAAGACTTCAAAAATGCTTTGGATCGTAATTGTACAAAATATAAATTTTTCTTCGCAACTAATGATCCATCGATGGGTAAAGTCAAAGAAGAGATAACAAATGACGAACAAGTTTTACCATTCGATACACCCGATCGTATTCTTGCTTATCTTGTTTCAATCGAAGGTAGTACAACGTCGAGTGGCGGAGGAGGAAGTCGACAATCAAAACATTATCATCACGATCGAGATGATACAATGACAATCTCAACAACGAATAGCTCATTGAATATTCAACAACCGCGTTTACAACGAACAAGCCGACGCTATGCATCAGGAAATAGTGCTGATCACGAAAAATATTTTCTTAAGCAACAACGCGCAGTCAACGATGAATTATCATCATTTCCAAATAGTGATCTAGAGTCAACGACATTTCTAGATGAAACGGAAGACGATAGGTTCGTATTTATTTCATTGAATAACGCTTTCTTTGACTACTGACAACATTTGTCTCATATAGATACTCAACAGTTACTGATTCGACAGCGGTATCATCGAGATATCATGGGCGAAATCGTCCCCGTCGACGTAAATATCGAGCGCCGGCAGGATTCGATCGAGTAAATTTATTTCGATATCTAAAATTATCCGGGTTTTTTTATTGTCATATTTGAAATTGCGTAGGCCTCGTCATTCAGCAGTCTCAATTCAGATTCGACAATGACATTAAATATCATAACAGTAACACTAAATCTAGGTTTGTACATGGGTATTTTCGGTTTCAACATCACATGTGATACATTTCAATGCGTTTTAGATGCTGTGAATTTCTTAGGCATAAGTATTGTCGGACAAAGTGATCGAAAAGGTGGAAATGATGGAGGAATCTATGTGGGATCAATCATGAAAGGGTGGATAGCGTCTTTGTTTTGAATTGAAATAGTAATATTTATTTTTAGTGGTGCTGTTGCACAGGACGGTCGTATCGAACCTGGAGATATGATACTTCAAGTTAATGAAATTAGTTTTGAAGGTTTATCTAATGATGATGCGGTGAAAATTCTTCGAGAAACTGTGCAAAAGCCAGGGTAAAGCCCTTCTTCGATGACTAAATTTCCAAAGTTTTCTATTTTTGATTTCAGTCCTATCAAGCTAGTTGTTGCTAAATGTTGGGATCCCACACCACGTGGTTATTTTTCCTTACCACGTCATGAACAAGCACATCCTGTTGATCCATTATCGTGGCTTGCTCATACTCAAGCAGTACAAAACACATACAACAATCCTCAACATCAACTGTTGCTTCATCAGCCACCTAATCTTCGACCGTCATTGTTGAATTCTACAACAAATATGAGCTCAACTATATCAAGCACAAGTAATACAATGATCGATAATGAACGTAGGAACACAATTCTTTTCTAATGTCTTGTTTTCTACTGAGGAATTATTCAGGTTTTGGTCTTGACCTTAATCTAACTGTAAATTCGGATATGGACACAATTGTCCGAGCCATGGCTGAACCTGATTCTGGTCTGGATATACGTGACCGTATTTGGCTGAAGATACCTATTCCGAAATCGTTTCTGGGATCGGATTTGGTTAATTGGTTGTTCGAACATGTTGATGGATTTGTTAATCGAAACGATGCAAGAAAATATGCATCGTCCATGCTCAAAGCAGGTTATATTCGTCACACAGTTCATAAATTAACATTCTCCGAACAGTGCTATTATGTCTTCGGAGATCTCTATGCACAAGGTCTCTCTCAATTAACACTTGACGAAGAACCCGAAGATTATGAGTCTGTCTCCGATCAGACCAGCACTGACCGTCGCAGTGGAGATTCTCTATTAACAGCAAGTCGACAAAATACAGTAACGACATTTGGCTTCGTCGATAAAAACAATGCACCACTTCAATCTCCATCTCATTCATTATTTTCTGAGACACACCACTCAAGTTAGTTGAATCGTTTTTCTAATCGTTCTTTTGATCGATCATTTCTCTAGGTATGCTAACAAAAACGTCTTCTGCTCGACATCATTCATGTATGGATCCGTCGATTATATGCAGTGCTAATCACGAGAACGATCTCACAACATCTTCATCAGCTGTGGAAGTTTAACTCCATGTGGATATTCAATATTTACGCTTGTTCAGCATTTGTCAGATGTCAACGGTGCTGCGAAACATCTTCCCTTTTCTTTACCCTCATTTTTCTTATCGTCTCACACATTTTTTTTGCAATAAAAATAATCTCAATACTTTTTCTTTGTAGTCAAGTATGTTCTCTAAATTCTTATTTATTTCAGGTCGAAATGTTCAGCACGCCAAAGTCATTACAACGTCGAACAGGTCGTTTCGGTGTCGACCGTTACGAATATCTAAAACAGTTATTAAACGAATACGAACACGACTCAGCAAACAATGAAAGCAAACTACAAATTCTCGCTAACTTCGCGAATTTCTCCTACGATCCAATCAATTACAATCACTTGCGACAATTAAATATCATCGATTTATTTCTCGATTGTTTGCAAATGCACACCGAAGATGATTTCGTTCATTATGCACTAGCTGGCCTGTGTAATATATGTGCCGATGAAGCAAATTGTCAAATCGTTTTCCACAAAACTCCCTCGATTGTTATCAGCTTAGTTAAATGTTTATTTTCCACTCGTTTCGATGTCGTTGTCAATGCATTATTAACATTGATGTTTCTATGCGATTTTAAAGAACAAATCAAAGTTGATTTGAGACAAAGAAATGAAATACGACAATGCATTGAAAAATATTCACAATCGAAAGATAAACGTTTGGCAAATATGGCTCAATTATTTTTACAGGATTACTTGTCGTAAATTCGACCAATTCTTCCCTTTGCTTTCTTTAGCGAGAAAATCTCATGAGTGTATTACTTTCAGATATGGACGATATATTCGACCAAACAAGTGATGATTTGACTATTGCTCGGCGCGAAACGGAGTTAATCGAATCCCGTCGTTATAAAGATGGATTTCGTGAAGGACTTGAAACGAGTGAACAAGATGCATTCGAGAGTGGATTTATTCGTAGTTATTCGCTAATAGCATCGTTAGTTTATGATTACAACTTCGAAAAAGAACGTCTGCGACTGCGAAATTCTGCACTGATTCAAGAGATTCAACAATTTGAAAATGAATTTCAATTGACGATCACTCAATTGAAAAGTCCTGATGAAATCAATGAAGAACAACAGATTGAGAGTGTAAAAAAACTACGAATACAATTTGATGAACTTCTATTGAAAATTAAACTCGAATCGATATCAATGAACTCAAACTAAGCATAAATGTTTTGTTTTTGATTTGTTTTTCAGATGTATATTTTCTATATTCTCTTCTCGTTATTCATCATTCCAAATCTTGTCGACAGTCAATGTTATTCGACATTATCAACAACTTGGATATGTGATGCCCATGTGAAAACGAATAATATATCTTATCAGTCCGTCCTAACTCATGAATATCTGGAGAATTTCTTTCTATTCAATCATCAATTAGACCTATTCAAACTTGATATTTATCCATTGACACTTCGTCTATTGAATGCAAGTCGAAACCAAATTCAATCGATAGTAATCACATCTAAACAACGTTATACATCGGATCTGCGACAATTGATACTCGAATCCAACAGTCTCGAAGATTTCAATATGGATCGAATTGTTTTACCTGAAAGATTAGAAAAGATTTCATTAGCAAATAATCGATTGAAAATTATTGATGCTCGAATCTTTCTTCATTTGAAGAATTTGAAAGAAGTTGATCTAAGACACAATCAATTAAAACGCATTCTGCCTGAATTGTTGATCAACAGAAATGTTCTATTGAATAATAATCCTCTTGATTGCCAATGTACAACAGAAGATTATCGACTCGCATGTGAACGAGCTACAAATATCAGACGAAAGCCGGTAGATTATTAAGATCCATCTCTATTTTTATCACTTTTTTCTGCATTTTAGAGTGAAAGTAACAATTGCTTGGCACCATATTATGATCCTCAACTGATGGGTACTCCTCTACAATCCTACTATCGTTTTTCAACTTTTACTCTTATTTGCCCTATCAATGCTCAGCCACCACCAATCATCATCTGGTCGACACCATTCGGCAATTTAACATCGATGAATTCTAGCTATGTGGATCTATTATCGTTTAATAATGATGATGATCCTATATATGTGACACTTCAAGCACTAGCTGGTCCATTGACAGCTCGAACTGAGCACACTTTGCATGCATTTAGCGGTCGACAATTATCAGTCACAAAAGCACGCGCTGCTTTACAGAATCGCATATTTTGTTCTGGTATAAATATGTTGGGAGTTTACACTTATGAATTTAATTTTACTATTGAAAGTCACGTTCAAAATCGTGCTTTATGGCAGTTGATGTACACAGCTAGTTTTGGACTTTTCATGTCACTTGTCGCAGGTGCACTTTGTGTAACATTAAAGCGCACTTATTATAATGGTGATCATTTAAAAACCCCACCAATTTATCCAACAATGGCACCCAATAGTGCTGCTCGTACTCCACCAAATTTTGAATTAAATCAGTGGTTATCGTTAGCGGCAGCGAACATTAGTGGTACACTTGAGCAAGTCCGTGACAAACTTCGACTGGGTGTACAACAAGTTAGTGAACATATGGGACAAACAATGGGTCGAGCTACAGAGTTATTCAACTACGGTGTACAACATGCTGGTGGAACTATTCGACAAGCCGCTGAAACGTAAAAGTTTTTCTTCTCGTAAGACAGATATTTCAATTTAAAACTATATTTTAGGTCGGCTGCTTATTTACATTCATTCCGTGAATCGAGTCAGCAACGTTTAAACACAATGCGTGTACAAACTTTATCGTCCATACGTAATCCAGGTCATTTAATGCGTGCCGGTATGAATATGTTAACAACACAGGTTAACTCCTTACGTGATTACTGTGGTGTGACGACGGGCAATCCACTTCCAGCTCAGTATCTGTATCAACAACAACAACTACATGATTTACAACGTCGTTCACCAATATCTGTATCACATTTACGCCACACTCATATCGCAACGATCAGCGAAGAAGATGAATCAATGATTGAATCCACATCATTGATGGCATCAGTGGATCGTACACCTTATGTTGGACATACATCGCTAACAATGGCAGTGAACGCATCCGGTATTGGTCAACTTGATGCTGCAGATAATTCTGTTCTACTAGCATTAAATAATTTCAATCAACCGGTTAAAGTAGACAATGACACCGCGATTACTGGTGGTCAACTAAGTGGAGGCATCGGAACATTTCATGGCCAACATCTAGATCACGATGATGATCTTATCAATGAACCCGAACGTTTAATCATGTACGGCGACCAACGTCCAATAGCTTGAATGATTCAAAATGAAATACAAACCCATTGAATAAATGTTTTTTTGTCAGATGTTTTCCAACAGAAACCAATTGCTTTTACTCTTATCGTTACCAAGTCACATATATATTCTAATACACAGGCTGAATATCCTACAAACAAGCCTTCTATTTTTCACGAAATCTATCAGACAGTAATTAAACCATAGAATTGAAATTGTTTTCTTTGTTGCTGTTGTTTGTTTTTAAACTTTTATTTTCAATCAGTTTCTTCTTGTACATTCTAATCTATTTGACAAAATAAACATTACTCATGTTTATAGCACACAAAGCACATTCAACATGTTTTCTTTACTGTTCAATATTTTAGTATAATGAACGTTACTGATAATGTTCGTCGAGCATTTCGTTCCAAATATTCGTTCGATGTTCCATCGACATGGCTCCAAGCATGTCTTACTTGGTTGCGTGATCAATTTCAACTACCTAATTTAACCAACAATTGTACTCTGGAAAAAGTATATAATCAATGGCTCCATACAGATATTGCACTGCTTGCCGACGCATCTTGCTTACCTAGTGATCTCGACTTAAATGCCAAAAAAGTTCAACTAACTGGAAAGTATGCACTACAAGTAGGCATCTTCTTGTGTTATCGAATTGAACGTGGAATTCTTCATTATTCGTATAGATCAATAGTATTTCATGTATATCAGATCCTTATTATACTCAAGTGTTGGACATCTATGGTGATCAGAATGATAATGAACGAATCGATACAGACATCACAGAAACTCAACAATGGAAAGTGAGTAAGTGTGTTCGATTATCGTGTATTGATTTGCGAATGGTAGGAAAGAGAAAAAAGTTTGTTGCTTTGTTTAGCCACCACCACCTAAACGTGTTTTGTACTTGGAATTAACTGATGGAAAGACGCTACTTCGAGGATTGGAATACGAGCCAATCACTGGTCTTGATCGAGATACAACGTTACCTGGTGCAAAAGTAACTTTTAAGATTCACTTTTCTGAACACGTGAGTCTTTTTAACAGATTTTCGTTTCTGGGCCTGTGTTCTTTCGGCGAGGAATGTTACTTTTGACATCGAAAAACACACAAGTGCTTGGTGGTTACGCAGAAAATTTAGTTAATACAAACTCATCATTAGAAATAGCCTTAGGATCGTTGTGAGTTTAATTGAACTATTCGAATAAAAACGTAGACATTATCTTGCAGATCGAAAACAGCGTCGCATTTGGATGAAAGTCGAATGCGATTTAATCGCTTGAATGTTAAAGTTCATGTCCAAATTAATTTCGATGATCCAACTACGGAAATGTCTGGTCCAACAACCGATCGAGCAGTTCGTTTTTGCTACTTATCATTCAACTATTCACAGCGATTTCTTTCTTCACTATTTAGTTACCTCATGGAGATGAGGACGAAATGGATGAATTCATTCGTCAGGCCTACGCGGATGGTGTCATCAATGATAATAGCCAACTAACATCCAATCCTCCTAATTACGATCCACCTTCCATTGACTTTACAAATAGTACGACAAGCAATCAGATTGCACCTGTATTTGATCAACCTAATGAACTTATATATGTTTCTGATGACGAAGAAACACGTCTATCAGATATGCATCTTTCCGCGTCGTTTTTCCACAACCAATCGCCTCCTTGTGCTCCTGTTGTACCACCTACGATAAAAATATGTCTACCTTTTACATACTTATCTGCCATTCGACAGGAGCAACTATCACTAATCATCGACCATGAGGATTTTGTTATCAAAGGATGTTTTTCAACCATCGTATCAAACCCACGCGTAGTGAAAAACGATTTTGAATTAGAAGTTTTGCTCAATGATGGAAGTGAATGCATCAAAGTACGATTAGCACCAGAGTTTCTCAATGAACGCCTTGGAATGACTGGATCGGAGTTACTCGCTCGACGAAATTCATGTCGCACCGACGTAGAAAAGCGTCAACTTCAAACAGATTTCAATGATCGCTTAAAGCGATTCGGTCAAGAGATGGAACGTGTGAATTCAACAATGATGATACGATTTTTTTCAGACGATCGGCTACCAGTGATAACTCATATTGATGAAAACTAGTCATATGTCATCTTTATTCTCTTTTGTACATTAAAGTTGCTGAAAACAAAAATCTCCTATAGATATTTTCTCAATTTTAGATGATAATCTACGATTTATTATCATTTTCTAGGAACACATAAAGCTGTTAAGTAAGTAGCTAGATAATCAGCATTAGACAGAATCCAATTTGATTTTTACTCATTAATTAGTCACGGAAGACTCAGCTACGAATCCTCTGGATCCCGAACAGCATTTGAAATATCGTATGCAAGTATCATCTCAATCCATAGCAGTGAGTTTAAACGCCTCGGATGGATTTGCTACTGAACAGTTTCACGTGTTACTGAATAATAACACCTCAATATCCTTTCGCTTTCTACGTCCGGGTGATCAAGCTGAAGTCAAAGCTCTTTGTTGTGATTGGTTTCCGATTGAATATCCCGATCAATGGTATGACGACATCGTGCATGATCCGAAATATTTTTCACTAGCCGCATACGGGACACATTCACAACGCATCATCGGTTTGGTCGTTGCTGATATTCTAGCATTAGGTGACTGTAATCGTGAAGACCAAGCGATCCTACATCGATCATTTTCTTTAACGACACCTGTCTGTTATATATTAATCTTAGGCGTTGGTAAAGAGTATCGACGGCAAGGTTTAGCAGGTATTCTTTTACAGCAACTGTTAAACATGCTACATAAACAGGCAACTTGCAAAGCTATTTATTTGCATGTTTTGCATTCGAACAAGCAAGCAATACGATTTTATCAATCGAAAAATTTCCAATATCGAATACACTTACCGTATTACTATTGTATTACAGGAGATAATCAAGATGGGTATTGCTTTGCTCTTTATATCAATGGTAAGACATGAGATAAACTTTTGGTCACGTTCAAAGAGAGATTTTCTTTTTCAGGTGGTTACCCGCCGTTTACTTTATCCGATTTTCTTTCGACGTGGTGGACATATCTGATTGAAACAAGTCCATGTCGTTTCCTCAATCGACTCGGACACTTTGTAACTGATCGATTGATCTTTCTGAATAATCGTCAACGACTGTCTTCCTATAAACAAATATCGCGCATCATTTAGCTGATCCCGTATTTTTATTCCTATGTTAGAATTCCGTCCAAATAGTATAACACGAACAAGAATTCATAGAGCTACAAGATTGTTTTTACTAATATATATTTTTTCTCTGTGTATATTCGTGCGTGTTTCGGTTGATTTTTAATCGAATAGAAAACGACAAACGATTTCTTCGTGGAAATGTTTGTGTTTTTTGTAATGGAAGTTCTATTTCAGATCACGTTGAACAATGAAATGTCAACTATACAGGTTGGTAGGGAGTAGGAAATGCTTACGAATGATTTACTTCGCCTGATTGAATAATCAAATAAAAAAGCCTAGCTTTTTTCAGGTCGCAATAATCTATTTTGGTCGTCTGCGGGAATTAGTTGGTATATCGAGTGAAAAAATTGATTTTGATTCTTCAATTTCCTACACGCAGCAAAGTATCCTTGATCGTATTATTGAACATCGTCCGATGTAATGAATTTAATCTCAAGTTTCTTCCTCTTGTTTGCTGCTAACATGCATTCATTTGTTTTCTTTTTTTCTCTCCCTCTCCCTCAATTAGATTGAAATCGTTTCTGGTCACAAATACATTTCGTTTGGCTGTTAATCAACAGTATCTTCTTGAGGGTGATTTAATTCAATTTAGTAAAGAAAGCGAAGTAGCACTTCTTCCACCGTTTGGTGGTGGTTAAAAACAAATNCAAACAGACCGATGTCTTATCCATGAACGTTCCCTCTTTCGTTCTCTAGGTGTGACAAGAGATAATTTCGAAGGTCGGCAAGTAACTCGTCTTTTCTACGAAGCGTATGAACCTATGGTTTTGCAAGAACTTCATCGGTTGTGTGCTGATGCTCGACGACAATTTCAAGATATTAAACATATAGCCATCTGCCATCGTTTAGGGTTAGCACACGATTAAGAGCATCTCTCGTTTTTAGAAAAGAAACAGAACACTATGTCAATGTAGAATTTTAATACTAATGACATTTCATCGACGAGAATAGATTAGGGAAAATATATAAATCGATCTGAGAAGAAACTAGTCAATGTATTCTTTGATGAATTCAAATTAACAATCTTAGAAAAGATTGAAAACAAAGTTAAACTCTTCTTTTGTCTTTCTTGGATATTAGTGAAGTGGTCATTAGCGAAGCATCCGTTGCTATTTATGTTTCGGGAGCTCATCGTCGCGATGTATTGGACGCCGTTTCTTTTCTCATCGAGCAACTCAAAGCCAATGTTCCGATATGGAAAAAAGTAATTTTCGTTGCCTTTTTCTCCTCCCTCTTCTTCTCCTTCTTCATCTTCCTTATCATATATACATTTATTAGCATCGATGTTCAATTCAATTATTTTTCTTGTAGGAGTTCTATGAAGATGATCAAACTAATAGCGATGCAACAACAACTTCATCTTGTTGGAAAGAAAATAAATAGAACAATGTGACATGTTTTGATGTTTTATTCTGTTATGTTGACTTCACATACATACCGATACAAACAATAAAAGAAGAAAAGAAAACATACTAAACAGAACTTATGCTCTTGCTCAGACATGCTGGAAAATGAACAAGGCTAAAGAAATTCAATTCGAATAGGCACATGACAGTAATGACAGACAACCAAACAACGATTAGAAAAACCCCATAGAATTTTGTTAGACGACATCGATTGAGAAAGAATGTAAGAAGAAAAGTAATAAGTGCACTGAAGAGAACAATCGTTGAATAAACTAAACCTCGAGAATGAATTTCAACATAAAATGGTCCATTGTCATTCATAGATGTTGATATATGCGCAGCTGACGCATCAGCGGAATCCGACGAGCCCGTAGGATAACCGGTTAAAGACGAATCGCCTATGATGGCGATGGCATCAATCGCTGGTGGTTGATAAGTAAAACGCATCAGATTACGAAATAGCCACGGGATACCTAAACCCATGAGAATGTCGAAGACGTTCGAGCCAATCGAGCCTGCAATGGCCATTTCTGGATGGCCACGCCGCGTCATAACAATGGCAGAGAAGATCTCTTCTATCGATGAGCCAAATGCTAATAACGTTAAACCCATAATATTATCTCGTATATTCAAAGTAAACCCAACAATGACAACAAGCCACACAAGAAGATAAGCAAGGCCAGCAACCTTGAATCAAAAAAGAAAAGCAATTACATTCATCGTTTGTGATTTTCTAGAAATATGAAAGGAAGTTCTTTATTTATCTGTCAGTATAAAATGTCCCTGTTACATTTTCCTTCTACTCTCTATTTCTTACCCAAATAGTTGACATGACGAATGTGAGCATATAATAATTGTGAAAAACTTCTTTTCGACAGTCGGGTATAGTGATGTGCATTAGCAAACGAACAGGGTACATGATAACCCATTTAAAGATTTTGTATCGTTTACTTGGCAGTTTCAACGGATCGAAGATTTCAGTTGCATCAGAGACTATATTTCGATCGTTTGCTGTTTCATTCAACGGCTTTTTACATGGTTTGTAAGGGCCATGATGTTTTATATCTTCTATTTCGTTGCCCATTGTCGTGGTTGCATGTGTACCTGCATTCATAATGACTGATTCCGACACTGACCGAGCGCGTGCCGATAAGTTTTGTTCTAATTCAACAGTATTATTTAACCACTGCAATTGCTCTTGATGTTCCTCATTCGAATTCGTTCCTATTGACTTTTGATTTGGTGAGCTTCTATGCATAAGACGCGAGAGACGATCATTGAATTTCAAGATAATAACATAGACGAAATAGAGTAAGACTAGTGCGAGCGCTTCAAACCAATAAACGCGTTGATCGAAGATAATTACGAATAGAACAGCAACAGCAATGCAGTAGAAGCCGGCATCTCGTACAATTGGATACGCATCAATTTGACACACGTTGGCCGATATAAGTGCGCAGAGAGCAATGACAAACAGTATATTGAATACAGCTGAGCCGAGAATTGTGCCCACTTAAAGAAAAGTAATTATCGAATCAATTTCTTAATCAAAATTGGTACTTGTCGAAGAGAAAATGAGTGTCTTTTCCTCCTTCTTTCTCATTTCACACAAAATTCATCAACGAAAGTTTCTGTTTATATTCTACTTGTTAAATTAGACGTTAAATATTCATTCGATTGTAGCATACACTGAAACACCTTTTCTTTTCAACTATGAGGGAGAAAAATGTGTTATTAACTTACAAGCAATATCCGACTTAACAAAGAAGACACCAACGATGGATGTAAAAAATTCTGATGCTGATGTCGCCAATGCCATGAAAGTCGCTCCTGCTACATCCTATTAAAAGAAACGAATGCATATTTATCAGATTGCATGTTCGGATCTGATTAGCTTTGAAATACGTACTGGTGTTAAGTTAAAATTGCAACTGATTCGTTCTAGTGCCGAAGCAAAATAGTCATCACAAACGATTTCGATTGCTGCAAATGAGTAAAGAATGAGAAGAATATGTACAAGAACTCCACCACGGCGACGTTGATCATTAGTGAAAAATAACGGTGGGAATTCGTCGATAGATGCTGGCTCACATTTATTCGCTGGATTGCTTATTATTGGTGATTCAGTGGATTTGACTTCATTTAATGAAAGAGTATTCGTTCGCGCGAAAAATATTTGGAAGATAACTGTGAACAGAACGAGCAGGACAAATTGTCGGCGAATCATGACAATCAGTCAATAATCTAGAAAGTGTCGAGATCTGAAATTGATATTTGATCTAGATCTAAGAGGGAAGAGCGAGTTAATATGCTAATCAGAACAAGAATTGATCTAAGAGGTTTAGGAAAGGAAGTAATTAGTGAAATCGATACCCGGTATTCATTTTATCTTCTCTTTTTCTCTTTTTTTTTCTTGTTGATCTTATATGAGCATAAATAAGTCTGCTCTTTGTTTCATTACTATCGTTGACATCGAATGAAAAACAGATAATAAGAAGGAGAATATTGGCAATAATAATATGTAAGTTAACTATAAGTTATTATCTGAAGGAAAGAGAGAAAAAAGGATGCGTGTCGAAAGTTCTCGAACGTACCTGGTGTGAAAAAAATCTTTTGCTCTTTTCTTTTACCTCTCCTTCTAATCCACCTTGATCAACGTTAGAAAACGCTATGTTTTCATATTTACTCTTGACCGAAACGATATTTGACTAGCAGAAAACAGAACCTGCGCATTTCAATTCTTGACTTGAATAGACTTCGGTATTTACAAATTATTTAACCTCATAGACTCATAAGAAGATCACTATCACTTCTCTTATTTACATCATCATCAGTGTCGTAATGACAAGAGACCGAAACACTAGCAGATATAGAAAAGAGACCGACAATGATGACTATAGATATATAGTTGCAGCAAGCTAAATTATAATCATAATAAAAATGATTGTTGTTTCTTGTTGTGCTCTCGCTCTCTACAACTTTGTTAGCTACCCGTTTGTCACTCTACGTTTCTCTTCTTCTTTCATCTCTCGATTTCTCTGTCTCTCTTCTTCCTCACTGTGTCACATCAGGAAGAAAAGGATAGCTGGTTACTAAACTCCATTGCATGCAAGAATAATACAAAAGACGACAAGGCGGGCGGTGACGAGTTTGGCAAGCCAGCTCTTCTTCTTCTTCTCCTTCTTCTTTTGCTCTCCCTATTACTGTCTTCAGTCTCGTCGTTGCCGTCGTCGTCTTCTCTTGCTATTTTCCCATATTTCTTTGCGTGATGTATAGCACAGAACACGAGCGAGTACAAGCCATTGCTGATGTTTCTGCTACCGCACGCAAGAAAGCAAAGCGTATGAACATAATTCACGTTCTCGGGGTAGTTTTCTTTTCGAAATTAGAAAATAGAAGAAAAAATTATTAAGAAAGAAAGAATAAGTAAAGAAGCGAAACAAAGCGGAAAATCACATGCAAAGAGAAGAAAGGAAAAGCGATTTATCAACCATCCGGAAAATCTGTCAAGACATCACGATTTGAGGTGTCAGTATTAACCAATATTAATTCATTAATTATCTAATGCATGTATCTATATCATACCAGATCATAATCAGATTCCAATACGAATAACTCAAGATAATCTCTATTAGATTAGACTATATTAACTTCACATTGGTTTCTATTGACACATAAGCGTAGACATACAAAATACATCTGACAGCGATTGCTAAATGCCCAGAGCATTCTTTTCTTGAAGTTTTCCTAATTGGTCAAATGAACATTCATAAATAATTGTTACATTTCCCCATGAAAGAACTATTATTGCTAGCATAAGTTACATGCTGTTTATTGTTCCATCCCGTGAGATAAAGAAGATTTGTTCAATTGATTTAACCCATAAATTGTACCCAGATATGTGATGTGTATGGAAGAGCTGAATCGAATGTATATATTCATTCATCGTAACGATAGTGTCGTTTCCGTTCGTCAACCGTTAAAAAAACTAGAAACATTGACATGCACATACGTCTGCATTTCAATGGGAGTTGATGAGAAAAAAAAAGAATCACTGTTTTGACATCTAACACAAGAAACATCACAATCAAGGCATTCTTCTTTTCATCACAACAAAAACTGCTTAGCGAGAACAAGCCAAGCTCAGCATTTCATCTAGCTGCTTGAATGCAGGTAAGAGAATTATCTCTATCAGACAGCAAAGGTTTGATTATGATTTTATTCTTCAAGTGACAAATCTATTTTTGATCAGATTACATTGCATGCAGATTCACATAGTCTACTTAGAAAAAAAAGAAAGAAAAATATATCCAAGATGAACTACTAAATCAAACTAGTGGAACAAATTTATTCTTCTAAACATGTCGTTTCTTTTTCTATTTCTCTCTTGCACTCGTTAGGTTATAGAAAAAAAAAGAATATCTATCTTCATGCACACTGGATTAACGTGAAGAATACACAAGATGATAAAAGTGTTTTAGGCACGTTTTTTCGGTTTTTCTTTTTACATCGTATGTGAAGAGAAAACTAATGGAGAAAAAAAAGTCCTAACCCTCTATGACCCATTTAGAGTTCCTAAAATAGCATAATACTATGTTCTTTTTATTATCTCTTAGTTACAAATATTTGACAGTGTGAGAGTTTAGTGAACTCTCTTGTTTGTCGTCTTCGGATGTAATAAAAAAAAGTGACATAGATCAGATGAGTAGAGAATACCAATGAAATTGTTCTATCGACAGATCTGATTTGGATCGTAATCAAGTGAATGTTCAATGAAAATCATCGAAGATACTGATTTATCTCCGAAAGATTATTAATAACAGTCCATGGGGATTATGAAGACGAGAATTGTGCGATTAAGTTTTCAGTTTTCACCAGAGGATTTCAATGCAAAAGATCATAATCCTCAGATAGACGATTTTCTTTTCAAACTTGATCAATTTTCAATGGCACAAAAGTCGAGATGAAGTTTTCTTACTCGTAATCTCTTACTTCGACAGATTAATTTTTATGTAATAAAAGAAAGTGTAAGAGAAAAAGTAAGAAAAAAAAATCATTTTGTTAAAACAATAAACTAGACGGAGACAAAAAGAAAGAAAAAGAACAGTACACTATAACAGTCAATAATCTCTATAAGAAAAAGAATTTCATTCTTTAATTCATTGCACCCAGCCAATTCGGTAAGGAGCCATTGGCTTGAGGAAATCCACCTGGAAAATTGATTTTGAGTCGTTTCATCGCCCGACCTTGCGCACGAATTGCATAGAGTAAGGCAGCATATTGCATCAATTTCTCTTCTCCACGTGTACATTGTATTGCGCGTTCATATAGATTCGCAGCTTCTTCAAATTCATTACTGAAAAAAGGTACTCGAAACGAGAATCGATACAATGAAGATCGACTTACCGATTACATTTGAACATGGCAAACATTGTTAGAACCGTCTCGCTGGATGGATCGATTTCTAGCGCTTGGAGAAACAATCTTTCAGCTTCGAAATTATTCGACGGATCTTTCGCCATGAGACAATTGCTAAATGAAAGTCAATATGAAAAAGTAATTGTCGTTCAATTGCACATACGCTTTGAGCGCTAATAATGTTGGATTATTTGGAATTTCTGTTACGAATTTGTTTAGGTAATCCAACGCTTTGTCTTTTCGATCATTTTCCAAATAGCACTGTAAGAGAGAGAGAGAGGAATTCTTTTGAAATATACGTTGAATTTCGTTTGTTTATTTACAGATGTTAAGGCAAGTGCATAGTAGATGTCATTTTTACATTGATCGAAATATTCCTCGAAGTTTTTCAACGCTTGCTCAACACGTTCGGGTCTGTTAGCTTTGTTGGCAATTTTGGCATCGTTTATCAGCTGTTGATATTTTGCTCGAAGATTTGACGGTGAGATGTTCAGTGCTTCTTTGAAATCATCGTGAGCTTCAGAATAACTTTCTACTAGTGTTTTTAACTATTGAAATGGAAAGATTCTAGTTGAACAATCGGAAAACAAGTCGGATGTAACAAACCATGCCCCGATGAACAAGTGGAGCACATGCGTTCGGATGTGCGCGGATGCATTGATCATAATCATAGACGGCTCCTTCAAGGTCACGTTGATGAATTTTTGCATTGGCTCGTTTTAGTTCGGCAACAATTCTCATCTAGAATTGTGCATGAAGAACTCACAAAAAAAGTTTAATAAGAAATATGACAAACCTGTTCTGTCGCATTCGGGTCATTGATCACTGTATTAAAGTCGGCTAATGCTTCTCTATAATCACCCATCAGTAAATAAAATGAACCACGAAGTAGTGTTGCTTGTAGTTTATAGGGTGATGGAAGAGACAATTCGAGTTCTTGTGTGCATAAGGATGAAATATCTGTGAAACGACATTCATCATACGCTTGGTATGCACGGGCTAATGCCGAATCTGATCGATTGGTATGAACTTCATCGATGAATGCGAGATTCAATATTGGATCATCTTCGAATTCGTTCAATGATGTGCGAACATAATCTTTGGACAATTCCGCTGTACTCTTTTTAAATGGAAACATAGAAGTTCGGAAGAAAAGAATACATGAGGTGCTTTTACGGGTGGTAAAGCTTCAATGTAACGTTTTGCAAGATCGGTGAGAACTTTATCAGCAGCCATAATATATGCTGGTTGATAGGAGTCGAGAAAACAGACCGTTGAGTAATCTAGAAAGAGATGTGATCGAATGTTGTAAGGCAAGAGTAGAGATAACAGACCTTCGAGAGCTAATTCAAAATTTTTGATAGATTCAGCAGCACGTGCACGTCGTTGAATACATTTAATGTATTTTGGATTGAGTTCAATGGCTCGTGAGCAATCTTCAATTACTTTATCATACATTTTCTAGATGAAAACACTGAAGCTTTTCGGCAATAACACAACAGACTCAATATTTACCAATGATTCCCAAGCTGCCGCTCGATTTTGATAGAATTGCGAAAGTTCTTCAGTTGATTCTGTTGGACATGCTTCGATTGCTTCTACATACACATACAATAGAATGTACGAGAAGGAAAACAAACCAGAAAGATCTACTTGTATAAGCGTCGATAGCTTCATTGAATTTATTTTCCCGATACTTGATATTGCCTTCGTTTTTTAATTCGATTGCTAGAGTTAAACGATTCTAAAGAGCGATCCTTTATTATTCGTAACTCAATTATTGTTAATTGAATTGTTACTTTAGTTTGATTATTCGGCGACGAAAGTGTATCGCCAGCTGCTTTCGTCGGCGTGGGTTGGATTGTTGTGCCTGTAATACTTGTCAGAGGAGTTGGTAAAGGTGAACGGCGCGTGGCAGATTTCTTCGCTAGATCTTGTTGTTGCCGATAAACTAAATAAGCTGCAACACAAACTGCTGTTGGTACACCAATAACAAGTGCCCATTTAGCTAAACGCTTGCCGATGTCATTCGTGGGATTTGTTGAATCGATACTCGATGAAGAACTACTTGCTACTGCTCGAAGGATCGAAGCCATTGAGATTCGCTAATCGAGACGTGAATTTAAAGAAAAAACTGATCTCGGAAGAAAAAAGTGTCAGACAGACGCGCTCAAAAACCCAAGACATAGAATTTTCTTTTATTTACATTGGTTTTCACACGCACCAATCGCGTCGATTATTAGACTTTTCTGATGATTGGCTGGTATTTTCTGCTCTTGAGTAGATCGCATACAGACTACATCGATTTTCTAATCTATGACATAGACACTTTAAAATTCCTTGATGTATTTAAATCGGAGTCAACCCATACAGTCATTATTAAGTCAAATTTGCGTCACAAATGTTAGTAATCGAAAAAGTACATTGGTTAAAAGAGATTAGATAAGATAAAGCAATTTTGACATTTCCAATCTGAATCATTTATAAAAGAGAGAATGTTCATTGCATTTAGATAATAATATTCTATTCTAAATTTCAAGGGCCAAATCTGTCGCAATAAATATTCTTTTAATAGAACAAACGAACGTGTACTGTCCTATTTCATAGTACTCTGAATTAACGTGTTATCTCGAGCTGAGAACATTCACGAATAACCAAATTGTTATCTTTTCTCTTGTAATCTGTATAAATTCTTATTTAACATGTCTCTATACGCAAGAGACTAATTATTCGCACAATGAATCGATCAATTGTTGAACTTACATCTACTTCATTAGACTATCATTCATCCTTGTCTCATCTTGACGAGATACAAAGAAAGAAAAAGAAATTCAGATACATTACATCCACGTTCTAATCCTCTTCTTTTTCTCAATTGATAATCAGACTCAAGTTTACATTTTATTTCTATTCAATCGATCGAGATATTATCCAGTAGAAATCCACATTCTCAACATTTCTTTCATTGATTGTCAAACATGTTATTTTCATTTCATGAAGGTAAGTTTTTGCTCTCAATTCCGGATTTTCAAACTAATCGAAGTAATATCCACGTCGAATCCTTTGCCTCCTCGTTGTATTCTCGATATAAAACTGTTTACTATCAATCATCATGAAAATATATATTATTCTCCATCATTCATTATTGAATAAGATCAGCAGGTGCATCAGTTGACGAGAGGCGTCAATCAAGTTGTGCATTATAGAATATCGCATACTGTTAGATTGATATTAATAATAGTCGATTAGAGAACAAGAAAATGCTTGTTTATCTCCTGTTTTCTTGCGATTGATAATCACATCGTAGATTTGCATCGATGTTTATTCTTCTGACATATCACTGTCCATAACACGGTGTCAACAACAAAAAATAACAAATAATTCCCTGTCATTATTGTACACATTAACGTACCATAGAATAATATTCATTCAATTGCGTCTTAAATCCTTGCCTCTCGACATCGATTTATTCGTAAACGATCATTATCATTATCATCTGATTTTGTTTTCTTTAGTTTAATATTACTCATTCGAACAATATCAAAGAATCGATTCGAGAGAAATTACACTCGAAACATTACGGTAAGCTCTAAATAAATCTATTCAAATCTGCATCTCATCGTTTGTCAAGAGACAAAAATATCTAATACATCAAATGTCAATCTCGACATTGATAATTCTCAAAGGACACACGCCCATATATACCTATATATGTATATACATTACAAAGATGTAAAGACTTTACAAATCCTTTCGATCGTGATGTTTAATTATGTGTATACCTTTGACGAAGGAAAGAAAATGCGCGCTTGACTTCATGATCAGATCCTCATCGACTGTCGGTCTTTGTCTAGGGTAGTTATGGCTGAATTTTCCAAGAAAAACTTTGTAAGCATTGTCAAATTTCAAACATTGAATAAAAGTGAGTTTTTGCCCTAAGAGCAGCATTATATACCGATCTCCATCGTACATCACACACACACTCTCTCTGTCTTCTTCCCTTACATGATGATTTTTTATTGGATCGAAGCTAGAAAGATCGTCATATCCTTGATCTGAAGTAACAATTGTACCGCACGAGCTCAGATAAATAATATCGAGCAACCCTATCGATCGTTGTGATCAATTGGCATTTCTCTGACACAGCTACATCGATCGAGTTAACGAAATACGGAACGAAGAAAAAAAACAACGAAACCACTACTTTCTTTGCGTCTTTTATTGTTTGCAACAAAATCATTCGCCGACAAATACTTGCATATATATCAAGTATTTGATTTTTTTTCTCTGCCTGCCTTTATGAAATATCGTCATCACGTGAAAATATTTCATTTAACATCATGAGTATTCAAACAATAGACAATAGCAATCAACGTCCTGTTCAGTCTCAACTTGTTACAAGAATTTATTATCCTGATACATTGTATCCTGATAATTATTCATTCTTTGCAGATCGAAGCGATTTACCCACCAATTCAAAAGACCAAACATCGTTATCAATGGATCCCAACAATCAATATCCGACTACTACAACAGATCTGAACAATTCACCGCCAAATCTCTCAACAATACCAAAACAATCGTCAACCGAAATCGCAACGATCGATCGACAAGGCAAATACGCTGTAAGTAGCTCTCTTCTTTTATTGCCTCGCTCGCCATTCGTTTTACAACGAACTCAATCTTGTATATGGATAGACGTAAACGAAAAATCTTTGTTTTTCGACTTTGACTTGCTTGTAATCAAAAAGACGAATACTTCAAGTCAAACATGTTGGTATGTCTTGCATAGTAGCAGTATAAAAGAAACACGTTATACCAGCTGCAGTTGAAAAACAAAAAGCATATGCATTATCTCGAGTATTCAATCGTTTTCTTTCTTCTCTGTCGAAATCTTGATCACACATTTACATTCTACCCTTGTTTGTTATCGAGAGAAAATGTTAAATAGAACGATATGCTCTCGCTGAGACACTTTTCGTTTATTTTACTTTATATTTTCGTGTGCCTAACTGCTGAGAAGTTTAATGAAGTACAGGAATGAATCGAGTATTTTTCTAACTAATGCAGTGCATTTATGGCATTGTTTTTATTTTTGATCGTTTTATATAAGCAATCGTGAAAAAACAACAAGACTAAGGATAATATAGACATAAAAATGGCAATCATGAGTTGCACCAGTGGGTAGTTGTATGTGTATCAGTTTTTCTCGCTTGTCTTTACGAATGGTTCTCTTCTTGATATGATTTTAGTATATATGACAGACGAAAGAAAACTAATAATAAAAAAAAAAGAGCAAGAAGAAGAAAGCGAAGAGAGAGTGTGTAGTATATAGGTAGATAGTTCGAGAAGGTTATTTGCGCGACCCATAACTACATATTTGCATGGTTAGTGCCGATAGACTTGAAAAATGTTGTATTTGTAGATTTATATGTACTGACGAAGAAAGACGAAGCAGCATTCTCAATATCCGACATGTATTTTTCTTTCTCTGTTTTTTATCTTGTGGATTGTCCTTTGCAAATGGTGCACACATTTACACTTATTTTTTCTCCGTCTCTCTCTCTCTCTCACTCTACTTTCGCATCGTTCTTCATCAGACTAGTCTGCTGCTTTTGTTCGTATCATGCCGATATGGATATTTGGTGATCGATCATAAGGAATAATCGAGCTAGTTAGAAGAAAGAGAAAGTTATCGATGACTTTTACTAAGACAGATAATAATGGAACGATGTGGTTTATTGTTTACGGTAGTTTCTTTTTTTTTTGTTTTTTATTGTTATTCGTGATCTGATTTGCTTATAATAACAGAGGAAAACAAAGGATTGTTAGTCGAAAAGATAATGTCAATATTTTGAATTGATTAATTGATTGAATCTATAGATAAAAGTCATTAAGACGGTTTTCCTTCTCGATACGCTTCAAGTATAGGACAAAAAGGAATATTTGAGGGAAAATGTCCGTAGATGATCAACATGCCGCTGAATTGGCACAGGTAAGTAGTTCTGCTCATGTTTTCCCTCTTAGTGATCAGATCAGATATATCTTTAATGCGATTAAATGTATTAATTTGTTTCTTTCTTTCAGGCACCTATGATCGATCGCGAACGTGTCGAGTCCGAAACTGACAGACGTCGATTCGACGTGAAACGTTATGTACCATCGGCATTACGTGCTCAAGATAAATCGGTTTGGATAAATTTCATTTGTTTGTCCGTGTGATTTGTTAATATTTATGTTTGTTCTTCAGCAACCGCCTGCTGCACTATTAGATCCTCGATTTTATTCAATGAAGAAAACAGCTATGACTATCTTGTGTTTATTGGTAAGTCAGATTAAAAATATCGAATTGTCATATGTACAAAAGTCTTTAAATGAAATAATGAGACTATTTATGCGAACAAGCAGATCTATACTTTATGTATGTCACGATTTTCATATTAGTCGTATATTCAGATCATTTAACCGCAGTGATAATTAACGATACTAATGTGTTCCACAGATGAGAATAATGACGTGATAAGACAATTGCGTTATTTCAAAATAAGATATACCTTCAAATATTGAATCATTTTGTTGATGTTTATCTCGTAGATTATCGTCATGAGCAACAGTGTACAATTGAAGCACGTTCTCTCAAGAAGTACATCGAGTACATTCTATGGCACTCAAGTTACACTTGGCATTGTCTCTATCCTCATGTGTGCTAGCATCGGTAAGTTTCCTCAATGAAAAACTAGAAGATTTTCTGAGTATTCATTCACTCGTATCTGTTTTTCTCTTCCGATCTTTGTACTCATTCTTCTATCTAACCTTACTTGTACACATTCTTCTTCTCATCCTTCTCATTGTCTTTCCAATGTAGTCGACGTTACTATCTTGCCTTCCCGGTTTCTAGGCTTTGTTCAACTGTACTTATTTCTGTGTACGCGGCTCGATCAATTCCCATTGGTATCACCATCGGAAAATTTATCACGCTACGAACGAATTCTTCTCATCTTACCGGCTGTATTAGTTCTAGTTTTATTCATACTCAATACTACTTTTCTAATTATCATGTTTAAACTCTAAAATTGTCCATATATATGATTCGAGACATGTTCGTTTGTGTATTCTCTTGTACTAATATGTAAATTAGTTCGTGCTGCGTTTTTTTTATATACTAATTTATGTCTGTACGAGTTCTGAATGATCCGTTTTTCCTTCTGTTCTAGGTGTAATTCTTATGTATGTGATGCGAATCGACATAAACGATCAGTACAAACAACATAAACTCGATTATATCGACAATTGTGTCATTTGTCTCCTATTCATTCTTGCCATTTTCAACATCTTCATTGCCGCGTGCAGCTAATTTAACCGTCTTTTCCTAAAACTTCTCTCTTTCTCTTTGGCGTTCAGTTTATTTTTCTTTAACAAACATATCTGTATTCGTGAACAATCTTCTAAGTAGGCTTTTAGAATATTTTCTTCTCTTCTAATGAATACTAAATTATAATTTTTTCCTCATGTCTTCACATACGTTTAGGCAAAATATAAACAACAAGAAATTTCTATTCTTCTAGGCTTTTATCTTATGTATATGATAACAATCAATGATCAGGATGTTTTCAAACACCGTAAAACTGATTTTCTCCAAAACTTTGGCTTGATCTTTGTCTTCTTCTTATTTATTTTGAATATTATTTATTCAATCTTTCATGCTATTTAATCATCATCATCATGATTGTATACATGTCCACATACGCATCTCGAAAACCAAGAAATTTTCTTGCTTTTTATCCTCTTATCTACTATACGCTCTGAGAACAGAATCTATCTCACCGGTTATTTATATAATTTAGTCATGTTTATGTTCGTGTTTGTTGTGAAAACTATGTCTGTAGTAGTATCTCTTCTTAGCTAGCACAAACCAATAAATGCCGTAATCGAATAGCTTGTAAACGTCTTTTCTAATTTATGAACATTAGCGATTATTTCGAAAATAAATTGCAAAGCAGATGCAAAAAAATCTTATTCAGGCATGTTCATACATTGCTTCATGTCGTGAAAAATAATCTTAATACGAATTCTGACGTTTCAAGCACGTCCATCTTCGACTATACAGATATGTAGATACATTTTCTCATGAGGGTAACAAAAAGTTAAACACTTATGTTATGAAATGAATTACCCACCAGTGAAATCTTTTCTGCAGAACGCAGCGTAAAATTCGAGAAAGGCAAATATGATTACAACATTTCTATGTCACACTGAGACTGCCACTGTAAGAACGTTAAGAAAGAGAAAGAAAAAGAACGTGTTGCATAGAAACTGTCAGAATGTTTTCACCGATCTCAACTTTTCAAAGCATCAAATTTTGACGATGAGTGAACTGATCGCACAGAGCTGTGCTAAATTAGAAGAATGGAAAGAAAATGGTCAATTTTATCAGACTGACGATTCGATTTTGAATGATATTGTTACGGAATTAGAGCGTCTTCAATCGTCAAATGCGACAAGTTTCCGTCGAGAGATGAATAAAGTGACGAAATTGTTGTCCGAAAATATCATCTATTTAAATGAATCCATATTGACCGTTCTCATGAATGATTTTTTACAATTATTAAAACAATGGCGTGAATCAGAAAATTTCAAAGTCTCATACGATTCTGAAACATGTGAAAACTTATGCACAATATTCACAGACTCCAATTATTCTCATTACTCACAAAATGAATCATTCATTGAAGAATTTAACCAATGTCTACTCGCTATTGCTCGCCTTGGAAAAGTAATGTATATTCATTCCAATATGAAAGTTATCAGCAGTCTTTTTATTAACTACACCATTATTCACAGTCATAACAGAGGTTATCTTATTAACGATTCACCATTTGAAGATGCAATATTCAAATGTCTTTTTGCGCCGTACACAGCCGAAGTTGTGACTCAGTTGAAAGCGTCTGCAAAATCCGGAGACCGCTCACCAGCCGAACAATTTGTCTTTGACGGATTATTCGACTTTCTCATGCTAATGAATAGAGATCGACTTGAGCAACAAGCATGGATTGTTCGTAAACATCTGCTTCCATCCGTTTGTGAATTAGTCAAAGGTTACGCATCGGAAGGTGAACATTGGTCAGAATCGGCAATTCGAATGTTAGAAGAAGCAACACTATTATTTCTCTATTACGTTCAAATGACTGAAACAAGTGATCAAGATCTTGATGTGCAAATCTCTCTGGTTGATACGGCTATCAAGATTCTTCCAGGAAATTGTCGATCGATAGAATTTCACAAACATTGTATTCAATATGTCTATCTGGGCACACAGAATGATAAAATATTGGATCATTTAAAAAGCGAAAAGTTAACACCAACAATGTTAAAACTATTGACTAAATATGAGAATGAATCGGATATTCAATTCAATATCTATCGAATTCTAGCTGCTATTATGACCGAAGATGATATCAAACGACTTGCAGATCCAGAAAAGATAGCTCGAGTCTTTCTCGATTGTTTACGAAGCATAATGCATGATTCAGTATGGGTAGTACGGTTGAAAAACCTCTTAGCCAGTCTAAAAAGTAAATAACCTGTTGAATAACTACATAGATAATATCATTTGCCAAATGTGTTTAGCTTTACTACAACATGATCAAATTCGTGATGAAATATATAAACAATCAGGCATTTCACTCTTTATTCAATGTGCTAATTCGTCACAAAATGATCCACTTGTTCAACAGCGTGCATTAGAAAATCTGTTGATAATGTCATTCAATAAAAATGTTCAGAACGAACTGAAACAAAACACGGATTTTCTTGAATATATTAAAAATATGTCAGAGACTTCAACAAATGTCGATTTACAACGTGCTAGCGAAAGTTTATTTTGGCTTTTAACCAAGGAGGAAACCTCAGAATCATCTCATTCAACAGATCAATCGTCTAAAACAACTTATGACATCATGATCAGCTATTGTCATAAGGATAAAGATTTATGTTTCCAACTCTATGATCGTTTACAAGAAGATAATTTTCGTGTATGGATAGATCGCGATCAAATGCATGGCACACCACTCGAAGCGATGTCGAACGCGATTGAAAACTCGGAATTCGTCTTGGTTTGTATGTCTGATGGTTATAAACAGAGTGGTTATTGCAAAATGGAAGCGTATTATGCTGTAGAACGGCAATGCTTAATTATTCCACTGGTTGTAAAGGCACAATATCGACCCGATGGATGGCTTGGAATTATTGTTACAGGTCGCATGCGTGTTGATTTTCCTAAATATGGCTTTGAAGATGCCTATCAAAAGTTAATAGTTGAAATCAATCGAACTCGTAAAGAGAAAAAAGCGGATCTGAAATCAACTCTAACGAGTATGCATCATGAAATGCCGAGTAAAAATACACCACCAGTCAATGAGGAGAAGACTAAACTACAATCAACGTACCAGGCAAAAACGTAAGATGAAAATGAAAAGATAGCATGTTGATGATTTTGTATAAATTGTAGTGATCATCGTCTACCTTCGAATATTGAACAATGGACAATCGATGATGTGCAACAATTTCTTCTCAAACAACATCTTGAAAGTTTACTACCGATATGTTCGCAAATGACCGGAACGCGTCTATTGGCAATGTATAAAATGTGTCTGGTAAATTCACCGCTGATGTTTCAATCTCTGAATAACGAATTAGTTATGTCGAACACGAAGGAAAAACGACAAATACTTACTCTCAGTGAATATTTGCAGTTTTTAGAAGAGACAAAATCTTTCGTGCCAGCTTCAATTGAAAAGTCTGATCCAACAAATGTACCTCGCTCAGCTTTATGTGTGCTTTCGTGATATTTTACATTATAATTATGAATAAATTTGCTTTCAAGATAAAAGTAAAACAAAAACTCCCACAAGACACGACGACATCTATCATGATGATACTTTTATTAGTTTCTGACATTCTAACCAATCTGAATTATTTCCACTACTCTATTTTCCATTCGTATATGCAGTTTAGCATTTACACAATCTGAGTCTAAGTGAATGCAGTTGTTTGTTTATCGATTTATATTTATCTATAATGTTATAGAAATTCTTCTCAATACCAGCTCAACATAATCCTTTATGAAGTGTATATTTATTCTAGTTTTTCTTTTAGATCCTTGCATTAGCAATTCGAGATCTTGGACTCAGATGACATATATCGATCGAACTGACGTAGCAATGATGAAAACTATGACTCAATCACTTTCTATATCCAATGAGTTTACGAACAAAAGTTTGGTTCTTAAAAAAATCTCTTACAAGGACATTGAGTGCATAGAAGACTCTTGAACCGTGTGAACATATGTCACTCGGTTGACAAATGAAAGTGATGAATTAAGTCTAGAAGATTGTCAGATTGTCTACTGACATATTTCCATTTATTTTGTCTGATAAAATCTCCTTGAATGCATGGCTATGCCAACCATTTTCCATTCAGCAGGGGTAAATAATAGTTGCGACGACTGCTCGTACTGAAGCATATTAATTAGATATATTTTAGATACCTTCACTTGTTATTGACTACAGTTTCAATTATTCGGTGCTAGTTTTGCTTGAAATAACGAACTTCTGTTTTCTGCTGTCATATATTACATTTAATCGGTATGTTTTCTTCTAGAAGAACAAATTTGCAATGGTTTTACCTTCAAAACTCGCCCAAGATTTAACCGAAACTTCACGTGTACTGAACCTGAAAGATCCTCATGTTCGTTCAATGCTTCTATCGCTGGGAACACGTACATTGGCTTTAGTTGGTTCGATGGTATTCAGTTATTTACTCATCCGTTACGCTATGAAACATCTGGATCCAACTCATGAAGAGAAAAAACGTCAGAAAGAACTCGCCGAAATGATTTCGAAAAAAATGAACTTACCGAAGGCAATTGTAAATAATTTCAACGAATACGAAATGTGTGTTCTCGCAGATTTGATCAATCCCGTCGATATTAAAGTCACTTGGCAAGATATTGGAGGTTTAGATGAGATTATTGATAATATTCGACAAACTGTCATTTATCCATTACAACATCCGGAATTGTTTTCGCGATCGAAACTATTAACTTCCCCAAAAGGTGTTCTTCTCTACGGACCACCGGGCTGCGGTAAAACAATGTTAGCGAAAGCCATTGCTCGAGAAGCAGGAGCTAACTTTATCAATCTTCAAGTAGGTGTAAATCTTGAACATGTGATGATATCTCCGCTTCGGATGCCTTTTAGGTAACATCATTGTTGGATAAATGGTATGGCGAGTCGCAAAAGCGAACAGCTGCTATATTTTCTCTAGCTAGAAAGCTTCAACCCACAATAATCTTCATTGATGAAATCGACTCATTTATGCGTACACGTCAGAACGATGATCACGAATGTACACGAATGGTACAGAAAAGTATTTACTCTACAGCGCTTTGACGTATTTGTTTAGGTCAAAACACAATTCATGACCTTATGGGATGGCCTAGAAACAGACGATGGCGATCCAACGTTGAATCGTATTCTTATTATCGGTGCAACTAATCGTGCGCAAGATTTAGATGCAGCCATTCTTCGCCGCATGCCGACACGATACCATATTCAATCACCAAACATCATTCAACGCGTTAAAATCTTTGAATTGATCTTAAGTAATGAAGATCTTGACACGGATGTTGATTTAGAAGAATTAGCAAAGCAAACATCCAATTATACAGGTAGTGATATCAATGAAATCTGTCGTCAAGCAGCCATGCAACGTATTGTTGAATTGTGTAACAATCGGTCAACGACCAATGATAATGAAGAGCATCTATCCCAATTGCGACCTATCACACGCGCTGATTTTCTCGAAGCATTGAGAAAAGTCCACGATAGTCATCATCAACAACAACAACACTCATTTAACAGATTAACACTTGATTAATCTTAATTTCGTAATAGTCCGTGTTCTTTTTAATAAAAAAAAAAGCACATATCTACTTTATAATCATAAACAAAAAAACACTAATTCATCTTTTTTTTGTACGGATAATTGTATTCCAGATAGAATTGCTTGACAATGTCTCAAAATTCGGAGAATTCGTCGCCATCAAGACGATATACATTGTCATCATGGATACCAACACAATATATCATCATAGGATCCGTTGTTCTTATTGGTTTATTAAATATGTACAAAGGCTTATTTCGATTCTCATTTGGATTTATGGCTGGTGCTGGTATTGGCGGTGTACTCGGGTTTGTCTTTGCTGATAGTCCTGTAGGACAATACATATCGAAACGTAGATCGAAATCTCAACAAACATAATCATTTTTGTGATGCCATAGTTTTAGCAAAATTTCTCTTTATTCCAGAATGATCAAAATATCCCAGCGACTGATTGAGTCTTGAGTGTGTTCATTTGTTTTTTTTTAAATACTCTAGATATCTTTCGCTGAAGATTATGGCTTCTAGTGATCAAAATCAAACGTTCGAAATAGGCCAACGAAAGCGCATCGCTCTCGTTGCTCACGATAACAAGAAGAGTGAATTGCTCGAATGGGTCAAACGAAATCGTGATCAGTTACTCAAACATGAACTTCATGCAACTGGCACAACAGGATCTCTGGTAGAATCAATCTTGGGTATCTCAGTAATCAAATACAAATCAGGTCCATTAGGTGGTGATCAACAACTTGGAGCAAAAATCGCTGAACAATGTATTGATATGTTGATTTTTCTCGCTGATCCACTGCAAGCTCAACCACATGATTCGGACGTTCGAGCGTTAACTCGATTAGCAAGTGTTTGGAACATTCCCATGGCATGTAATCTCTCTACAGCTGACTTTCTTCTCACGTCACCGTACATGAATAGTACTTATCAACGAATCGTTCCAACTTTTGAACATTATTTGAAACGAAATATCAAAACGAACCAGTAGAATCTCGTTCATCTTAATTCAGCAATAGTATTTTAGTCGAATATATGTATAGCTTATTTTTTTATAGTAATAAAATCGATGCTTCGAAATCGGAACTATCAACGCACATAATGTTGATTCAAGCAAACAAATTTTTCTCCGGAAATCAAGGCTAAAGATTAGAATAAATGTTAACATAACAGACGCATCGTGTTCGTGCGTTTGTTCGAAGAAAAAGATTGTCTTTTCATAAGCGACATCTAATACCTAATGTATTATTAAACACACTAGGAATGAGAGAAAAAAAGTCTAGAACTTCTTATATTCAAGAGTCTCCGTTTAGAATGAATTCAATAGTAGTGGATAGGAATGAATTCTATTGGTATAAAAGTTCGTCCAATAATGAACTGGAAAACAGAATTCTCAGACTGAAATGACTAATAAATCTTTAAATTGATTGTCCTTTTTTCTTCTTCTTTCTTTCTATTTGTTTAGTTCTAAGTCTAGTTATTTGTCTTTGTTTACAGAATCATCCAATGCAATAGATATATCCAGATAGATTTAGTTGCTAGTATTTGATTTGCTTTGGTTTTTCCTGGTGATAATCTTCTCTTGTCATTTTACAAAGATAGATGGCAGATACATCAGCAATAGGCGAGAATCCAACTCTCGATCAATTTTATTCACATGTTACATCTAAAGAACCCCATATTCGATTAGAATGCTTTCCATTGCTCGAAGCGTATTTATCTGATGTACATAATTGCACGGACTGCGAAGACTTGAATGGTTTTATCAAAGGTTTATTGAAATGGATTGAAGGCAGCAATTATCGAGTATGATTAGTATTGTCAATTTAGATGACATGAATTAAGAATGGAACATTGGATTTAGATTTCCCATAACGGCCTTCGAATATTAGAATTATTGATTGAACGATTAGATTCTTATGAATTCGAACATTATCTTGACAATGGTAAGAGTGAAGTGAAGAAACGAGAAACTTCTTTATTTAGTTATTATTCGATTGCTTTTTTGTTAAGTGATCTCGGTGACTGTCGATCGATTAGGCGATGGAAAAGATCAAGTAAACAACTCATTGAAAATTCACAAAACAAACTTTTATTTGTATTCATTAGGTACGAGAAGCAGCTAGTCAACTTCTATTAAAATTGATGAAAAAATTCACACCTCAAGTATTGGTTTCATCAAATCGAAAATTCTTACATGAATTGAATTTTTAGCGTATTTGGGATCACCTCCAACCATTAGCTTTTGAAAACAAACAATTTCGCATCAAAGAAGAACTTCAACGATTAATCGTTCGAACATTAAACGAGTATGTAAACGTACCGTTTCTGAATGGTTTTACAAATAGATGACATTGTTCATTATGTATGATAGAGAACTAAGCGGAAGAAGACGACTTCTTCCAAGTAAAAAAAAAGGAAAGAGAGGGAGCGAGAAAAAATAGTTTTCTTTTCTTCTTTTATCTTCGATTCAACTATGATGTAGAGAATGTCATTTGGCGGTATATTATTAACAATCGACCTTGAAATTTTGTTCTTTTTTTTTGGTCGCGGTAGTAGGAGTAGTAAGAATCAACTTCTTGCTGTTTGTTTATTATTATAATGCTCGTTAGCGTTTCTGGCAAGGAGAAAAATGGTGATGCTGAAGGCGAAGAATTACTTGAACGGTAAATAAACATATGTGTATGTCTTCTGTTTGAACATACGTATAGTCGACTGACAGTCAAACGGACTTTTCTACTTCACTTTCACACTTGAAGACACTTTTATGCGTGTGTATGCGTCCTTCTGCCATCCATAATTAAAATGATGCTGTAGTAAAAAAAAGAAAAACAGAAAGCACGAGAAAAAAAAGGAAGAAACAAATGTACGAACAGCTGCCCGACGGTCAATGGCCGTGAGTAGCAACATGCACTACCATCAATGTATACATCGCGGAAAGAAAAAAAAAGTCTATCCTCACTGTCTGTTCGTGTTCACATACTCAGTGTAGACGCAGAAAAAAGAGGCTGTTGCTTTTAGTCTTTTTTCTTCTTTTGTTTCCCCTCATGTGTCTTACACTGTTATTCACCAAAACGAAAAACATATTTAAGAATAACAGATAAATATTATTATTGTTATCTATTTAATTATTATCTACACGATTGAAACTATGCTGACGAATCAGCCCAAAACGTTCACAATTAAATATCCTTCCATTACAGAGTAAGTTCAGATCATTTTGTCTTTCACGTCTGATGTAAAAAGGAGAAGAAGAAGAAGAATATCGATTAGCCAACAGTAGAAATGTCCTCGTCATGTGCAGATCTTTACGATTAATGAATCATTTGTTCGTCGATATTATATTCTCAATTAATCTAAGTATCGTATCGTAACCATAGGATATCTTGCGTCTTCCTTCTTTTTCGTTCGAGCACGAAGATGTAACTTCCATTCTACGTGTATACACGTACGTATCAAAAAAGACAACGTAAAATATACAATACAAAGAGATAGGGAATATGTGTATTGATCGTTTGAGTACATTACATAAGAAAAGAATGACATATCTCTTTTGCTAACGATCACTATCACCATCGCCACTATCCATTTTGTCTAAATGAGTGTTGCTGTTGTTATTGTCATCGAACGGATTATAGATCTATTCTTCGCGTTGTGTTTGCGTCTATGTGTATTGACGACCGTTAGTCAATCTGTATATAAGCAGGTGATTTCCGTTTACTGTTGATAGTAGTCAACACACAAGAGAAAGAATAAAAAAGAGAGAACGGATTAGAATCTTTCATTGTTACTATCTTGTCTAGTCGCAATGAAACGAACTTATTCAACACAGATCATTAATGATAAGTAAGTGAAAAGACTCGATATTCGCTCTAACATTTCAAGTTATAAGTCGCGATGTTAATAAAATGAGAAATGTTATATTTTTTGTTGTTTTTAGGTTCGGTGGATCGGCCATTCAATTGAATAAACTCGTTCCATTAATTTGTAAACTTGTTTCTGATTCTAATGGCACTGTATGTAGTTGCTTAGTTTCCTTTCGATAAATACTAACAATTGATTTAGGTTCGTCAACAAGCGATTGATACACTCGTCGAAATTTATCGTCATGTGGGTGAAAAAGTTCGAGGTGATATAGCTAAACGAGACATACCAGAGGCAAAGTAAATGATTATATATCTATCTGTTTGCTTGTCATTCTCATCAAATTATTTGTTATTGTTTCAGATTAAAACAACTGTACGATAAATTTGATGATGTTGTTGCTAGCGGACGAATGATTGCTAAAATAACTGACACAACGGATGGCACTGCTTCATCTTCTTCTGTAGTTAGCGGTAAGAAAAATTCAATAAGATTATGTATTAGAGATATCATAAATAAGTGTCTAGCAAGGTATTTATAGTTTATTGTTCATCTAGACTTGCACGTGTGTATATATATTTATATACATATTCATATATTCCTTCTTTGTATTGAAAGAAATTCGTCGTCGACGTCTTTCTTCGATTTTTCTCTCTCTTCGTTCAAACACCTTATGGGTATGAGACAAAGGAGAAAAAAGAGCGAAAGAGAGAAAATATACGTAATAAGTGCGTCAAGTGATGTTCGATCGATTTGAATAGTAGTGTGAATAGAGGTGACCTGCCTGACTGCGATCGTTGATTTGCTTTTCTTCTTTTCTTCTTTTTTTTTGTCACCAACATCTTTTACTACTGCTGACCGTTAATCGAAATGGAAGATCATATTTGCATTGTATTAACTCAGTCATCAGCTTCATCGAAATGTGTAAGGTGTATATGTATATGTGTGCTCATCACACGACGTAAGATATAAATGAAAGATAAGTTGATTGTCACCGGGTATATATCTAAGTGACAAAAAACCCTGTATGCAGTAGAGAAAGACGAGTATATAAGTGTGTGAGGGACATATACATTTATACATATACATATGTGTGTATCTAACTACTAACTACCTTACAATCCGATACCATCGTACTTGATCGTCGCGAAGCCTTCTTTTTTTCTGATTATATTCAAAACGAAGTGATAAATTTCAAAGACTATGGATCCATCCTTGCTGGAGCAATTTCTTGGTCCATCATCGACTCAATTTCAACTACCACCGTTGACCGAAGATGAGAATGATGAGGTTCATCCATTGATGACGACTGGATTTCAACGGTTAAGTTACGCGAGGAAATCGTTGCCAGGTAAATACTATATACATATTCAAGGTCTTGTTCATTTCTTTACATGTACTTATTAAACTATTTGTGACTGCATTCGTTCAATCTCTTCTCCTTTTCGATATTATTTATAAAGAGCATCGAGAAATGATTCGGTAATGTTATGTTTTGATTTCATATCTTTTCAATGATAAATTTGCGAGTAAATTCGATCGAAATAGCCCATTTTTTTTTCTTACTTTGCAATCATAGGATACATATCAATGTTCGCTGGTAATTATAAATTAAATGAACCTATCAATCAAATCTTTCGAAAGTGTAATACTTTTAATGTACTGAATGGATACCCTCTTCGAGTTATTCCTTTGAATTCATCAAGCAACTGGTCAACGTTTCTTCGTCCTTTCCTTTTCTGATCGTTTTTTCTTCGATCACGTTGTGTATTAATCGGTTTATTGAACTTATCAATTGATCGTTTTTCTCTCGCTCTCTCTTTCTCTGTCCTTCTCTCTATTTCGTGTGTGCTCGAGTTTATATGTTTGAAATTTTTTAACAATTCGAAGCGATGACAAACGATAAAAAGATGGTGATGTATGTGTAGTTTTCATTGATATTCAAACTTCATATACACGACCATAAAGAATGAAAAAAGCAGACGAAAAAGAATGTGCATCACATTTACAGATGATGCCCACCACGAATGTGATGTTTTTGGCTAGTAAACCTCGTAAGAAACTTTTCCTTTCGATTCCACTCTTCTGCGTAGTAAATATATTGTTTACTTCATGTTTTAATGGAAAATCATTCTATTCTTTTAGCCCGTCCGAAACCGCCGACTTCGAGTGTGAAATCCCGATTCAACCAGGATAATGCAGCAACAGCCCGATCACGTGCAGGAATATCATCAGCAAGTACAACTCCAGTGTCAGCAGGTAATGAACTCAGTTTTAACTAATTGAATTTTTCGTGTAAATGAAATATACAATCGAGTGTGGAAATGAATGTAGATACAGTTTCTTGTTCTTCTTCTGCTCCAATGAATCGTCGTTCACGCTCTTCATCGGGTATACCTCGTCCACATTCATCTACAATATTAACCGGAGGTATCATATCCTTTGTTGTATTGTGTCATCTTTTCGTATATCATCATTAATCAAACTCAACTGCTGTTGTGTTGTCGTATATATTTCTGCACCAGTCGTTCTTCTTCCTTTTCTTTTCTTATTCCTTTACATTCGGTGAAACATATATATGTATATGTGTTATTGTTTCACCAAGTCACATTATTCATTTTGTGTGTGCACACATACACATCTATATCTTTCTTTCTCTGTCGTTGATGACGTAAGATTTGTTCATGAATCGTAAGCCAAATAGTACTGTATCAAATAGAATAAAAGAGATATTCAATAAAAAAATAACGTTTTCTTTGTCTAATTTAGCTGCTGCCAGTGGTGCTGTTGATGAAGCGATATTCGAAGAAGCATTCAATGCATCTCATGCTATACCAGTAAACTAATCAATGTTGACTTTGCATACAAATTCAATTCTTCTCTTTGATTTAGTTATCATCGGCGAAAGATGTTGAAAATCAATTAGTCATTATTCGCGATACTCTTGCTGATACCAATAATGATTGGGAGAAACGTGTAGAAGCGGTAAGAAAGATCGAGAAAAAGAAGGAGTCGACCTTGAACATCTTATGTTCATATATTTTAGCTGAAACGATTACGTTCCATCATAGCCGGTGGTGGTGATCAATATGATGAATTTATTCGTGCTCTCCGTCAACTTGATCTACCACTAGTTGCGACTGTCAAAGATCTCCGCTCACAAATTGTTCGTGAAGCTTGTATCACATTAGCATACATGTCCGTACGTTTGACCAATCGCTTTGAACGTACAGCAGAAGGTGTCCTACCGGCTATGCTCAATTTAATCCAAAATAGTGCAAAAGTCATTGCAACAAGTGGTGCTATTGCTATGCGTTTTATTATCAGTCATACACAAGCAAGTAAAATCATTCCATTGATACTAGCTGGAGTCGAATCAAAATCGAAAGATATTCGAAGGTTTGAGCACCGAAACTGTCTCTTTTCCTCTCTAAATCTTCATATTGATCGTTAGACATACGTTTGAATTGTTGGTTATTATGCTTTCCCAATGGGATTCCGTTTACCTGGATAAACATGGTCAATTAATACATAATGCAATAAAGAAAGGTCTATCAGATGCTGACGCTGACGCTCGTTCATATGCAAGAAAAGCATTTGGACATTTCCGGGACCGTTTTTCTTTATTAGCTGATGCTTTGCTTGCTTCACTTGACGCTTCCAAAAAGAAAACTTTATTGGTTAGTTAAATATTTAAAGGGAAAGGTTTCTTTTTTAATCGATTTTTTGTTTTTTCTTATTTATCAATAAATTAGGGTGAAATGAGTAATTCATCGAGTACACATTCACTAGCAAGTGCAGGCACTTCGAAATTACGTAGTGTTAAAGAGTAAGATATTATTTTTTTTGGTTTGGTTTGATCTTTTTATCTATCAAAATATCACATTTATTTCAGTGCTACACCACGACAAGCTCGAGCATTAGTTCATGGTATGTTTATACAAATGCTCTTTCAAGACATCTCTGTTTTTCTTTTACAGATAAACAGCAATCTCCAGGTAGCCTGGCACGATCTTCGAGTGCGAATGAACTTGCGCTACGACGAAAAAATAATCTATCAAGTAAGATTTCTTCTAGTCCACCGAAGTTATGTTCACTTCTATTCATTCATGAATGTTGACGAGCTCGCTGAGAAGGATTAGTCTTTCATTTAATCGTATGAGTATTGAATCATCACTTCAAGGTTTACATGCATGAAGTTCAATGAACACCTGTAGACTACGAAACAAGACCTTGTTTATAAATAATAGATAAAAGATCATAACTTATGAGATATACCTTGAAAAATGAGATCTATTACGAATAATTTGACTTTCCCTCGATTTTAGACTTGACGACACCTACGATTCAATCTACAACCGGTATGCGTATTACTAACATTGTAAATAGTAAGAGAAACACACGAATTGATCGTTTAGGTCGACCGCGCTTTCTTGCTCAGTCAACAGCAGTAACAACTAGTGCAAAAATATCTACAACTAATACTCGCCCAAATCACACTGTTTCTCAATCCCAACCAGGCAGCCGTTCAACATCGCCAAATTCCTTGAAAACATCCCATTATTTATCGTCGGCGTTGCGCACACCAACGAATACACGGTCAAGAATACCAGTCGGTTCAAGTGGCGGTTCCAGAATATCAAGTCGAGAATCAAGTCCAGGACGAACACGTACGTTAAATCAGACACATTGCCTTTTTTTGCTTTTTCCAATTGAGTAAAACTTCATCACGAATGAGTGAACATAAATTTTTTCAGCGGTGACTGCTAGTGGCGGTGGAAATAGACGTCGATACTGTCGTAAGTTTGTAGATGTATCTGAATATTGTATGTGTATGTTAACGCCGTAGATACTTGTTCTTTCATTTGTTTGATTCATGTAGTAAAAGAAACTTTAATCGATAAATTCTTTTCGATTTATTTCGAATGCAAATAACAATCCCATAATATGTTTAGGACCCTACGGATATCGAGCACCAGGAAGTGATTACGGTGATCATGCACGCCGTGTCAATGGTGCTTGGGGTGCTGATAGCGGCGACGATGCATCAGAAACGTCTAGCATATGTTCAGAACGATCCCTTGAAGTATGTATTTTCCTATTGAAGCACAATCCATACATGTGTGTTCGTTGGCTATTAGGATGTAGCAGATATCTTGCGTCGAATGCAAAGCAATGAATGGACCGAAAGAAAAGACAGTCTCGCTGGTTTATACCACATGATTCGATCAGGTCGTGTATTCAGGTGAGAACAGATCTTGATGAATTATCTGATTGACATTATCCTCTTTGTTTTTTTTTCTTTATATAGTACTCATGAATTGAAACGTATAACTGAATTATTAACAAAACGTTTTTATGATCCACACTCACAAGTCTTTACTGCATTTCTTGATGTCCTACCTGAATTTATAACAGCGTATAAACGTGAATTGAATGAGTGGCTCTATACATTATTAACACGTTTATTGATTCGTTTGGGTGCACCTGATCTACTTGATTCCGTTTATAAAAAATTAAAGACATGTTTAACAATTGTGAACACATCATTTGACGTTCATGCTCAATTTACTGTCCTTATTCGTTTTATAAATGACAACTCATCGGCACCAGGTATCAAAGCCAAAGAAACACTTTTGAGATACCTCCAACAGATCATTCAACATATGGAACCGGTTGATATTGCCAACAATGCAGATATTCGCATTGCTTTGTCGAAAATTATCAATTGGTCTAGTGAACCGAAAAGTATCGAGATGAGAAAGGTGAGTGCAATCAATGCATACATACTTTTCACCATTGTGACGTCAATTTAGGCTGCGCAGGGTGTTATACTCGCTTTCTACAATTTGAATCGACCAGAATTTACACTGATGCTCACTGCCTTACCACAAACTTACCAGGTAGGTTGAAGTGCTCTTTTCTCCCAAAATGACAACGATAAGATTGAATTCTAATTAATTACTGTAGGATGCTGCTGCAAAGATTCTTCGTCCTACAAATGATATGCAATCTTCCACTCATTCTCAACTCGATTCGAAGTATGAATAAAGCTCTTCTTATCTCTTTCATCTGTCTTTGTTCTTGCCTAGATCTGATTTCCTTCAACGATCAAGTAGTAGCGGTTTAACATCTTCATTAACAAGCTCTATGCATTCCGATGTTCAAACACCCTCCTATGCATCGGACATGCGTATTCTGATGGAAAATATGCAAGCATTAAATGTCAACCATCGTCAAGACGATCTATTATTATCAAATCCTCATTCATTAAAAGAAACAGGTTATCAAGGTAAAACTATTCTTGAAATTAACTTCAAAATCTTACATTTAACTTTCAGATTTACGCGCAAATTCAATTCGACACTATACACCACAAGCATATCGTTCTAATCAATCGCAAAGCAACGCAACAGAAGCGTCAGATGTATGTATTTCATAACGTCCTTAGCCGACTTTTAATGAATCACTATTTTCAAATAGAGTATTTTGGATGCTGCCGATCGTCCGGCTGCAATCGATGTTGCCTTGAATATGGCTAATCAACAAACATTGAGCAAAGAACAACGACAACATGCTCTACGTTGTATCTTGAAATTTTCGAAATTAAATGATACAGAAACATGGAACTTAGCATTTAGTAAAACGTTGAATATTTTAACACAAATACTTGACAATGAGCAAGATGAAATCTTGTATAAAGTTTATAGTTTACGTATCATACGGGAATTATTAACACATCATGCAAGTTTATTTAAAAATTATATCGAATTGACCATTTTTCGAATCTTAAAAGCACAAAGCGATTCCGAAAGTGAAGTAAGTGTGAATACTAATGTGTTTCAAAGAGACATTTTCCTTCTTCTCTGTATCTGTAGATCACGCGTTCAGCGGAACAAGCTGCTCATGCTGCAGCAGAATATCTTCCTGCTGAAAATACCGTTCGTGTACTTAAACCAATCGTTGAACAAGCCAAATATCCCATGAATCAATCAGCAATTGCAATGCTACAAAAGACAATTGAATTCATGAACAAAGATATTTGTACAGAACTAATGGCTGAAATGATTCCAGCACTTTTGACCGTAAGTTGACTTGTCTTTTTTTAAACTCACATGAAATGTCATCTGGAACGTTTGACTAAAAAAAAACAAGGCATGGGATTTTCATTCCCAAACTCTCATCAGCGGAAACGCCGTAAGAATTGGTGATCTTTTGTTTTTCTTCTAACGCCAACGCTTTCCTTTGATTCTGAAATATCGCATGGAATATCTACAATGTGACCAAATGCTATAATCTCTATTGAATCCGTCTTTATATTCGAATAAAATTTACATTTTTCTTTCGTTTTAGTCATGGGATAGTGAAACATCAAGTGTACGCAAAGCGGCAGTTTTCTGTTTGGTTTCGATTTACCTAGTTGTTGGTGATAGTTTACGTACGCATTTACATAAATTAAGTGCAAGCAAGGTAAATATCAAATGCAAAACTGTACAAACAAACTGAGTCAATTGACGTATTTTATTGTGGGAAAAATCTGAGATTTATTTTCATCTAGCCTCGCTTTTCGAAGGAAGTTTTGGTAAGACCGAACGGAGATTTTGCGGGATGGCCTGATTCCGCTGCTTGCTTCAGTTTTCTTCTTGATTTTACAAATGTTATCTTCGATGAATTATTCTTCAGCAAGAGATCAGATTTCAGATCATATGAAATATGTCATAGACCTTTTCATCAGTCGTGACGAGATTATACAAAGAGAAAAACGCACATATAGTTCAATCTAAGTACTATGCCTGCTGACATGAACTTTACTTGATCTTTGCTCATGCTAAACTTTTCTTATTCGATGTTTTAGCTCAAACTCTTGAATGTCTATATATCCAAAGCTCAACAACAGACAAGCAATCTAGAGAAATCAGCAACATTCAATGGAAATTCAAATAAAGCCTAAAAACATCGCACCAAACGAACCATTCTCGTCATTTTTGCTTCTTTTTTTTTCCCTTCATGTTATTCGTGTGTACATAGAGAGTTAGACTTTTTACCTTTATTCTTAACTTAATTGTGGTTGTCTATGTATATGTATGTATCGAAAACAAAAAACACAAAAAAGTGAATGATAATAATGATGATGATGATGATGATGATCTTTTTCTTTCATGTCATTCAACGTTTAAAATGTCGAAAATTTGATCATTTATCATGTTCCTTCTTTCTCTTTTTTTTTCTATTGATGATTCAATATTACTATTCTTGTTGTTGTTGTTTGTTGTATGTTCATTATCTTTTCCTTCTTCTACTTCTACTTTTTTTTTCTCTGCTATCAAATTCTTATATTTTCTTCTGTTCTTCAACAACTATTCAAAGAAAAGGAAATAACTTCACATGAAATGTCTGCTTTATAAACATCGATATAAATGGAGTGTTGAACCCTCAGGTATTCCAAGCGAACGAAGTGTACAAAACTGATGACAATCAATTCGTTGTTGAGCGTAACATAGCATCATTTCATACTGTGGAATGCATAGAGCACGTTGTAAACCGTACAGAATATCAAGTATTCGTGCATCACTATCGCTACGTATTCGTACTTCATAACAACAACCTTCGTATGAAACATAAACAACGGTTGCTTGGGTATTATTGGGATACGATGTTGACATCGTGAGATCTCGTTGTTTGAAAAAACGAACCTAACTATTCGATCTGCGTAGGCGGATGAGAATATTTCTTCTATTTTGTATAAAAAAATGCAAAAAAATAAATAGAATTGGCGCTTGATTGGATAGGCAGAAAAAGCATCTGTCTTTGTCTTTAATGAGGGATTTGTTAAGCAGATATGTATGCATACATTGAAGCGTAAGAGTTACATCAACAGAAACCGAAATGAGAGTCGTTAAAATTCTTTTAATTAGCACATAATTGGAATATTAACAACGCATGATCTAGTCGAAATGCTGATTAATAAGAAAACAAAAAACCTCATGTTTTTCCATCTGTCGCTATCTATCGAATTAACCGGACAAATTAAGAATGATACATCCTAGAAATGTCGTAATATGTCAAACATGATTCATTCTGACGAACATATGGAACAATTATTGATTCTGTTCAGAAGATAAGATCCTGTATATATCATCAAAACGATTGAGATCAAATCGACTGCTGTAGTTTGTGATAATCGTAAGATATACAAATGGTTTGATCTATTGTATTTACAAGGTGAAGGCGAGTTTGTCTTTAACAAAGGAGACATTTTCTTCGAGGAAAAATGGATCATTAGAAGCTATTTTTCCTTTGAAAATAATGGTGTTGACTAAAAATAACATTCTTCTTCTTCTTTTTCTTTCAAGATTCACTAATAAATAGCAACAAATTGTGATAAAAGTCAAAAGTGAAAATTAACAAAATCATTTCACGGTAATATTTATCTGAGAAAGACATAAATAACACACGATCGTGTAGGATAAGAATCTTAGCGTTTAGACGAAAATCTGCCATCCAGATAGGAGTTCATTTCATTTTTAGATCTCGTTTCGAATCTCCGATCAGCATTGACGATTTTAATTGAGCAAGTCGAAATTATCTGAAATAGAGCGTGAGAAACTCGACACAATTGTCTTGTATTGATTAACGAAACAACGCTATTAAGAAAATAGAGATTGATAGAAGAGAAAGAATGAGAGGGGGAGGCTGAGACCGAGAGGGCGCGATGGAGAGAAGAGAAGTGATAGAAACCAAGAAAAAACTGTAGACTATTTTTTCCTCTGTCTATTTCTTTCCTTTAATGCTATTCATTCACCTTTTATACACGCACATCGACACATCCGTTCCTTAATATCTGTCGCCCATACTTAGTCTTAGGAGATTTTCAAACAAAAATAAAGATAAGTTATAATCTATCATCAAACCTTGACGACATCAGACCATCTCATTCCGAGTAGATAAGGGAAAAGCTCGATTGTTTTCTTCTTTCTCCTTGATCCCTTCCCCAAGATACAAGTCCTCATGAATATAGATTCATAAAACCGTTTTAGATTCAAAGGTACTCCTTAAGTTTTCATCTCCGTCTTCATTCTTTTCTCTTCTGCCTTGTCAATTGTCAACATGAAGATATACGTCATTGTTTTCGGCATCTTATTGGTCTTGATACAAACAATTCTTAGTCAACCAATGCTCACGCAAAGTCTTTCGGACAATAACAATCTTAAGCGGTACGTCTGAATTGAACTTAAAAGACCACCTGTGGTATAGGGACGTTCGAGCTTTGCTTTCTTACATTGTCAGACAGTATTTCCGATTAATGACGAGATACCCGTTTTTTGTCCTTTTGTCTTTCTATGAAGTGTCATACACATTTACCGAATTGTCGTCTCGTCTTTATTTATTACAATCATCGAACCTATTTGCTTTTGGAAATGGCAGTCTGAAAAAGAATAGGATATATATATTTATTTTAATCTCAAAGATGTGAAAAGCAAAACCTTTTACACGACATGAAATCAAGCCGTTGATGAATACCAAATTAGTCTCTTGACACATAAATCATTTTCGAATGCGTGCAAGTTTTTCTCAGGTAGAACTCGGCAATTTTCCGGAGGGAAAAGCCATCATAAAGCACAATTATTTTCAAAAAAAAAACGTCGCTGCTCAGCAGAGAATAATTTAAAACAAACATATATTCACTTTGTATTTGTTTTGTGAAAATATTGACAAACGGAAGTCAATGTCATTAGTAATGTATTTGAAATCTTTTGGTAACAAAAAGAAGGACACAAGAAAGTCGACTGCCTCGCATCTTGCTGTTTGATTAGAATCTGGTTAACTATTTGTTGATCTTGTTTTTCTAGTATGAGCAGCGCGTGGGGTAAACGCATGTCATCAGCGTGGGGAAAACGTATGTCATCCGCATGGGGAAAACGAGGTGAAAGTGATAGTGAAGAGTTCTACAATCATCTTCTTCAAGATCTCTATCAACAAGCACGTTTCAACAAATACGGTTATCCTCGATATCCAATTGACAATGAAAGTAAGACACTTTGTATTATTCATATCAATTGTTATCTGATGACATGTGTTTCTTTTTAGTTATTGAACAATACTTAGCACAACGTACATCGAACAATGATGGCGCCGCTCAAGAGAATATGTCTTGAGAAGAGCAATCAACATCATAGATGAGACATGATTTGAAAAATACGTTTTTCTTGCGTTTTTCTTTTTGAATTTATATTGGATTCTACTTAAATAGAATGGAATCATACACTAAACCATGTCTAACGTGTACGTTGACCCTCTTTTTAAATTCCATTCACAAACCTCTACCCTTAAAAACGAATTCATTGTTAACATCTATTTAATGAACATATAACTGACGAATTTCGAATTGATTCTATGTAGTAAACATCAATAATTAATCTATCAATGAAGAAATCCTTGTTTATCGCCGTATCGATGAATAATCAAGAAAAAGCGTGTTGAATTGCGAATAATATTGTCTATAGAAAGAATAATTCAAAGAAATGTTTTCCTATTGAAAATCGGAATATTAGCAATTCTTTTATTTCGACTGGGTTTTGTTTTCTTAAGAAGCTTATTCATAAGTTCACTTCTTTTTGTTCATTGACAAGTATTTTCGAGGTTTGCTCGTGTTTTAATCCAGCTGGCTTTTTTTATTCAGCGAAAGAACTATTTTCTATTCTAAAGAACATGGGTAACAAGAAAATCATCATTAAAATTTCGAACTTATTTGCTTGTCTTTTTTTACAATAGAAATATACTTATAACAAGAGGAAAAAAAAGAAAACGTTGATAAAATACAGCTAGTAAGAAAAAAAAAGGACGAAAAGCTTCCCATGTAGATAGATATGCATATATATGTATATAAATGTGATTAAGAAGAACCGTTCGATTCAATATCCCTATAACAAATATCTAAGTGTATAGACAATACTTTTCTTTCGATAAATTCTATGCATGCATATAGAATTGGCAGGTGATGTGCGCTTTGTCTTTTTCTTCAATGTGATAGAAAGTCAATGATAACATGCAGCATAGTGAAGAAGAAAAACATGATCATTGTGAAAGATTTTGCAAACTTTGTTGTTCTCACCATAAACCTGAAAGAAAAGGACATGATTGAGAGAGGAGAAAGGAAAGTGACAAACCTTTGGATTGTCCACCTGGTGGTTGTTGAACGCGAGTCGTTTTGCGAAGATTTCCGTCGTCCCATTGTTCACCTGAGAGGGTAAAACTTGAATCAAATAGATTTCGTCCTCCTAAACACATTCAAAGTTTGGAATAACAATAGAATAGAAAAGTTTACACCAACCAGCACGTGTTGCTGGTCGATTATGAAAACCAGCAGCTGGAATTTCAGGAATCGGTTGATTTTTAGGACTGGTTTTTGCATCGCCATTTGTCACTGGGTGGTTGGTTGATATGACATCACCTGTGTAAGGTTCACGTTCAATACGTCGTTGTTTAAAAGACTAGACAACGAATGTTTTGAAAGAACATTCAATTCAAGCAATAAGAGTTAGAAGTTTTACTTGTTCTTGAATTTGTTCTCTTTTGTTCAATTTTTGGTAGACATAGTCGGTAAAACATATGGTTTCGAGATATTTTCCTGAGCCTTGACTAACATTTAACTAGAACGAGGAAGAAGAATGCTCAGATATTGAAATCGAACTGTCATTTATACGAACTTGTTCATTTTCATAGACAACTTTACCGGCAACAATTGTCACAATGGGTAAACCGCGGCAGTGTAAACCTTCGAAGATGTTGAAATCACATGCTTGATGATGAGATGATGCGCTAATCATCTTCGTTGCTTGAGGATCCCAAATTAAGCAATCAGCATCAGAACCAACAGCAATACGACCTTTCTTTGGATATAGATTGAAAATTCGTGCAGCATTCGTACTTGTGACAGCAACAAATTGATTCATATCAAGTTTGCCTGTTTCAACACCTTTTGTCCAGATAACTGCTAAACGATCTTCAATACCATTGACACCATTTGGGATCTAGGCGTGCAGTTCTGTACTTTTCAATCTCGATATCAAATACAATTGCTTACTTTACGAAAATCATCTTTGCCAAGTGCTTTTTGATTCACATTGAACGTACAATGATCAGTACCCGTTGTTGACAAGGAACCACTAGTGAATAACGAAGATGTTATTTCTTTTGACTTTGACTAGAATGGAGGCAAACTTTGCTAAGAGATCCATGAGATAAGGTGCAGTTGTTGCATCGTCGCGAAGTGGTGGTGACATGACATGAGCAGCGGCATGTTGCCAACATTTATGAAAATATTGTGAACCATCCGTGCCTAAACTTGCCGCAATCGGTTCGCCGAAGACAATTTGACCTAAAAAAATTTTCTTCTTTCACAATGTTTTTATTTAATACGGAAATGTCGTCTACCTTTCAATCGAGCTTCTTGAATTTTGTCGGCTGCTGTCTTACTCATCACATGTACGACGTAGAGAGGACAACTATTTTTAAAAAATTTGCTCTATTTTCTTATTCAAAGAAAATGTCGCGTTACCGAGTTTGTTCTGCAATTGTTATCGCTCGATTTGTCGCTTCAGCTTCGAGCTAAAAGAAGTTTCGTTTCGATGGTCAAGTTCATCCTAAATGTCATCACTTGCCTTTTCTGGACGACTAAGAAGATGACCTTCGGGTCCTGTTACGCCCAATGTTGACATTTCTTTTTCTAATTCTTTGATAACTGAACCATTTTCAGCATGAACCATAGCAATAGCGCCGAGTTCACGACATTTCTTAAACACCTGATAAATTTCATCATCTGCCAACATAAATGTGCCTGGATAAGCCATGAAGACTTTGAACGAATTAACACCTGCAGACATGCGCATATTATTTCAAGAAGGCATCAATAATTCGTCATGCGAACCTTTCTCCTTCGTAAGTATTTCCATATCTTTTCCAACTTGTTCATTCCAACTAGTAATCGCTACATGTAATCCGTAATCACAACAAACTTTCGTATCGGCTCGTTCACGCCATTGATTAAATGCTTCGATTAACGATTGTTCTTTCTTCGGAATTACGAAGTCAACTAGAAGACATTCGAAGGAAAAATGTCAACTTGTTATCTCGTATACTTGATCAACATTCAACTGATGATTATCGAACAACTGTAAGATATTAAAACTACGTAGTAATCGCAAAATCGATTTTTTTTTATCATATTAAAATTATTGATTAGATTTCTAGGCCAATCTAAATGTCTTTTCATGTTACATCATAACAACTATCAAACTATGTGTAATAAAAAAAAACGACGTATGATGCAATTTTATTCTCTCGCATTTTTCCCCTTTCTCCTTTCACATTTTAGCTTTCGAACAAATTAATAAACGACAACAATGATTGAATGAACGGAAAGAAAAATGAAAGAATGATAGACAGTTAATCACTTTGTTTGGGTAGAAGACCACAGGAGAAAATGGCTCGGTTATACGTAATCGATCTAATCAATATGCAAGAAAGCGAATAAAACAGCTAATGATGGCATACACGTACATTGAGTAGGAAAATGAACGATTCGAGAGATATGTTCAAGGGTAGCGTGCTTTACATTTCGTTTTTATTCTTCTTCTCTTTTTTCCTATTGAGTATATGTTCACTAAGGTTCAATGTGTACATATACATATGTATGGTGAATGATGCATATCTTTGATCAGCTGTCGCTTTATTTCGTGACATCATCATCATTGATGATTGACGATGATGTCGTTTCTATCGTATGCAATATACATATTGTATGAAAACAGATTCATTTTCTTTATTGTCATTATAACTATTCTATCTTTCTCATTCGTCATCATGCGCTAGCACGTAGAAAGTTAGTTGAACAGGTCAGGTAAATAGTAGAGAACGCGAAAAGAGAGGAAAAAAAGAGAAAAAGAAAAAGAAAAAGAAAAAAGGCGCACCTAATACATTGATTTGACCATCATATAGGCAGCAGCCAAAGAACACCCAAAAAAAACATAGACTCGTTTTTTTTTCACTCATTACAATTGAACTCGGAAAGAAAAACATACTCAACATAGTTCATCGAAAGCTACCGTTGATTTCTTTAGATATGCTATGGCTGATATTATCTTCGTCATCATTGGCGCCACTGCTGGTGCAGGATTATTAATAAGTTCGATTCTAACTACATACTGTTGTTGTAAACGATATCGACGTGCTCAGTTAAGACGCGATTCTCAACCATCAAAACAACAACAGCAAGCGCAACAACAGCAGCAGCAAGAGGAAGATTATCTTCATACAGTGATTATTAACCAGCATATAGCAAGACATCTTCGACCGCAATCAGCTGTCTCATTTATTAGTAACAATTATCATAATGATATGACACTAATTGCACCACCTCGTCGTCTTGCTGTGCTTGAACAACAACAAAAATTACACGAACCAGCGACACTGATCATTGAGAACCCACTCATATCTCTCTCGACAAATACAATCGAACGTACGCCAACAACACTCCAATCATTTGTTTACGAAAATCCGACACTTGAATTAGGTGAATTACAAACAATTGGTGCAATACAATTTTAAACTTTAATTCGAACTCTCGACTATCGTTGTTCTCTCGCTCTCTCTCTCTCTTCTTTTTTAATACGTACGAATGGTTGTTGTTCCACCAGCAATAGCTGCTTTAGTGCCTGTATAGAAATCATCGGCTGTTCTTGTGCCCATGAAGTGCAATTCAAGATGAGTGTGTGTATCGATACCGCCTAAGAGTAATTTGTATATGTGTGAAAACATATAACAATTCAATAAATAAAACACAAAAAAAAGTACCTGGCATGACGAGTTTGCCCGTAGCATCGATTGTTTTCGTTCCACCAGGTATAATTAAATTGAGACCAACTTGTCTACAATGAAGGAAATTAATCAGTAGATAAACAATTCGAAGATTAGTCTTGTTGACTGCTTACTTGATGATCCCTTCTTCGATGAAAACATCAGCAAGTGATGTACCATCATCATTCACGACATGACCACCTTTGATTAACAGACGATGTTGCGATGACTAAGATTACAAAAGAAATTTCGTCAGAAACGAATTGATGAATCTTTTTCTATATTTATAAGTTTATTTTCGATCTCACCACAATATGGTTTCTGTTAAATTTCGAAACCGATACACCCAATGGAGCATTGGATTCCGGATAATTGGTTCGGACAATGAATTCCGGTTTAGTTTTATCGGAAGTCTCCTTTCTTGTCGATGTAGAATTAGATTTACTATCAGCCGCAGGGATAACAATTTTAGCTTTCGATGAAGATGTTGAATTTGTCACTGTCGTCATAGTCGGAGTACTATTATTGTTATTTTTTCTTGTCTGATCAAAGAAACAAACGTCTACACAAGCCGAAGATAGTCAGAAAGAACCAGCTGGTACCCGACATTAGTAATATCCAACATCGACGGGTATAACAATGAATGGAAAACGTATATATTTCTTAACCTTGAAAGTGTACGCTGTAAACAGCAGCGGTGATGCTTGTTGTACACAGGATACATTCGGCTGAACATAAGAAATCCGTCCATGTAGATTTGCAAGGAAGTTTTCAGTAGATAAACAGCAGAGACAGTTGCTTCTGTATGTGTACAACTGAGGTGAAAAAGTTTGACGAACACTATTTTGGTCAGACTTCGTTGTCTCTCGAATACCGATATGAAATTCTGCGTGGGTATTGAGATCAATTTCTCCCGGGAGAGAAAAGAAAATAATTAGACTCCGACGAAAAAAAAAGACATTAGTTCGATTTGCTACTCTCTTTTCTTATGGTTATGGGTAACAGATTGCTCATTTTTATTTGAAAAGATCTTATATAAAACAGATATGCACTCAACTGCCTCTAGAAGATATTTCACGTAAGTATAAATCGGTCAACTTCGATATTTTCAACATAGATCTTCATTTGAACTCTCTTACCTCGGACACTGTAGGCGACACATTGTGATGCGCATTTGATATGGTCATTTTGAAAATACTGAATTGAGTTTCAAATGAATATCTAGAAAAATGTAGGACAAAGTAATTCGGCCACTTCGATAGTATATTTGTTTCAAACAAACAAACAAATATCGAGTGATTAGTCAATGATACACATGATTATGCATGCACGCATGCCTGCATAGATGCGTGTATGCATGCATATCACGTTCATACGTTAGTGTATACATGCTGATCAATGAACGGAAGTGTCATATCGAACAAACGGATGAACGAATGAACCTGTGTACGAACTAATCGATATTCAATCGATAAACTATATTAAACACCCTTCTTTCTTTCCTTTCTTCGAAAAGAAAAGAAAGAAGTAAAACAAAAGGTAATCTTATGAATCATCAAGAACAATGGTTGAAGACAAATTAGACAGACACTTATGTGACTATTCTTTTCATCGAGACATTGATCCACATCTAATCTGACTAGCAAGAAAATTTCTTCATAGTATAAATAATCAATCAGGCAAAATATGATAGGCAACGTAATTACTTTTACCATTTACTAGTGTCATCTATTAATCGATATCACATTCTATTTTCCTACTACGCAGTCCAGTCCACTTCGTTTTTGCTGAAGGTCATATAATGTGTTATACAGAACACTGTCATCTTTCTTTTTTTTTTCTCTCTCGAATTCAACTGATAAATATCATTGATTTGGCGAATGATTAGATTAATTAATCACCTCGTTTTCGAACTCGACTCTTTTGTTCTTTCAAGCGCAACATAGTTTGTTTTTATCAATCGATCAGAATGCAAAAGCAAAACAGAGAACAGTATCATTTTGTAGGTACATTTTCTACCAACAGTATTGACTATTTCAGATTTGATTTTTGATTTTACATCTAATTGAAAGCAACCAATGGGCGACTTATCCACGCCAGCAATATCGGATATAACAAATACTGATGAATGGTATGATGCTTCTGGCGAAAGCTCATCTTGTAATTCTAATGTGAGTAATCCTTCCAGAAAAGAAAATACTCATGAACAGTCACCATCAAAAAAGAAAATAAATGTTGAAACAAACGACAAACGTGCCATGCAGTTCGCTGAGAAAAATTCAATTAATGTTAATCTCAATGTCGGTCCAGCGCCTCTATGTTATGAAGAAAAAGCGATTGAAGAACGAGAAAAATGTGATTATTCAATCAAAATCACATTAGATATGGCCAAAAGTGGCACAGCACCCAGAGCGATTCGCATATATGCCGATGGTATGCATTTGTTACTTCTTGTCAGACGATGAACTTTGTTTGATTGATTCATACATAGGTATATACGATTTATTTCATGCGGGTCATGCTCGACAGCTGATGCAAGCAAAAAATTTATTTCCGAATGTTTATTTAGTTGTTGGCGTCTGTAATGATAAACTCACACATAGTAAAAAAGGTAAAACTGTCATGGACGAAACCGAACGGTATGAAAGTGTTCGTCATTGTCGTTATGTTGATGAAGTTATTACAGACGCACCATGGGTACTTAATGATGACTTTTTAACGCAAAATAAGATCGATTTTGTTGCTCATGATGAAATACCATATGGAGCTGAAGGAAGTGATGACATTTACCAACATATCAAAGTAAGTCATCCATGATTTAAGAATCGCAAAGAGCCGAGACGTATAATAGTACCTGTCATACTTAACGATTTCTGATTGAATTGTCATAAGATGATTGCGTTTTTTCTTTTAGGCTCTTGGTATGTTTGCTGCAACGCAACGGACAGAAGGTGTTTCGACATCCGATATCATTTGTCGTCTTGTACGTGACTATGATATGTATGTACGACGAAATTTAGCTCGTGGTTATTCAGCGCAAGATTTAAACGTTGGTTTTATAAAGAAAAATCAACTAGAATTACAAACACGATTTGACACAGTAAAATCGAAATTTCGTTCATATGAAGAAGAATCGAAAACATTTATGGAGCGCTGGGAGGATCGGAGTAAAGAATACATTCACAGTTTTATCGGCTTGTTCGAGCGTTCCGGTGTTTTAACTCTATTACAACGAGCACGATCACCAAGAATGTTATTAAATACTCACAGTAGCAACAGTGATACAGACGACGACGATTACATGGTGAAACTAAAGGATACTTCGAAGAAAAACACATCTAAACAACAATCATCAGTGCTTTCAAATGATCGACAATACAGCGAGATGACATAGGAATGAAATTGTGCAATTCTTCCTTGTATAATATTCGTTCGGTTTCTATCGACAGAATTAGTTGACCTCGTTTACCTGTGTCTATGTATTCGAGTGTATTTATCTATGCAAATAAATTGGCTAATTCCAGTAGATTTTGTTTAGCTTGCAGATATTTCAACATTGTCGGAATGTTTCGAACAAAAGAAAAGAAGGAAAAGAGAGAAAGAGTGTTGAATGGATAGAATCCAATGCGAAAGAAAGAAAGAAAGAAAAGAAAAATATATCGTCATGTAAGACGACGACTGGACATACTTGACATGATTTCTCGTTTTATTTCAAATTATTTCTTCGATAAACAACAGTACGTATGTTAACTCATTTTCTTCTGAATAATTGGTCTGAATTTTCATAAGAATATCCATTCAGTCGAGTCATACCCTCAAAACCCAAATCCATTAGTTAGCATCATCTGTGTTTGTTTTAATACTCGTTGCTTTCCTTGCATATTGTTTATTCTGAATCCGAGGAAGTAAATTATGCATTATATAGATAAACAGACGTTTTTCGTCAGATCAAAGTAAGAGAAAGTACAAAACTCAATTATTCACTGAGTATAATAACATCCCTCATCGATCTTCAAGGTTTCATAAGCAAATTTTTCTCTCTCTCCTGAAAGAGAACGTATAATTTTCAATGAATATAAAGGCTTCTGAAAATTTACTCATAAAAATCCCTCATGTCATAAATATTCGTTTCCATTGAATCTGACAGATCGAAAATTTCTCCTTTCGGCCGAACATTTATATTTATTTCAGTTCGCACGGCTTTGAAGACACACTCGAGAATGGAAAAACGTATCCATACAAAGAAAAACCATGATCTCGCCTGGCGTCATTATATATTCCATTTCAAATGGCCATTATTTATTGTATTATTCATGATAAGTTTGATCGTGTTTATCCAGATCAATGTGTCGTCGATATTAGTATCGACACTCAATCAGGATGTATTAGAACTTCCTGATACCAATGTGATATATCCAGTCGATGTGATAAACAATAAAGATGTTAATACAAGTATAAATTATTATCTGTCGAAGAAAGATGAATTAAAATTTATTGATGATGCTAATACGGCGAATCGTCAGCAGAAAATTGTTTTACCATTGATTGAAAACAAGGAAAACATGTCGAGTGTCCATTTAGTTCTGGAATATACGAATGTCTTCGGTCGACCGAAATTCTGTTCACATAAAGATGAGGACATTTTTGGAAGAATGTGTCCGTATACAAATTGGTATATTGTCATATATGTATACGATTACAGAGTTGATTTTTCGTTCTTTTTTTCTGCTTTTAGTAAATACACATGTAATCAAACGTATGAAAAAGATGCTCAAATACTTTTAATGCACAAAAGAGATTTGGATTATAAGAAACTTGATAAATTACAAAGAAATCCCAATCAAATCTGGTTACTATGGCACGATGAACCGAATGAGAGATCACCAGAATTGAATAAATACAAATTCAACTGGACAATTTCATACCGAACCAGTGCAGAAGCATCGATAGGTGCATATGGGTTAACCATCGTCAAAGACAAACCATGGTCGTCCGAACAATTCAATTCATGGATTGATGAACAATTTACAAAGAAACACAATCAAGCTGTTTGGTATGTTGAATGAAAACAAGAATGAGAATGAACGAAAGACATCTATTTAGGTTTGTTTCGAATTGTTCACCAAAGAAGCGCTTAGCGAAATTTCGTTCCCTTCGACAACATTATCCCATTGTCGCATTTGGTCGTTGTATCCGACACAATGAATCATTTTCATTCAATATTCACAACCAATCGGCAAGTACCTGTACTCGTCAATCATCGTGTGAAACCGATTATTTATCGAGCTCGAAATTTTACCTTGCATTCGAATCCCAATCGTGCACGGATTACATTACTGAAAAATTTTGGCGCACACTCGCTTATGGTGCCGTGCCAATTGTTAGCGGTCCCGAACGAGAAAATTACGTTCGTGTAGCACCGCCGAATTCGTTCATTCATGTCGATGATTACGCATCCGATGATCAATTAGCTGAAGCTTTGCGTTCCGTAGCGAACAATCGAAGTTTATATGAAAAGTATCATTACTGGAGACGTTATTATGATATTCGTTATTTAGCAAAAGATATTGAACCATATCGATTCTGTGAATTATGTTATCGATTAAATACGAATAAACAGCGGATCTGGTATGAAAATATCAATGATTGGTTTCTCGACAAATGTTGAATGAACTCCTTTCTCTTCTGTCAGATGTTTCTCTGATTTTATTTTTTACCAATTTTCAGTTGAAAATAAAATACATGTTAATGCAAAAACTGATTTGCACAAAGTTTTTCATTCGGTTTCAATCGACGAAAGATATCCTGCAATAGAGTCGTCCTTGTTTTCAAGCCAAACTGTTTTACATACCGGTGCTTGTTTGAATGGTGGAAATATTGATGGAAATGATTGATCGCGATACGTTAAAATACTATCACGTTTATCTTGAAAGACTTTATACATTCCGGCTTTCGACTTGTCCAGATCAAATTTCGGTACTGTAGTCGGATCACAACAGTTGATAAGGTCACGTAAATAGTCAGTTTGAAGATCACTGAATCCTTCATGATCATCTAATTTCAATGCTTCTTCACGTGCTTGTAATTGACGGATGTCTTGATGACGTTTTTCTTCGGTATCGTCTGGTAATGTAACACGTCCGAGAAAAACATCTCGCACCAGTGCAGCTTGAATATCGAACATATTCAATGTATACAATTGATTCTGCATACCTAAATAAGCGAGACGAGGCTCCGCTACCCAAAAGATTCCTTTGTAGAGATTGGATGGTATGTAAAAATTGCTACTACAACGAAATCGAAGTTTATCAGCCATATAGGAATGATTATGTCGATAGCCAGTGCAAAGAATAATACAATCGATATTATCAACGCTCGTTCCATCTTTGAAATGAATTGTACGTCCTTCGATTCGTTGTACTAATGGGACTTCTCTTATGCTTTCTGGCCATTTAAAACCCATTGGAAATGAACGGTAGCTAATTGTAATTGAACCTGCACCGTATTTGTAACATTGCACAGCTATGTCTTCAGCAGAATAACTACCACCAACGATTAATAAGTTCATACCAACAAATTCATCAGCTCCACGATAATCATGCGAATGTAAAACTCGACCTGGAAACCGATCGATACCTTCAAATTCAGGTATATTTGGAATTGTATAATGTCCCGTAGCAACTATGACATGATCAAAGGTTAAATTTGACGTTGTTTTGTACGTGCGTAGGTCTTCGACAACCACAGTAAATTGTTTCGTTTCATCGTTAAAATCAACATGCCGAACAGCTGTTCGGAAACGAATAAATTTACGAATATCACCAGCTTTGACTCGTCCAACAATATAATCGTATAAAACAGCACGTGGTGGATATGATGCTATAGGTTTACCAAAATGCTGTTCAAATGTATAATCGACATATTCTAAAATCTCCTTTGGGCCATTAGACCAAAGACTAATATGTATTTAATTTCATTTTCTAAAAACAAGATTTGGAAAAACTTACTATCGGTACATGCCCGAATGTACTGGTTCACCACAAGAATCAGTACCAGTTAATGCTGTATATTGCCAAAGACCACCCCATTCCGCTTGTCGTTCGAAGCAAACAAGTTCGACTAGCTGATCTTGTTCAGCCTGTTTGAATGCAAGTAATTGTGAAAGGCCACAAGGCCCAGCACCAATAATCGCTATTCGTTTTCTATTTAACTGGGTCATATATATCACAAAGTAGGGAGTTACGTCGCTTCACTTTTCACGCGGTAAAAGACAAGTTGGTGTTATATAACAGTCTCCTCGATATAGATGATATACTATACATCTCTAAAAATGATAAAACTCGTAACTAGTTTATATGTCAGCGAATACGGAGAGATGTATTTTTGTGATTGTTATATTTTATCAACGGCAATGTCTCTTACATATTCTGTTAAAGAGAATGAAATAGAATAAGTCATCAGTTGGGTTTGACATACCATGCTTTTATCAAATAGAAATCAAATGAAAAACAATCGATTAAAACCTCAACGAGAAAATGGAATTGTCAAGAGAAAAAAAATACATTTAAATATCTACGTTAGTGAGAAATAATCTGTCGAAGAAGATAGGTTCAAAGCGATACTTTCCAATCAGATTGAATGAAATAACTGTGCTGGCACTTAATGCATGTTCTATATCTTGACGAAACAGTCCACCTGATATCTCTAGTTCATTTCTGTAATTTATACAACACATTGAAAGTGAGAAACATCTTATACTTTATTCTTCTACTGCGCTGTGATATTTATAGAATGACACAATTGATGACAAAATGAGCTACGATAAGGTAATTTATTCAGTATCTCAAACACTAAAATTTAAATGTTTAGGCCTAATCAAGTATCTTTTGATGCCATGCTAGTCACCACGGTAGGTCGTACTCGTCTAACCAGGCGACGATTGATTTCCGGTGAGAAAATCAAGACAGCAATCGGTATACACATATCGGATAAATAAGTAAGATAGTACAAGTAAGTATCGGTGATCGTACCAAGATCATCATCCTTTTTAAAGATGGCTACTAATGATGTGGTCGCCAATGGTAACCAAACGAGAGAATAGATAGCCGCAATGCCTAGCAGCTGTACAATCATTTTCCAATTTTTCGACCAATTCCTCAAATTTCTCTGCATTATTCTTCGCGCCCATAATACCCGTATAAGTAAAACACAAGAGCCAATGATAACAATAAATACAGGAAATAAAATATTAAAAAGCCAATTGAATAATGCTAACTCGTGTATTACCTCAATACAATCATCACCACATAGATGTTCAGTGAAATCAACAAGTACATCGCACGACCGTATGCAAATCGTATACAGATAGAATATGATTATATAGAAATGAGCTAGAATAATTGGTAGATAATGTAAGATAAGTTTTTGTCGTTGGGAACGAAGATACTGCGGATAGAAAACAAGTAGATACCGTTCGATGGTGAATATAGCATTGCACCAAATGGTACAGCCAGTCGTGATATAATCGATGTATTTCCAATAGCGACAGAATTGTTTCGTTTGTGGTTGAATATAACCACGAGCATAAAAACTATCGATTAGAAAGAAGACGAAGGAGAATGTAAATCTAATCAACAAAACATTTCACAAAGACTACCTCATAGAAATGGTTATATTAAAAATGATACTGCACAAGATTATGAAGTTAATTAAAATCAAGAGTTGATAATAGAAATATCGACGTAGAAGTGAATATCGAATAGCACTATAGATATTATAAATCGAACAGCATGTTGATGGAATAGCGAAGAGTAATAATGCACTTAGTTTCGCATATCTTGATGCCGCACTTTCGGTGGGTGAAATATCGGCCATTGTGCTCAGAAAGAAGTCTTACAACAACTGATCGTTTACTCAAAAAAAAAGCAGAGACACTTTTTATCAACAGTTGGTAATTATCTCATAAACAATCGAACTTTTTTACAGACATCGATACTTGTTTTTCCCAGTTGTACTCCATTTACTTATATTGATTGAAAATAATTTCTCAAACAAATCTTTAATTGAATAATCTTCTTGTATTTCAATCAACTCAATTCGAGTCTTTCATGCGCTAAAACCTGTAATGACATTGTTCAAAACATCAAACGTCTTTTTATTCAAATCCAAGAAAACACACACCACTTATTCCACTCAATTTCAAACTAGTCAATTAATTCACAAGCACGTTGTATTAAAACAAAACAACGTGAAATTACACCGAATGGCGTCGAAGTATAATATATAAAACATCAACAACTTCTTTTCTATAGAATACACAAAACGTGATACGCGGTGCTTTGAGCGTCCGTCGAGCTGAATCAATATGCCAACAAAATGTGAATATGAACCACACGAATTGTCTTTCTATACAACCTGGTGGTTAACACGCTCTCCTTCTCCTTCTTCTTCTTCTGCATTGTCGCATCGTATGATCCTATCAAATGCAAATCACGCCGTACCTTCCGACGGTACACATCAAAGAAAAGAAGTAAATATTGATAGAATTTGCGAGAAAAGCAACGACGAAGCATTGTTTTCATTTAGATATCAACTAAATCTCCGATGAAATTCATTTGTTGTATTAGAAAGAACTGATATTATTCGAAAGACGAAGAAAATTCTGAATAGTTTATTGAATTTGTAATGATAAGAAAGCATTAATAAAGATATTTCGACATTTGAACAATTTGAGATAAAAATTAAATACTTTTCACTTGCCAGAAATGCGCGAAGTCAACCACAACCGTTGCCCTAGAAGAAATCGTGCAAATGACATGTGTCTAGTCGAACAAAAAAATCCATACCAGAATTGAACAGTTTCTTTCGTTTTCATTGATGATGGTTTTTTCCATTTGAATTTCAATTCTTTCCATTCTTGACGCGAACTGTGTGTTAAACCATTACCCTACGAAAAGCAATTTTCCCTCTCAAAATGAAACTACTTGTTTTCTTTTCGTTTACATACAGTTGGACATTCGACAACGTGTGTACCCGATGGAATATCAATAAATGTACCGAGTGGTTCATCGCCATTCAACTTTCTGCCTTGAATAAATATACCTCTGATCTTTTCTTTCGATTCGATCGTGACTAGAGAAGACGAAAACAGAGAAATCTTCGAAATAAAGTATTTTTAGTTATCGATTTACTCGATATGGTTTCTCCATCGGGATTCCATGTTGTATTGAATTTAGTGATTGGACTTGTCGATAATGGTTGTGGTGAATAATGACGATGATGAGGTAACATTGAACCTGTGCATATTTTTTTCGGTGCACCACTTGGATATCCGTTTATGATTTGAACAGTGAAAAGTAGTGCGCTTATGGCGAGAAATAGATATGAAGCCATCGTTTTGTGTAAAAGAAATAAAGCGATACCAGTGATTTATATAGATACGCAATGGCGAGAGAGAATCAAGTTATCTGAATATGTGACCCTCGAGATAAAGCAGACAAATGCCGTTATTTTCTATTCAGCTTGTTTACACCATCGGTCGATGCGAAAGAAAGAATCGAAAACATATGAAAAAGCAAGCAATGTTTAGTACATAATAGTACTAACGTAAACCAAAACATGTTCGATTGTCGTAAATAATCAAAATCATCTTGATACTTGTAATCAAGACAAATTCAAACCACCTTTCCTTTCATTGTATTGTACTAAGTAGTCTAATCATATCACACCCATTCACTTTTCTAATTGCGCACAGCATCAGCTAATTTCTCTTGGCTAAATCATATGTATACAGATAAGTATTGCCTTATGCCTTTCTCGGATCGTAATAGACAACATCCTATTATTATATTCGACGTCGAACATCTGTAATTGTGTACATCCTTTATTTCCACTTGATGAAACGATTTTCTCCTGGAGTGCATTACTAAAAGATATCTAATGAAGGATATTTTTGTTATTGAGGTGTGGTGGAAAGATCTTCAATAACTAGTAGTTAATATTTCATAGCACGACGAAGGTCTTTGAGTATTATGCCAAATCAGCAAAGACGACATGGGGTGAATCGGAAGCAACAAGAAACTTATTTTGATCTTTTCACATTTAATAGAATGTCCTCAGCTACGATCTCAAAGATGAGAAAAGTAGAAATTTTCAAGTTGAAAGTAAGTTTTAATAGCATAATTCAAAATAATGTTTTTTTTTACACTTGTTGGATACTTTTAATTGAAAAAATGATTAGTTTTTACTAAAATTAGAAGGAAGTAAATTAACCCTTGTTACGTTTTTTCTCTGCACAAGAAGAAGATGCAAAATCCTAGAAACTAATTAAAAACACGTTTTCCTGTTTTTTGGAACTTACCGAAACGTCTTTTCACTTTAACCAAAGAAAATATTGAAATCATTAGGTGATTTGCTTGCGACATTTCGCTACTAATATGTTACAATATGCCATCGGTCTAATGTTACTTAATGAAAATATCAGACAGAGAAAACAAGTGCGTGTCCAGCTGTCGATGATCAAGGCAAAGTAGATTTCATATGAGATTCGCTCGCGGATATTTCTTAACTGAATTGAAAATTATCATTTGTCGATGATTTACATATTTTCTTTTATTTCATTGTAATTTAATATTAAAATCCGCTTGAATATTTTCCTTTGATAACAATATTTACACAACTCTTCAGTGTTCATCGAACGATAAATGAAAATTTCTTCTTTTTTTCAAATTCAATGAATAATTTTGACAATAAATGAGAATGGATGTTTCTCTTCTCTTTATGGTTCGATGATTAGCATGAAATTCTCTTTAATAATATTCAATGAATAGGAGAACTCTTGGATCAAGTAGTCGAGCATATGTATTTATTAAATATATTTCTCATGTCAATAAGTTTAGTGTCATTCTTTGTCAAAGGGAACGTTTACAAAAGAAAAATTCCACCAGTTTTTTTTTAATTGAAAAAGAGAAAAGATCTTTTGAATAAGAAAATCTTTTTTCTTCTTTCTTGATGAAAATAGAAATATTTATTTGACATCTTCCGTCTATATTCGAGTCACTTCTCCTAATTATTCATTGGTTATGAATAAAGGACATTAATAGAAGAAAATGTATAGCGCCATCACCAATCCTTCATTCTTCCTTTTCCACTCAGTCAGTCGACAGCGGTAATGACTAGAGATAGTTAACAACAACGAAGAAAAAACTGCCCGCCAACTCGACCGAAGCTCTCCGTCTGATTTATTAGACATCTTCTCATTCCCTCTTTTTCTTTCTGTTCTTCTCACTCGTTCTTCTCTTCTCTCTTTGACTAAAGCAACTATTTTCATCATTACTGTTAATATAATAATAATAATATTATTTTCGAGAATCGTCGTTTTCCTCTCTGAATGGTATTACTTTTTCCTTCGTACAACTTTGCTGACACAACACATCCACCGATAGTTTTGTAATCATTCAACTCATATATGATTGGACAAGAATAAACAAAGACAGTTTAACTATATGGGTGACATTATACACATCTTTATTCAGTCTGTTCTCTTATTTTTTTTTTCCTTAACCATCACTCACTCTTAGGCATTGGCGCGCATATATACAATCACCAAGAAGTGAATATACAGGAAAAGAGAAGAAGAAGAAAAAGAGGAAGAAATTCACTTCTTCTTCGTCTAGTTCGTCTTCATTTTTCGAATATATTATCAGGGCAAGTCGGGAGAGACAGAGAGAGAGAAGTGAAGAGAAAAGAGAATACATGATCGAAATATTCTCGCTGCTCATAACCGATTAAAACTCAAGATAATTAGTCTGTTCTGATTCCATGCATTTTTCTTCGTCAGACATCAGCATTGATATGATCAATAAAAGGTAAAAGTAAGCTATAAAACGTGAAAAACCCGTTAATCTCTTTTTAATTATTATTTCTTCTTTAGTTGACAAAAAAAGGGAACGACACAGAAAGAGGGAGTAAGATGGAAGGAGAAAAGAAGTATTCGATTTTTTTTACTTCAATGGAATGAGATGAGAGAAATATTGATAGACAAAAAATAATTCTGAGTAATGAAGGTAAGCGAACCAAAGTAGATTACTTTTTGATTCTAATATGTATATATACATGTATAAATGTCCGTGCCAACGCGATTAAACCCGTGTATGTATGTATACGAAGTGGCAATTAAACTTGGCCTATCTCTCCCTCTCTCCTTTCTCTTTCTTCTCACATAACTCTCACTCTTGGTATACACATATATGCATTCGAATATGTAAATCAAGCGCGAATAAACGAAGCTCATATTCATGTTAATCGTCGATTACCGAGAGACGAAAATCATATTTCTTGCCCTTCTAGACATATTCTAGATATTGTACGATGACGATGGAGGCGTCGTCGAATAGTCAAAGTGGATCATCAACGTCAGCATCATTATCATTACAGTTATCTGTTGAACAGTGGGAATTACTGCGCCGTTTACGCAATAGTCATCTTACAAAAACACAAATCATTCGAGCTTATGATGAACTCGATCGACTTGATCGTGAACTTGGAAGTTTGTTTAATACTGCACCAGCTCCTCCTCCTCTGCCGTCATCAGCATCGTCTCATTCCTTCCAGTTTTCATCTTCGTCAACGATTGTGCCTTCAACTGATCCGGTCTCACCCTCTACAGCTAACTCTCAACAAACATCTCCACCCTCAATTACAAATAATAACAAACGATCACATAGTCAAATTGCTAATGGATTAGCACCAACCCGACCAACGAATGGTTATCATTCATCACATATTCACCATCCAGCATCGTCGCATGCTAATATACGAACAACAAAGTCTAGTATTAATGAAACTAATTCGACGACATCGAATCACAATGAAACAATAACGCAAGCTGATCTCGAAGAAGAAGCTCGAGAACTACAAGAATTACTTGCGTATGTTTTCTCTGGAATTCACTGAAGTGGAATAACAAAGAGATGTAGTTAGTTATTTTTGAGATAACTCAAGTCTAATCAACATTTATCAAGTATAAATTATAGTGTTGAAATAAGAATCAGTCTGGAAGAATTCATTTTGATGATCAAATTGATATCTTGAAAACAAACGATCTACTAGTTGACTTATCCTTCGTTCAGCCTGCAGTCATTGCACTCTTTTTTTTAAGAGGAAAGTCCCCTTCTAATCGCTTTATAATTCGAGATAATTGAATAATGTTCATGAGAGATTAGAACAGAAGAGTAACGAGCGTTTCTATGTTCTAGAAAAGGTGACGTGGCAATTCATAATGAAATATCTGTGTTCGTCTACCGTTATGATCTCAAACAATCACAGATCGCTCGAATGGCAGGTGAGATGATGAATTGAAGAAAGTTTCAAAACGAAAAACTGAAATCTTCCTTTTTTAAGCGGTTAATCAAGCTTATGTATCGAAATTTTTGCGTGGCGACTTGTTTGATTTATCCGAAAATGGCCGTATGGCAATATGTCGATGGTACATACGATACAAGAAGATTGTTCAATCAATGGGTAAATATAAAAGAAATATTCATTGTGATCAATTATTTTTCTCATTAAATATTTATTCGATCGATAAGGCGAACATTAGTGATCATTAAATGAGAAGAAAATATGAATATTTATCTTTAACTGTTTATATGTACATTATGAGATGAATTTGTTTTTAATTAGCAATTTATGTAGGAATGAAAAATGAGTCGAAGCACGTTCATTAGATGATGAAATGAAGGAAATTATGTCGAACTTTTCAAGAATTCGGCGCGAGTTATTAGCCGAAGGACGAGAAATGTTTTTCGAATAAGTTCTAACAAAGCTTCGTGTTGATTTAGGTGGTACACAGCCATCGAGTGAATTACTTGCAAGTTTAACATCATCATGCGAACCGCCAACGAAAACGGCACGTTTGAGCGAATCTCAATCCAGCAATAATTTGTCACCTGTTTCATTCGATGCACCGAAACGTACCCGATTTACTTTTCGACCTGAGCATCTCGACGTAAGATTGCTGTTGTTAGACAAGAGGTGAAAATCTATGATTGTTCAATGTTTAGATCCTGGAAAAAGCTTTTATTGATAATCCATATCCTGATCCACGTCGGCGCGAAGACATAGCTCGTGTTTGCAATGAAGCACGAACTCGTACCGATGGAGCAAACGAAGTATTAAACGAACGTGATCGTGTCACCGATGCCATCGTTACACATTGGTTTCAAAACAAACGAAAAATGGCTAAAAGTCAACGAGGTACATCATTCAACGTTCAACGAATTGATTCAGAAAGAAAAACGAATGAATCTTGTTTGTTTTTTAGCATCTATTCAAGAAGAGTCTATTCCATTAACTTTAGGATCTAATGGAAATAATCATTCATCAAATATGTTAATCAGTGATTATGAAAATACGAATGGCGGTGATGATGATCTGCACACGCATCATCAACAGCAGAAATTGAACATCCCACTTCTAGATATTGACTGTTTCGATACTCCTGCATCATTATTGGATCCTCAAATGGCTGCATATCGAGCAATCATGAGTCGTATGGTTCCATTTGCGAATAATATCAATGGAAACGGTTCACCGCGACGATTTGTCAAACAGGAACCGATTTTAAATCAAGATGAATCGAATCAGAGTGATGCTTCTAATTCCCAATCGCCATTAAATGATCATTTATCACCGTGAAAACAAATGGAAATCTTCATTTTCTATACATACATGTATACATAGAAATCTATTCTTGTTTTATTCTAGTCTTCGTCTGTATTTGTGTAATGTATTCATATACATTCCTTCCGTTTGGTTTTTCTTTACGAATATAAAGCAACAATACGAAGAATTTCGCTACTAAATTATACAAGAAGAAGTCCCATTGAGTAGAAGATGATTAGATTTGCCTTTTCGATCACTTAGAAAAATCTCTTTAGTTATTTAACTTTGCTATTCAAGGTTCGGCATGTTAGAAGAAATGATTAATGGCAATAAATTATACAATATCATACTGTGCGTATAATCGAACTTCAAAATAGATTTTCTTCATGAAGGTTACTCAGTATACGATCGATTTTTTCGTGTTAATGAATACTTTAATGAGATTTTGACTTGTTTCTTGTTTGCATAGAGGAAAATCCGACTTATTATTGATAATATAATTAACATAAGAAGATAAAAGTGCAACGAATAGATCTGACATTAAGAAAAGGCAAATCAAGGTTAACAATAAACAATAGATACTGCGCGTGTATTTCATAATTAAAGAGGTTTTTTCTTAAAATAATTCTCAAGGGTGCCATTCTGAAACAAAATGAAATTAGCCTGGAGAATGTATTGATTCGAGGCCTACTTTCTTTCCATTGAACGCGCGTAACTTAATCTGAGTTAAGGCAACGTTGAATACCTAAACAAATAGCGAAAGTGTTTAAGGAAAAAAGAGATCTTGTTCTAACTTTTTTCATCGCTGTTGAGATTGCCGATGTTAGAACTTGTTCTTCCGTAAACCATTGGGCTTGTGCAGTTGGAATTGAGAGATCATCTAGTGCGTAGTAGATGATATACTGTTTATCAATGTGAGAGAAGAGATGACGACACTAATGAACAAGATAAGATGAGATGACATAATAGGGAGAGAGAGAGAGAGAGAGATACTTGGCCGGCTAGTTTGATGTTATCGATATTGCATGATATGTGTTGAATTTGTTCGATGAGAAAAGTTTTTCGTTTTCGTTCATTCATTTGATCGAAATCAGGAGGAGAAATGACTTCGAAGAATGACCAAAGGCCTGATAGAAGATTCGATTGTTTCTGTTTCAGCATGAGAAATTCCAGTTGAGGATTGAGACGATAGAGAACTAAAATAAACGATGTTTCTTCTCGTTGTTTAGTTTTGACTTTCTTTCGTGGATAATGTTCAACGAGTGAGCGACTAGAATCAATATCAGTTGGTTTTAAACAAAATGTACAATTTGTCGAGCATTGTTCAATATCAGTAGAAGATTGGTGGATCTATTAGACAGCGGATAACAAATTTGATTTGATTTTGAAAGAAAAACCAAACACAAGATACTTGTTGTTGATATGCTAAACATTGTTTTTGTATTGGACATTCTGTACATTTGGGTTTTTGTGGTGTACATATTGTGGCACCTAATTCCATGAGACTTTGATTTAAGTCGCCGGGTCTTTCCGGACACACGAGATCAGCTGCCAATGACCTAGGGATATCATATTTACTGCAAGCTGTTTCAAATAATTGGCTAGCTTTTTTTTTGTACCAAAGATGGTCAGTTGTAGATTTTTTCTTCAAATCACTTCCAATACATCGTAAACGAGATAGAACGCGGATAACATTTCCATCAAGAATTGGATTTGGCTGTGAAAATAATAAAATTTCCAAATCAAAACAAGGCAAACCATGCTAAACATACTAGACTAAATGCAATCGAGCTTACAGCACCAGCTGTATATCGACCCACGCCAGGCAATCGATTGATCATGATATCCAAATCATGTGGAAATTCACCATTGTATTCATTGACAATCTAGATTGAACAAAATTATGTTGTATTAACAGTTGTCTTCGCAATACCAATTGAGCACATTTATGTAAATTTCGAGCTCGATTATAATATCCAAGGCCTATTTGAAAACGAAAAGTAAAAGGAAGTCAACACCTTTTAATCACACGGTACCAGCCCAACATTTGAGAATATCCTTGAAAAAAAAACTAAGTTAATATCAACGATAGGATACATTCGATCTACTTACATCTTCGGAAGCATTTGCTAATGAATTGACATTCGGCCATTGCTTTGCATTTTAAAAAGAGATAAAACAACATGAAATGGGAAGTATATTTCGCTTATAGTTACATTCATCCAGGTCTCATAGTATCGAATAACTGTAGCAACTTGAGTTTGTTGAAGCATCAGTTCCGACACGAGCACTGCAAAAACAGGAAATCTCATTTCGGCAACTCGACACTTTTCTTTCAATATTCGAACCTCGATAGGCGACGATATTGCTATCTGTATCATGCCAATCTCTCCATGGTAACTTTCGTTTATGTTTATCGTACCACGCTAACAACGAACGACGACATAATGTGATTTCTTCGCTTGAAAATCGATGACGAGTCATTCTAATCTACAAAGAGAATCATTCAGTGTACATTCATGAACACGTAATTGAAAATCTTATTCACTATTATAATTTATTCATTATTTATGTCATAAAGCAAATCATAGACATGAAAATCAAACATAAAATATCTCCGAAGAAGTGTGAAATGCAAAAATAGATTAACAACTAGAAAAAAAAGGAAATACAATTCATTGCGATTTGACTGGTTGAGTTTTACAACAAGAAAGAAGAAATGCGAATTTTCACGAATAAAAAAAATGACATTAATCGATTGGCGAGAAAAAAATTGTTCTCTAATATAAAAACAGAATCAACGAGCTGCCATAACACCAAGAGTTAAAACATCATTGCATAATTGACACACTCTCACTGGTTTTTGTAGATTGAATTTCATGATAGGTAGTTCATTGACTGAACAACGTTTGCATAAAACTCGACCACAATGTCGACTAGAACAAAATGAATTCGGTGATTTCAATCGTAACAAAGCTCATTTACAAACCAATGATGTCTTCGATTAGTAATTGTAAATTTTGTTCCACACTCTAAACAAGTTTCACTTTCACCCCATGGTGGTTCGCGTGTAATCACATCTGTGAAAGAAGATTGTCAAAAGAATTATCAAGAAAATTCAATGTTTACCAAGAATATTAACAAGTAGAGCTCGACTTGCTGCAGGTATGGTGAATATTGACATTCCTTCGCTGTTACAAATACTCAAATTAGCACCTGCTGTCACAAGAGCACGACATAGTTGACCTTGACCATTCTTATATGCCAATATAAGAGCTAAACGAGAAGAAAGGACTTTATTGATCTTCGAACAAATCAAATCTTACCAGTATTTCCTTGTCCATCTTGAATATCCAACGGGAAGGTTGGATGGTTCTTTAAAATGATCTCAAATATTGCTTGTGTATTCTCTTTACAAAAGGCTGCCAGCATATGCAGACAGTTCATTCCTCTAGAATAAGAGCATTCGTATTCATTCGAACTTCTTGACTAGCAACATACTTCGCATTCAATGTTAATATATCAATATCGGATTCTGCCAGCAAGCATCGTACAACGTCCAAATGACCATGCTGTATCGCCAGATGTAATGCTAGAAAAATAAATCATTGAAAAAGAATATTTAAATGGTATCCTAACCAGTATTTGAATTAGCATCAAGTAGATTGGCTTGAATGTGATTTTCCAGAAGTATACTACAAATAACAGCACGATTGTTTTCGGCAGCTATGTGTAAAGCGGATCGACGGTTAGCTGTCACATCATTGATATTGGCTCCGGCAAGTATCTAAATACGAAAATAGACAGTAGAAGTCTCCAAAGAATGATGTGTTCGTACTAAATTTCGAAGAATAATTTCACTGCCTATTTGTACACTTAGATGTAACGGTGTAAATTGACTTGCATCTTGTACACGGTTGTTAATATTGACGCGAACAGTAAGTAGAAAGAGAACGCCTTCAATATCACCATTTTGTACGGCGACATGAAGAAAATTTCGACCTTTATTATCGAGCTAAAAATACCATTGGAATCATTTTATGAAGTTTTTCATCATTCGAATCTACCTGTTCGGCAGCGCGGGGTTCACGTTTGAGAATTAGATTAGCGGCTTCATTATTTTTCGCTACCATTGAACAAGCAAATGGTGTTTGGTTCTGTTTATTACGTATAGATAGATCAAGACTCGGTGCACCAATTAATAGATTGATTATGGTTGTATGTTGATTGATGATAGCAATGTGGAGTGGAGTGTTGGCTTCTGCATCCTTGAATATGAGAAGTTTTCAAGATGATATCTGAATTTGAAGTTTACTTCATACTTTTTTGTTGATATCAGCATGATGTTCAATCAATGTTGAAACAACTCGATCGAGACCCCATTGAGCAGCTAAAATAAAATAAATGATTACATCAACTATTTGTTACGCAAACATACCGAGATGTAATGGACATTCTAAAGTTTTACATATATCAGGCATTTCACCATTTAAGCCACTTTGACGAGGAGAATCGATATCACAACCGCTAAAGCAGTCGCTCAATTTCGAACTCACATAATCCCTATCGACATTGATTTACCTTTTGATCAGAAAGCAAGCGATATTTTCATTATTCTCATCAATAGCTCGATGTAAAAGCGTTTGCCGACAATTGTCCGGTCCATTCGACCATCTACAATGAATAAAAAACTCAATAAGACAATCCTATTCGTTCAATTCATCTTACTGTGTCGTATCACAAGAATACTTGACAAGTATCGATGCAATATCTTCTTGCCCAGATTCCAAAGCGTTCCACAAGACACTGTCGTTGTTTTCATCCACAACATTCATATTAGCACCATTGCGACAGAGCGCTTCGATAACTGCTGGCAAATGATGTTTTACAGCGAGTTGAATTGGCGTTAAGCCATGTGTTTTTTCATTGACATCTACACCTTGGTCAAGTAAGAACAATGCCGCTTGAACATTTTGTTTACTGATCGCTTGAGCTAACAGAGGTGTTTGTTGTGAATCTTTAATATCTAGTTGTGCATGGCAAATTTGAAGAAGTTGTTTGGCTATTGTCAACATATTCATCCACAATGTTAACGAGAAGACACTCTGACCGTGCTCATCTTGTATATTAAAATTCGGTTTCATACTCTCGTCATATATTTTCTCTCGAAATTGTATATAGATTTCAAGTATGCGTTCTTGCGATGCATAGACGGCGCGATGTATAGGTGTCTGTAATCCGACAACGGAATCCTGTTCTTTACTGAACGACAACAATTTATGTGTTTGGAGATTCGGATTTGCTTTGTTCTCCAATAATGCTGTGGTGAATTGTTCAAGACCGAATTGCGAAGTTAAATGCAATGCTGTTTCTCCATTTTTATTCGCGTGATTTATGCTCGCACCTTTTCTTATTAGATAGAGACCAGCTTGTTGATAATGATGACGGGCACATTTATGTAATAAGGATTCGTTCGACGACGGATTGATTGCATTAACACTCGCTCCACGGTCAACCAGTAAACTAGCTAGCGTTTCTTTATCGAAACTGGAATCTAAATATGACAAACAACGTGTTTTGGTTTTCTTAGCTCATTAAAACATGCAGTCGACTTATTTTTCCTTTGAAGAACGCATCGGTAGTCAAAGAATGTCACTTACGCAATTGTTCTGCTTGTTGTAGTGCAAGCCAGAGAGGTACATGATCGTCTTGGTTTCTATCATCTAGTGCTAATTTGGGTGCTTTTAGTAATTCTTGAAAAACACGCAGATTATCAGAAAGTATTGCGCGATGGAGACAATTATTTCCTTGTGCGTCTTTTTTCTTTGTATCAGCACCGTATTCTAACATAAGGTGAGCAACGCGACACATGCCAGCCATGACATCAGGCAATAATTCCGCTGGATTCAACGAACTCAGCAAATGTAATGGAGTTTCGCGTCCGACGTTGGTTTGATGGTCAAGTAAACATGAATGTTTAATAAGAAATGTTGCCGAGTGTTCATCACCTGAAAGATGACTCGGATTTAATTAGCGAAAACTAGTCGTTTATCTTCGTGTACCTCGTTTGATGGCTAAATGAAGTAATGTTCGATTTTCTGCATCAATATGATTTATATCTGCTTGATGACGAACAAGATTTTCCGCCATACTGTCTTGCTTGGTTTTCAATGCTAATTCGAGAGGTAATTCGCCATGATCATCGAGTTCATTGACACGCGTTTGCAACTAAGACATGAAACAAAAGATTTCTGTTTTTGAGTTCAACAATTCGACTTACATCAGCGTCGTTATCGATCAAATAGAGGAATAGTACATCTTCACGTTTCATGCGTATAGCTTGATGCAATGCATATTTAGTTTTCTGTTTGAAGAGTTTGTACGTCATCGGAGCAGGTAGATGTTGAAAATCGTCGCTGGTAAAGTCATTCTAAAGAAAGATTTAGTTCAATAATATAAGAATGCCATTTGAGAGATCGTTCGAACCCAATGTGTACTGATCAACTGACTGCAATGACTGTGCAGAACTTGTGCACCGATTTCTTCGGCAACTTTATAAAATTTCAAACAGTTTCGAACAGAAATGATCGATATCAGTGCAGATTCACATCTAAATTCGATGCAGATTAGAGGATTGAGCAAAAGCTGAACTCGAACTTGACTTACTGGTCGATTAATTCTCTCAATTCAAAACGCTTTGCTGTTTTCATTAGATTCAGAAGAAAATCTTCATTTTGTTTTTCATCTATTTCATCCGTATAGACCCATTTGATTAACTGATAACCAACATCATATGGAATATCTGATTCAATAGATTCGTTCCCAACAAAAGTTCTTATCAATTCAATTCTCTCTTACCCGATAGATTAAGATCAGATGCATCACCTAATTGTTGTGGATCCCATTTGACACTACGGGCTGCTAATATAAATCGGTGCCCGTACAAAGTCTCTCCATCGAGTTTGATGGAAATATCACTAACATACAGGAGAAAAAGAGAATAAATACTTGAAAAGCCAAAATAAATCGAGACCTGTAAAGCTCTCGATTGAACAATTCGGCCACTGTTTTAAGCAAACGACACACAAAGGAATCTTGATCGAGTTTGGTTGTTGAATTCAATACATTAAAATTTCGCTCTAAGGCCTTATGACGTTGTTGAAGTTTAACATACTCTTCCCGAAGTAGAACGAGATGTTGCTGCAATTTAACGACTTCACTTTGAGCGTCATTAGTGCTCATTTTATTTCGTCTGAATAATCTGGAGAAAATATAAAAAAGGCAAAGAGTAAAATGCGAAAATTGTTCGAAACATTGAAAATTATCTCTTACTTTTAAGAAAAACGAAAGAATTCTTTTCGTCCTTTCGAAATATACAACCTGGATGTTTCGTTTTTTGTTTTGTGGATAGGATTTCAAACCAAAGAAAAGTTATCTTTTGTTTCAATTTATTTATAGCGACATCTACCGAGTCGGAGTATAGATTACTTCGGTCTAACTTATTTCCTTCAGTAATAGTTGTTGATGAATCCTAGACGACTCGCAAATATTCTGAACACAAACTTGATGTATTCGTTATTTGTAAAAATCAGCATTCGTTTTAAGGGTTTTGCATTCTCTCCGTAGAACATATGTAGATGATTGTTTCTTATTCCTTTGCAGTTCGATTATCGAAATATTAGAAGCTGCCTCGCCTTTTTCTTACATTTAAGTCGTATACTATTGTTACCATTATTAGCCAACACAAAGGACAAGTACAAGTACACTGTTTTGTTTTGAAATATTTACGTGTTCAAGTACGTCTACACGTAATTACATTTCACACTACGATAAGAGATATATCTAGCCTAGTTTGATAACTCCGTCTATTACGTTTTCGCTAGTATTTTGCTCTTGTGTTGACTAAGTGCAAATGTAGTTTACAAAGGATATAGTAGTCGAATGACACGAGTGGAAAAGTTTTTCGTCTTTGTATTCCAAGGTCATGTATAAGTTGTAAGTGTTCTAATGAACGTAAGTTGGTGAAGTTAGTTCATGTCACATGCAACTGTAGAATTATCGTTTTATTTTTTGTCTAAAACATATTCTCTCTTCACAATAGAAATTTTTGTAAAAAAATATTACGAGAAAAAGTTTTCTTTTCACTCAAAGTTAGTAATGATAATACCCATATGGATAAAACCCATTCACACGGGGTGCATAAGGTGTAGATGTGGAAAATGGATTAGTAGGTGTAGATGAATACATTTTCGGTTGTTGATAGTACATTTGTTGACCTGCAAAGTAGTTTGTTTGTTGAGGTTGAGATGTATATGTAGTTGAAGGCACAGCCATTGTTGTGGTCGAAGGTGAAGTAGGAGTAGTTCCTGTGCTGCTTGATGGCGGCTTTTCTAGCACTGGTGTACGAATTTCATACGTACGAAATCGATTTTGACCAGATGGATTTCCACCATTGTCAGGCGTGGCTGAACCACGTCGATCGATAACAATGATGCGCTCTCTCATCGGTGATGTCGTAGATCGCCGAGCTTCTGCCCGTTGACTGTTAACGACTTTGAATAGATCTTCCATGGTTTCCTTATCTAGCTCCGTGCTCGGTGATGCGTATATGGTAGGTGTAGTTAATGCATCGTTGTTGACATTCATAGCACTATTTGATCTTCTCAATAATCCCGGCGGATTTGAAGTATCATTTATAACACGTACACGAATTTGTTCTTTGCCAGTAGCCGAAGATTGACTCAGATTGTTCGTACTAACCGAACGAGACAATGCCGACGACTGTAAATCAGTACCTGTCGCTGAGCGATGTACTACTTGTGCATTGCTAGAGGAGGGCTGCGTATTGTTAGAACCTTGTGATGAATAATAATCACCGTTTGAATTAGTCATAACGAGATACGGACTTGTATACGGCCAACCATTCGTATTTTGAGATGTGAAGGCTGGTACAAAACCAGGAGAAGGGAGTTGATTGCTGGATGGTCTTTGATATTGAACTTTGGAATAATTGGGATTTGTAGATGAAGAACTGGGTTTTATTGCAACCGTAGTAGACGGTGTTGCTGGAGATGGTACACTTGGTGTCGAAGGTTTTGGTGTTTGAGACGTTGATGAAGAAGACGTCGAAGCAGCAGTCGTCGCGCTAGAAGCCGATGATTGTTGCTGATTTTGTTTGATAAAAGTGGAGTATGCTTCTTTGTAGCGTTTATCATAGAGATGATTGATTGGATTCGGATAAGGAGCAGCTGGATTATGCGAAACGTTAAAAATTGGAAATTCATATGGAGATGGATCATGATCCTATTCGAATAAATAAAAAAAGAAACTCAAGAAAATGAATATAATCATTGCTATCTGACCGTATTTCGAGCTTCATGCTTAATTCTTGCTACAAGTCCTTCTAGTCTTGCAGCTAAGATATCGGCATCGACATTTTGTCCGCTGTACTGAAGTTCATCTGAGATTGATTGCGCTTCTTCACTCAGAACTTGGGTTAAACGTGCTACTGTTTCCGTATCCATGCCAGCTAGCTTTCGAGCGACGAGATCCACCGCTCTTGAAACCATAAAATTGTATTTCGGCATTGTAACTCAATGCGTGCGTTTAATAACAGCGAAAAGGAATAGTAAAAAAAACACGACAAGAAAACTTGTATTTAATACACATACGCAATAATGATAACGACGAAATCAATGTGATCTGAATAACTCAATGTGTTACCTTCTACCTTAACTAATATATTATTGCATTTTTTCTCCTTTCATATCGTTTCGGTTATTAGTCACATTTTCTGTACTTGTACAAAAACGACTGCAAGAATATTTTTTGTTTATTCATCCTAGACTAACATGTACATTCACTTTGACTAATGTGAATATGAAACAGTCTTCGGCAATATATCATACTGATGATATTTTTCTTCTCGTTGTTTCTTTCTAATTGAATTGAAACAACTGTATTTGATGACAAAATATCGTGCAAGCGAATGCGCACTGTAATTCAAACTATTAACAAATCACGACATCTGTTTTAGATGTGTACGATGTTCGATAGGGCTTTGAATGACGATAAGAATTTGGCGCTAGTTGTTTAGAGGAAATATGATGATATACGATTGGATCTAACTAATTGAACCGATGTTTAATGATTTTTTTTATTTCATCGTGAGTTGTCGGGTTGTAATTGTAGGGCATGATGTTTCGTTGAAGCGACATTTGGTAATGACGTCAAGCAATCAATGAATAACGTAACACGTCTTTTGGCAAACGAGACGAGTTCAATGCAAAGATGTTTGAATTATATGCATGTGTTGTTTGTTTTAGATATCAATCGTTATTTATCATCTCAAACATGGATGTATTCATGATGATTCGCCGACAAAAACTTACTCTATTCATCGATGCAAAAGAATCATCAACTGTATCGGAATTGAAAAAGATTATTGAAGGTATTACGAAAGTTCCATGGAATAATATTCGTCTGATTGTCGATTCGACTAAACAAACAATGGATGATGATAATCAAACACTCGCAGATTGCGGATTGTCGGGTGCGGTAGCCAAAGCTTACTCTCCTGCACTTCTCTTTTTATGTTATCGCAAGGCTGGTAGTGACAACGAATGGGAACCAATCGATGTGGCTGACTTGTAAGTTTTTTTTCCTATTTAAACTTCAATTTCGAACTAGGGTTCGCAACGATAGCTGTTCATCGAACGAAAACATAGTAATATTAACTGATACGAGAAATGCATTCGAGGAACAGTTATGTACTGACACTTCAATAGAATATTTCAGTCACTTGACGATAATTCTATTATCCTATCGAATGAAAATCCCAGTAGATATTGGAATGCCTTGCGCAAAATAAATCAGAATTAGTACATATACATACGTTCCCTTGTTCTTTTGAAGTAATTCATTCATCTACAAAAGAATTTGTCTTACTTTATTTCTAGGAGTACACCTCCTCCATTGCCTGATGTGTTCAACAAAACGGATGACGATAAAAAGGACAATCCTCAGATAGCTTCCTGAATTCACCCAATACAACTATTATACAACAATATATTATAGACACATAGTGAACATTCGTCACTTCGAAAGGCTTCTTTCCTTTTTTCATGCACATGGTAACGTATTTCTTATCTTCAATTCAACTCTCTACCTGTGTATAGATCGTCTTCTATCTCTTACTTTCTTTTTGTTGTCTGACTTATCAAAAAGTAAAAAAAAATGTCATTTTCTTCAGTTTTCTTTTTCTAATCGAACAAAGATTGATCATATTATTAAAAAAATGTCCTTCCCGATCAATGTGAACAAGAAGCATTCGATGCAGTTTATCTTTCTTTGGATTTTTATTGATCATTTTAAGTGTTTTTTTTTACAGAAATGCATTATTCAAGTTGGAATGACATCAAACGAGAAACAAAACAGATAATGTGATTTGGAAAGATATGACTAGAATGTGCGGGGAATGTCGAAGACAAAAGGTTTTGGAGGAAAAATAAAAACATGTATATCATAAATAAAATAAATAAATAATGAAGAAACACGACGATTATTGACTAGATGATGAATTATGACGCAGTTCCTCCGGATCCTTGTCATCATCGTCGTCATCAGGACCGGATGTTGAGCTTGAATCTTGCCGACCAGGTGTAGCGCTGGATTTTTTCTAGAAAGCAAGAGAATTTTTCCTTTCAAATAAATGCTGTTTTTCCTCCTACTTTCTTCACTTTCTCTGTTTTCGAATTGAGGAATGGTTCGATTACTACTTTACCAATGTTCTTACGTTCAACTAATTTACCAATCGCGCTGTTGACCTAAATTTTACAGCAATGGCATATTTCACAAAATCGTCTTTTCAATGTAATACTTCGTCGAACGTAAATACAGAATCGACCACAGGTTTGATCTTTCCTTCTTTGTAGAGTATGAAAACTTTATGCATTATGTCGCCTAAATATCGGCGTGTTTCGTTCGAACCACGGGAAAGTAATTGAACCAGATTGAAGCCATGGATTGATTTGCTATCTTGAAATAAGCGTAAGCAACTTACTTTATCGTTTTGCCACCACTAAAAAAAGAAAAGTGTCATTTCTTTATGTTTTCTCTCGAATTCATTAATAAGTCATACATTCGTCATTCCTTTCGTTATACCAAATAAGTTTTTAACATCCCAGCTGAGTAAACTCGATGTACCATACATGACATATTTGCCATTGAATTTCAGTAGAGCTAATCCACGTTCACAATCATCACCAGCCATACAATCAAGCACAAGATCGATACCTTCCGGTGCTATTCTAGAAAAGAAATTCATTATATTAGTCATTTATAGGATATATCAGAAAAAGAGACAGAGAGAGAGAGGGGAAGAAAGAAAACGAATTCTATTAATTACTTTTTTATATCTTCAGTATAATCCATATCGTGTTCAAATAAATAATGAATATGTGCTCGTAGAACATCGAATTTAGCGGAACTAGCTGTTGCCATTAAAGTTAAATTAGGCACAAGTTTAGATAGTTGTGTCAAGGCAACTAGAAACCGAAGAGAGTGTGTTTTTACTGTGGAAATATGATCATGAGCGAAACCTACCACCAACACCACCACCTGCTGAATGAAATAATAATGTTTGACCTGATTTAATATTACCAATCTCGAATAATAGTATATACGCCGTAAGATAAGATACAGGAAGTACAGCTGCTTCACGAAAAGACATTTCTTTAGGAATTTTAAATACTAAATCTTTTTTAACCACTATCTGTTCAGCCCATGCAGAAAATCGTGTTAAGACAACGACACGATCACCTTGCTAGAATAGAAATTCATGAGTCGAAAGGAAAAAGCAACTTTTCAGTATTTAAGCTTACATCAACATGCGTGACATTTGGACCAATATCGAGAACTTCGCCACTACATTCAAAACCGGGAATAAACGAAGGTCGAGGAGAATCTTCCAGAAGTCCATAACGTACAAGGACATCGTTGAAATTAATACCACTAAAGAGCAAAGATATAATTATGTATGTATGTAACAATAAAGTAGTCAATATCTAGTACCATGCTTTAACACCAATGAGAATTTCTCCGTCGCCAGGTGCTGGCGGTTTCGGTGTTGTTGTTACTTTCAGTTCACGTTTTCCAGTAAATGTTTGTTGTACAACAATGCATTTCATATCAGCAGATGTGTTTGCTGTTGTCATTTTTTCACTACTAGTCATTATATATCTTGGAAAAGAGAAAAGTAAGCGTTTGTAAGGCCTATGAGTTGTTGTTTTGTTCACATCTATTCGCGACCCAAACGAACGAACTTAGTCGTTTGTCACCTCGGTCTCCCGTTCGCTACTTGTTTTCCTCTTGGTTTTTCTGCTTCTCCTTCTTCTTCTTCGTCGTCGTCGTTTTCTTCGTCTTCTTTTTCTTACTTCGCAAGCCTTATTTGATGTTATTCTTTATGCGGGTGCAGCGAATGTGCGTGAGCATCATTATTTATCCGACGATTCTCTGCATTGCGCGCTTTCCCTCTCCCCGTTTTTTGTGGTTCCTCAATTTTTTTTTCTCTTCTTCGGCTTATATATTTGCTTGTGAAAATTACAACCGCTAGTCATTGTCATCAGCGTATTTTTCTTGGGCGTTCACATACACCGGGAGCATGAGAAAAAGCAAAGAATTCAAGGCTAGACTATTCGAGATGGAATTGAGCTCTTATTTTCTCTTTTTCTTCTTTCCTTTCCATCGGCATTCTCAGTACAACTAGCACAAACGAGAGCAAGACTTTGTAAAAGGAAAAAAAAGGAAAGAATGTAGTTCATCTTCATCATAATCACGAGATCTTCGGGATTTTTTCCTCTGCTCTCTACAATTGTAACAACGGAAGAAAGAGCATCAGTAGAATTTCCGTGCACATTCTCATCATTGTCTAGATCATTACTGAAAGAGATGCAGACAAGCAAGCAAGTTAGTCATTCTATTTGTTCAATTAATTCAAAAGATATATAGAAAGAATGACAATCGAACATCGTCTTAGATAGCAAAGACATGATGAAAGAAAAGCAAATAAAACCGAAGATGAAATTGATATCGACAAAGGAGAAAATAATAATAAGAATAAAGGAAAAACAATTATCACTGTTTTTTTTATTATTGAGATGGTTCATTTAATGCTGTTGTTTGTTGTTGTTGATCGGATAAATCGGATCGATTTGCGCCGTGATTCTTTTCCATGCGTTTATTAACTCGATCGGTTAGTTGACCAAACTTCTTTCGTTGAAAGTAATCCAGTTCTTGCTCGCGTTGAAATCTGAATTCGATCGTATTGTACAAAAAAACAAGAGTTTTACATACATTTTAAACTTACCGAGACGGTCGGCCATGTGTAGAAAGCGTAACATTCGAATCCGGTAGCTTGTCACCAGAAGGAAATCCCCTAAAAAAGGAAATATAATGTGTTTTATCAGATCTTGCAAACGACAAACTCTATGTTTATTTCAAACTAGTGTCATGCTGAAAAAAAGCTATCACACGTGTTAAACCTACTGTGATGATGATGATCCCATGGCTTTCTTTTTCTTAAACATAGTACTAATTTAGGTAGTATTGAAATAGTCAAATGAATTCTTTTTCCTATGTCTTACTCTTGTTTATCGTTTGTGGTCGTTGATGGATTGATGTGTAATTCAATGAATTCAGCGCGGATCATTTCCGGTGTAAGGACAAGTTTGGTTTCTTCATTCATGTCACTAATAGAAATTACGGTAAGCTTGATATCTTTTCAATGAATCGGATTTTCAGACATACTCATCCAAGAGTTGATTTCGATCGGATATAGGCATTTCATGTAGAAGTGGTGGCAAGCTTGAAGGCAGAATATCTGGAGAAAATGGGTCATTCCTAAGTACAATAGATATAGACTTGGGCATAAAGAGAATTTTTTCTCAAACCATCTCGGCAGCCAAATATTGGACATCGTTGGTATTTGAGAAAGAGCGGAGAGACCTGTGCTACTCATACTTTTCCATGTCATTGTGCCTTGAATTACGTCCTGTTGAAAATATTCAAATGATTATTACTTATTTGCTCGTCAGATTTGAGAGAAAAGAGAAAAAAACTTACCTCTCGATCAAGATATCGACTTGTTGAAGAATATCCTGGTCGTTCGACTAATGGTATAGGACAAACAGCACTATCGGAATCGACTGCCGAATAGGGCAATTGAGTTTCGTAGGTCATAACACCCGGTGTAGGGTTCTAAATGAGAAGAGGACAACGATTGAAAATGAAGGAACAAGATCTGAAGCGAAACTTACGAAAACAGTCAGAGGATGATAAATAGGTGCTGACAGTAGAGAAGACGGAACTGTCGGAGTAACTATCGTTGGTTTTTCATTAATTCGTGCTGAAATATCAGATGATTTTTCTGCGGATGCTTCATCAAGTTTGATTAATTCATCTTCAGCTCCGGCACGCAATGACCGAGCCAATTTAGCTGTTGTATAATCATATCGCAAAAGTAATGGATTACTAGGTTGGTACTTGAGTAGTTTATATTGATGTGGAACAATTAACGGCATTGCAGGTAGTACGTAACGAAGTTTAAAACTCATTTGTGGCGCATTAACAGATGGAATACTTTCAATAGTCTAAATAAAGATGATTTTCTCTTTTTTTTCATGTATACATATCAGATCGTACATTTGAATTATCTTGTTCATCTTCGTCACTTCGAGGTAAATGAAAAGTACCAATTGAACTATTTCGAATAATTAATATATGCCCATCTGTTTCCAATGTTTCACCACGAAGCACTTTGAAATATTCATATACATATTGATCAATATCTTTATCTAAATAATTAGAATTAGTATCAATGATTTGCATACAAATCAGTTGCTCTTACCAGTTTTGGCTTTTTTATATGTATTAATATATGTTTGCAATGCTTTTAAATGAGTAACTAGACGTCGTTTGACAATGATCTATGAGAACACAGAGATGTTCGTATTCGCCCTATTGAATCGTTTTCTATTATACCTTTCGAGCTGCTTGTGCGAAACGATCTAGAACTTGTAGTCGATTCAACCAAAGATTATTCGTATGTAGATCAAATTGCGCATTGCTACGAATTTTCTATCAATGAAAATTGAACAATTCGAGCTTTCACTTCTGAATTAACATCATTTTACCATTTCGAGTGGCCGAACTGTTCGTTGTTCAGAGTATCCTACCGTATCTCGAGTATACTCATCATCTGGTACCGGATGCCCAATACGAATCTAAATTGAATGTAGATTATTGACAAATTTTGGATCACATCGAAATACAAACTGAATATTCATCCCAAGACACTTGTCGACTATTGAGAATGTTTTCACGTTCGGCTGCCGAGAGTGCATCGAAGCCGAGTTTGGTTTGCCAACGAATCTTATTTCGTTGTTCTTCATCTTCGATACGATTTACATCTTGAAGGAAGATTGTTTCCTACACGGAACGAAAAATGTACAACTGACTTTCATGATAATCAAATAACAATCGTAAATACTTTTCTTTGTCGAGTAAGTCCACGCTGATTTTCGAGTGACAGTTCATGGAATCTTCTCAAATCTTTCAAAGCTACTTTGCCTTTTTTCTGTAGGAGAACTTTCGATACCGCCCATGTCGAATCGATCTTTCTCGGTATGCGCAATCCATCTCGTTCAATATCGCTTCCAGCAATGGACTCAATCATGGGTTGCTTAATTGATTTCTGTTTGACTGGTGATGATGATGGCATAGATGATGTTGCTGTCGGTAGTTTCTTAGTGACTAAATTGATATTATCTGTCGAGAATTGACCACTCATACGCAACGTTTTTTTGGCTAGATCTCTACAGAACAAGAACAAATGATCGATCCTGATGAAAGCCAAAGTTTTACCTGGCGAGACCTGGCATACATTTGCCAACAAATGTGCAAATAAAAGGTTGAATATGAAATTGTGAGACAATAATCGCTACTGATAGACGTGATGTACAAAATGCCGTTGGTGCATATGTCACAGTTATGTTTGTAACATTCGACTGTTCAATTGTACCTAGGCAAAAGAAAACAAACAGAATTTGGTGATTTGTATATTACGTACACTCCAGTTTACCTTCCATTGGTTGAATTGTCAATGCTGGATCATGACTAAGAATCTCAATTCGATATTGAAATTCCACCGGCGCTCCTGATTGAAACGAGAACGTTTTTGTTGCACTAACGATTAAAGAACTGATTTAGATTGATATCTCTACCAAAAACACCTACATACACTTGTCCTAGTGGTGTGTTGGGAAATTGGTATGTATTGGGTAAAATACCATCTAATAGGATGATTGGATAAGCATGAATTGGCACAATTAGATGTTCATCACGTTCGGGTGTATGGATACGGATAGCATCATGATAGTATTGCCATTGTGTAGGTTTGAATAAAATTTTGACGTGAATAGAAAAGCCAGTGACCAGACGTTGAGGTTTTTTATAATCGATTTGAAAGAATGATGTTTGAGGAGGAAGAATGTCAACACGTAAAACTTCCGGTGAACGATTCAATATGTGTAATTCACGCGTCTGAATTTGATTCAATTCAAATCCATCGAAATGAATTTCATGTGGTGTCACTTCAACTAGTTTATTTCGTTTTAATTTAACGAAAAGTTCTACGAAATAAAAGAAGCTGTGTTTTTGACGAGTTTGATCAAAAAACAAAATTTACTTGAGTTTAGGAGATGATTCGGTACTGGAAGTCGATTTCGTTCAGGTTGAGCGACAAGAATCTCTAGTGCTTTACGTTTCGCTTCCATAGCTTCGTCACTCATAGGCGGTGCTACTCCATACAAAGTTGGAGATTGAGATTCTAGGACTAAATCACTCATCGTTCTTTTCGTCTTTACCGATGATGAAGTTCTTTCAATAAAACCCATTTGATTTCATCAATAGGGAAGGTTTGCTAGGCAACCTTACCAATCAGAGCGACATCTATCGAATCGAATATATCTTTGATTCACGAGAAGAGAAAGAATTAGAAAATGTTGAATATTGATGAGAAATTTTTTTCCCGAGGAATAAAATTGATTTTTCGAAAACAAAATCAAGATTTGGTTGTCATGAGACACGATCAAACACATTTTTTTCCATGTCGATATGCCAGTAAAGCCATATCATAACGTAAAATACATTTTCTTCTTTTTCTCTTCTCCGATGACTTTTTCTCTTTATAATTTTTTCTTGAAGAACTATTTGTAAGCCTTTGTTTATTTAACATCCGTTCCTTTCTGTGTCGGTCGTGTTTTCATTGGGGGTATGAATATTTGAAGTCAAGAAAAGAAAATATATACATATACAAATTATGATCGCATAGAATAACAGAAGTGATGGCCAAAAGTTCATTCTCATCGTATGATCGATCAGTCCCAATCATATCTGATGATTCTATTCTATCAAGCCCCAATCATCGATTTCCGCTGATTGATACCGATCCGGGATCACCACCCTCACGTCATCATTCAGATGGTTCGTGTTCCTTTTGTTTGGATAAGCTCTTGCAGTGTCCTTTTTCTTGTATCGTTAGATGCGGATGTATTACAAATGCAACGACAGCATCCGAACATGGGTTTTCGAGATCATAATACAATGTCCAATTCGGTTGATGATCTAACACAACTCACTGATCATATATCATATCCTAATTCAAGTTTTGGTCAAGATTTCAGTGATCCGGACGACGGTATAACTGATACATTGATTATAATCGTGAAAATATTTTTATTCTATTCAAATAGATGAATTACATTTCGATAATGGAAGTAGCATTGATTATGATATTTCGATTCAAGAAAGACTGAAGAGAGCCAATGAAGTATTCGAACATGACAAAACACCGGCCGAGTTAACACATCAACAGCGTGTTTCATTCGATTCGGTTGTTAAAGCTGTTCAACTTGTTCAGGATCCTGAAGACGGAAAGATAACCGATTCATCTGACACTCAACCAATTTCGCCTGTCGTGGAAGAATCGACAATTCATGGTGCTGATTCCCAAGATGAAAATAGTCCTCATGAGTATACGGTACCTTTGAATGACACAAAACCGAGAGACACACCGACATTAGTGGAGCAAATTAAAGCTATGCAGTTTTACGGTAGTTCACCGGTTGGCGGTGATCGACGTGTCACATCAACTACAAACGCTTCTTCTACTCGTGAAGGTAACGCCTGATGAATTGAGCTTCTATAGAATGACAAGTGACTTGTTCGGTATAGATCATTCCTCGTCGAAATCACCTGCAAATAGTGATGCAAACCCTCCGACGAGTTCTAGTGCAACACAGAGTTCCGTAATTGTAGCAAGAAATGGAAAATTCGAATTCCAAACTGAAGATGATTACACTGCTAAGCGTGCGATGGACGAATCTGACAGGGAATCTGATAATGACGACAATCAAACATCTACAACGAAAACTACGAAAGTAACACACTCAACAACACCGTTGAATCCGATACATCATTCTTCATCGTCATCAGCGCGGCCAAAGTCATCCGATGATGCAAAACGAACTGATAATAAATCTAGCGACCCGATGTCAAAATCCTTGACTTATAATAAAACCAAGTCAACAACAAATAATCAACAAAGAGCGAAAAGGTAGATCAAATTCATCTGAATAATCTATTCTTTTTCTCATGCATAATTTCCAGTGCGATTGTTTCAAAATCGATTGAATCCTTCATCTTGCAGTGAGTAAAAGATTCCGAGAAAGTAATTTCTCCTTCTCAAATTCGATAGGCCATGTCGTGTTGATTTCGAAGAAATGAACCGAACAGCAGCGGAACGAAAACGCGCTGAATTGCAAGAAGAATGCCGTAAAAAGAACGAAGTAAGTTGGAAAAAGAAACGAGGGAAACCGAGACATTTAAGTACTTTTTCAAATGTCGAGTATTTCAATTAAAGCGTGTAATTACCTTGAATGAATAATGAGAAAAACAAAGTTGATGAAAAGGGATGTTCTATAAGAAATATTGTGTTTTTAGAGTGATATTAAACGGCGAGAGGATTTACTTCGTGCGCAAGAATCTTTTGCCAAATGGTTACATGATAAAGACGCTGAACGTCGAAGGTTGAACGAAGAAAGACGGTTAGAAAGAGAGGAAGAAATAGTAAAAACGGACACGTTTGATATAGTCTTTGTATATTCCAAGTTTTCGTAGGCTCGACAAGAAAAATGTGAAAAGGAATTAGGAGAACTACGTGAAAAGAAGTATAAAGAATGGACCGAACGGAAAAATCGTGAAGCTATGAAAGCCAATGAATTAAAACAACTGCAGACTGAAGAAGAAGATGAAATTAAAGTAGGACACATCAGTTACATCAATCGAACTATGTTTTGCTTGTAGAGTAATCAGGAGAAGTCGGATAAAGAGCTACGTGAGAAGAAATATAGAGAATGGTTTGAACGTAAAGATCGGCAAGTGATGATTGCAGAAGAATTTAAAAAACTACAAGCTAGAGAAGACGAAATGACATCCGGCGGATCATCATCATCGATACACAATTCCAGTCAACAAAATGGCCATCGTGCATTTCGTCTGTATGTTTGTCCTTTCGATTGACTGTTTCATTTGTGATTTTCAATGTTTTGATTTAGTTGGTTACGTCGGAAAAATGAGGAATCTCGAGAAGAAAAACGTCGATTGCGTCTCGAAACTCGCCGTTTACGTCGTCATCAACGACGTTCGTTAAAACGTTATCAACTTCAACAAGATCTACAACTAGCAAGATCATTCGGTTACACCTGAGTCTCCTTTCGATCTCGACACAAGTGTAAAGATTACTCAGTCGGTCTATTTTCTTTTCAATACTTTCTTGTCCAGCAAAGAACACAAGAAAAAAAACATTTGCCATATACATATATATATGCTTTTTATTTATATCATGTTTGTAGAATATTCAGACATCATTTGTCATTAGTACACCTAGACATATTAAGGAAAGAGACGACACAAACCGCAACATCATATGCTTATCTCTATATATACATCGATAAATACATCGAGCGGAACGTTGAAAAGAGAAGAAAAAGGCAAAACTTTATTATGACGTCTCGGTGTTGTTACCGGAGACTCATCTTTTCCCTTCTTTCAATGGAAATCATATGTGATCATGAGAAAAGAAACAGAACGTTAGATAGCAAAGATATATCAAGATATCAGTTCTCTCGAATCGATGTTGTCAAAGGAATTGTTGAATACAAAAAAAAAGCGCAGTTTTTTCCATGTCGAGCGATCCGGGCAAGACGTGCATTTGTTTTCGTTTGAATTGAAAAGTAATTGATACTCAAGCAATTAGTTTTCGCTCGATAAACCTTGAAAAAACTAACTAGCATATGACTCAACGAATAATTGTGTGAACGAAAACAAAAACATGCCCATAATTAACGATTTAAATTAACCAAAATAGTTTTTCAGTTTCTTCGCCATCGATGTCCTGTTACTATTTATGATATTTCTCTCCGAAGGTCAACATAATAAACACATGAGAAATCTATTTTTGATATCATTCTTACCTTTATGTCAGATATAATGACTATCTTGATCATCATCACTCACGTTATCAATGATATGTGTCAACGTTGAGCTATGGATATGCAAGAAGGAGAAAAGACAAAACACATATTTTGACTATCTAATCAAGGTTCTTTTTTTCTCTTGATCAACTTCGATTTTTTCCCTCTTTCTTCTTCTCCTTCTTCTTATTGAATTCAGGTACTCCCGTACATGTTTTATAGGCAGCTCTAGGTAGGTTTGAGCAAGTCATGTACGAGAATTTGTCGTTTCTTTCTCATGTCAGCTTCTCAAAATTTCCTGTTTTATATACATGCCACGAGGATTCATGGGTGATGCTCGTGTATTTTTGAATTTTCGTCAAATGTAATAGTGAGAGATGAACAAATCGAGGATTTTTATTGAGGATAATTCCTTTAAAAGTTTATATTATTAATATATTCATCGAAAAATGTTCTCTGTATTTCGTCCTCCATCTGTCCATGCAAATTACGTAAGTATTCAAATGAGCACGAAACAAATATCAAGGTTCTCTTTTGCTGTTTGTACATTGTTTCTCATTTGATATTTTTCAATAATAATAACAACGCTAATTTCACCTTCTCGAGCATCAATGAAATAATCACCATTTACTGTAAAATTCTATCCCATAATAATATCACCAATTTCGTTTTCTTTTTTCTTTCAGATAGAAATCACAAACTGCACTATCTACAATCACTATGTTTCCATATACATCGACACAGGTATGATAATTGGAAGAGAATGAATAGAAAAAATATTCTTTCATTTAGTTAATTTCAATGCATCCACACCAGCACCAGCAGCAACATCATCATCAGCAACCACCACAGCCGACACCTCAGCCACCGCCAATGTATTCTCAGCCGCAGCAGCCAAGTATCGTGTTCTATCCATACAATCAACTACAATCGATACAACCAACGTATCCGACACCAGGTTTAACATCTATTCGATATATTCAACAGCCACGCGAGCCACAAAAACAGAAATATCGAAGTGACCAAATAGTACCGCGTACTTCACCGCCAATCACCTCACCAATTCAACAGCAAATTCAACGTTCTAGTCCGATCAATATGGTACCATTATCGTCACCGAACATGTGGATGAATAATACAACATTACAAAATCCGGCTCTATTTCGACCAATCATTCGTACAATATCTAATGCCAAAATGGATGATAAATCTCATAACAATACGATTAATAATACTGGAACAGTAACGCCAGCACTACCAGCTGCAATGTCGTTCGAATCTCCGAAATTATGTCGTCATCATCAACATCATTCGAAACGACAATCATCAAACGACAATCATCAACAACGTCAACGTCAACGTCTTCATAGTGGTTCGAGTTGTTATGGTTCTGATTCACCTATGTCTAGTGACAATGAAGATCCATCCGAGGTAAGGAGCATTTCCATTGACAGAAACTCGATATTTCGATTTTGACCTACAAACTAACATTTGTCTAATTTCCTCCATTCGTTTTCAGACACGAACAGCCAACCCGAAAACAGTTACTTTAATATCATTAACCGCCAAAAAACGACGACATTCAATAGGTCGAACTGAATTGACCAAAGTTAAGCATCTAACTAAGGATACTCATATTCCATCATTAAGTATTAACAGCAATGGTTTTGGAACGAACAATACCGTCATTTCAACGACGACAACCCATAGTTCATCAACAAAAACAACTCCAAGTGTAGCTTCTCGGCCTAAACTTCTTCAATATATCGAAGAAAATGTTATTGGAAAAGATTATATCTTTCAAGGACCATGGGGTTTAAGACGAAGTATGTTACTCTGTTTTTCATATATCATTTCCGATTAGTGATCGCATTAAATTTGTGTTTTCTTTCTCATTAAAGTGATCTACTGTGATTATACAGCATCAGGTCGACCATTACATTTCATTGAAAACTATATCAAAAATTCGGTGCTTCCTTTGTAAATAATCATCGTACTCCTTGAATTCAATCTCCCATTTCTTTTTCTGTGCTTTAGATATGGAAATACACATAGTGAAACAAGCTTATGTGCGCAACAATCAACGAAATTTCGTGAAGAAGCTCGTCTTATCATAAAAAAATCCGTCAACGCTAATGATGATGATGTTTTGCTGTTCACTGGCACTGGTTCAACGGGTGCTGTTCACACACTTGTTGTTAATTTTGAACTTCACGATGAAACTGTTCGTAAAAATACGGTAGTAATTATCAGTACATTCGAACACCATAGTAATATCTTACCATGGAAGGAAACTGGTGTGGAAGTAAGTGAATTTTTCTCACTGAGAAAATTTAGATGAATTTTTTTCTCTTGTGAAGATGATTCGTATTCCAACAACTCAGCAAGGCATACTTGATAAAGCAGTTTTCGAAGAACGATTACAACATTATTCGAAATTGAATAAACGTATTATCTGTTCGTTGAATGCGGCGAGTAATATTAGTGGAATTTTAACTGACGTCGATGCCATATCAACATTAGTTCACGAACACTCGGGTTTTGTTCTGTGGGATTACGCAACTGCTGCGCCTTATGTTAAAATTGATATGAATGCATCATCGACTGCTTACAAAGATGCTATATTCATATCTACACATAAGTTTATCGGTGGACCCGGTACACCAGGTTCGAAAATGATTTAGTTTTCGAAATTCAATTAACGTTCTTGCTAAATATCTTAGGTTTGTTGATTGCAAAAAAACGTTTATTCAGTTTAAAAGCACCGAAAGCTTGCGGTGGTGGCACAGTGAATTTTGTTACACGTACTTGTCATGAATATAATCATAATATCGAAACTCGTGAAGAAGGTGGAACACCGGACATCGTCGGTTGTATACGTGCTGGCCTCGTCTTTCAGTTGAAAGATGCGATTGATATAAATTATTTACAAACACGTGAAGATGAACTCTGTAAACGCTTTTATCGACGTTTTAAAAAAAATGACACTTTGATTCTTCTCGGATCTCAAACGGCTCCACGTATACCTATCTTCTCATTTCTTATCTATGTACCAGGTGTATGCAAGTACCTACATCATAATTTCGTTTGCTTGCTCTTAAATGATCTTTTTGGAATCCAAGTACGATCTGGTTGTGCATGTGCTGGACCATATGCACTCGATCTATTGAATATTGACAATGCGAAAACAGACATTTATTGCAAATTTATGACTGAAGATGCTTGGTTCGTTGAAGTTCTATGTCCAAAAAATGTTTAGTGTTGATTTACTATTCTATTCTAGTGCGCGAGGTGATGATCACATTGTTCGAACTGTAATGATGAAGTAAATATGAATTTTGATCTTTTCAATCTTTCGTATCAAAATATTTTCGTATTCTAGACCAGGTTTTACACGTCTTAATCTCTCATTCTTTGCAAATGACTATGAAATCGAATACATTCTTCATGCTGTTCAATTCGTAGCTACTGAAGGATGGAAATTTTTACCACTAGTTAGTAAACGATCGCTTTTAAACATCTTGCTATTCAAATCGGTTTTCTTTTAGTATACGTACAATCCAGTCACGGCTGGTTGGAGTCATCGAAGTGGTTTTGCACTTGCACAATCAAGTCTCAGAGATATTACGTACAAAGCTGGTAAAATGCAATATTTTGGCAGTAAAAAACATACATTGCCCGCTCGGGGTGAGAAAATGGTACGTCGAAATGAATGATTGTTGATGAAAACGCGAATATTTCTATTTTTTCATCTAGGATCCCTTTCGTGAAGCGAAATTAATGGCTGCGGATGCTGTACGTCGTGCATTTAATGCAATTGATTATACATCTGATCCTCCGTTGAATGTGCCAGATAACTATAAGCATATGATTTGGTTTACCCTTCCAATTGATATTGCTTTAATGATGAGTAAGCAGAAAGAAGCTGGAGAAGATTTAAATGCTAACATTAATTCGATTCCTTTCATGCCCGAAGAAGCTAAGGTAAGATTACTAGATACGAACAAATCAGTGTGAAACGTTCATTTTCATCTAGGAAAAACTTATCAATTCACCTAAAACCAGTGAATTATCAAATAATCTAGTTGAACCTCGAAAGAAACACAATTCCGTTCGCTGTACGTCATCGATTCGTGTTCGCTAATAAAACAAGCAATACGATTCAAAAAAACAAAGAAACAAAAGCAAACTTCATTCTTTGTGTGTTATTTCTTTTTTTGTAATATGTTTTCACATATTTAATATTACGGTTTTTCTTCTCATACATGTATTTGCACATAGACATGTCCAAAATTTCAATCGAACTAAAGGACTGTGATACGCATTCGTCATAGACAAGTACGACAAATGAGAAAAAATGGTTATGTCAAGGTTTGTCGTATTATGTTAACCTCGAGAAAGATAAACAAATAATAGATCAAAGTAAGTGATTGAAATGTACTCATTCGACACGTAAAGTATGAAAACGTGTTGAAAAGTAGGAGGAAGAACAGGTTTTGTGTATTAAATATTGACCTTTTATCTTATTTGAAAGTGATTGTCGTTCGACATCCTACGAGATATTTGCAAAACAGCAAAGTTGAATACATTGTCGCAAGAGATTATTTTCTTTTTCATCTTCGTCTTTTGAATCATTATTTGACTAATGTAAATTTGATTTATTCATTGAAAAGAAGAAGAAGAAAGAAGAACAATAAGTAAATGTTATCGATTTTTTCGTTCTTTCTGTCATTCTTAATTGATTACTATTAAAAATGTTATTTCGAATCTGTTGTCTCCTTGGACTTCTATCGATTCATTCAGCATTACAATTGAACTTTTATACGTCTGTTGGACAATTTCGAGAGGAAATTGCTGTGAACAATGGATCGTTGCGAAGATATTTCTCGGATCAAGAGTATCATAGTATCATACCGTAAGGGTGTTTTTTTTATAAAAAGAACTTTTCGTTTTTCAACCTTGAGTTTCGTTCGTTAGAGGAACGATTGATTTTCCTGGACAAAGAATTTTGGAACAAGATCTATACAATTCCAATGAAGATTTACGAAACATGGAGATTTATGTTCGCTCGACTCAATGCGACGATGAAGAAGCAACGAAAGCACGACTGATTGACCCCTATTCGCTATTGATCAAGTACGATTCATCGCGATACACGTATGTATCACGTGATCAGATTGAATTTAATCAAGATCCGAATATGAATGGAATGGTCTTATCGGTCCGATTGGATAACAAAACTAGCACGAAAACTAATATGACTTATCTATCTCGTGGACTTTGGTGGACACCGAGATATGAAATAGTTGTCGATGATAAGCATCGTAATAATCTAATAATCTCGATTATTGCAATTGAATTTCTGTATTTTCTCATTCTAGTTGCCACACTTCGAGCTTTAGCTGATCTCACCAATGAACACGAACACTCTTATACGATAGAAAACAGCCAATTGATCACTGGAAGTGTCCCATTGGTATCAACATCGCTTCGAGTACCTTCACCCATGGACTCTCAACGGATTGAATTCATGGCCACTCCACTGGCTGATTCACCTACACCGATATCATCTAAACCTGATGCTACTAGTTTTGGTACATACTCATACAATCTAACTAGTAAATTTACACTTCTTCCGAAATCAATTAAAACATTTCCATTTCTGACAACAACAATCACGTTAAACTACACACTAGAAGCTACAACCTATTTATCAGTTGGTACAACATCAGGCCAATTTCAACGAATGTTCATTATCCAACCGGCGGATTTTTTACCAGCCGGTACAATAACCTTCTATTTAGCATCCACAGGCTTAACATTAGGTCAAAATCGTTTACCAGATACAGCAAAGCAAACACAACAGAGTCTTAATCTAGGAGGTGATCCTGATGTGAAGTTTCAAATTATAAGTGTTATGACCGCTATCCGGCAGACACCCACATACGGACAAGATCTGAATGTTAACGTGACAATTTCTAATCGAAAGGAAAAACAGACTGTTTCTGTAATATTAACACTCAATAGTGGTTATCGTAATACAACATCAACACTCAGATATCAATCATCATCAAATATCACTATCACACAGGATCCGAATAATAAATCAGTGCTAATTATTCACGCTACCATTCAGCCAAATGAAGAAGAAACGTGTGTATTTACTGTTATTCAAATAAACTGAAAGAAAAATTTTATTTTTTCATTGGAAAAATAAATCTTTCATTCGCATTTATGCATATCCGACATGAGTAGACATCTGTCGAGCGTGACATACATAGGCCAAACGACGGCTGATATCATCGGTGATGAATCATTACGTTTTTTTTTCAGTAAAAATAAAAATCTCCCTTCTTTTTCTTTACTAAATCGTCCTTAAACTATACTCATTGATTGATATCGCCTTTCCCATTTGGAGAAAAAAAGAACAGATTGCTCTTAACATCATGATCGTCTGCTTTTCGTCCACCAATGTTTTATTTTGAATTTTACTTTATCCGTTCCTTCCTTATCACAATCGAATCACACACACATATATATATATATATATATATGTGCATACAAGGTAAATTTATAGTATATTCTATTGAGAAAGTAGTGTAACTAAAGCGCTGTCAATGAATACAACTCAGTTAGCGTCAAAGTCATTCGCTCAATCAGATTTTTGGTTATTCAGTTTATATATCATCGGAACATTTGAATGTGTTTTTTGGTTGTTTAATGCGTTTTTAATCATCATTGAACTCTATGATTTTCCTTCCATTGATAAATATCGTATACAAAAACATAGGAAGAAACTACGTTTTCAACCCGAATTAGTCAATCTAATGATCAAGGAAACTCTTCGTCATCAAATATCCACGATATTTCTTACGCCAGTGCTTTACTACCTTTTGAATTACTTCGGTCATCTCGATATTCATGGACCTCGACCGTCATGGTCAACGATAATCTATCAATTGACACTTTTTATTCTCGCTGAAGATGCCATCTTCTTCTGGACACATTATTTATTCCATACACCATGGCTATATAAGGCTGTACATAAAAAGCATCATGTCTATACCCAACCGACTGGTGTTGTTTCGGTTCTGAGTGATCCATGGGAAGGTTTACAAAATCAAATCTCAATTTGGCTAATGCCGATTGTATTAAAAGACAAACATCTATTTACATTATGCCTTTGGATTGTGATACGCGTTTATCAAACAGTCAATGCACACTCAGGTTACGACTTTCCTTATATCAGCACGCAATATTGGTTTCCATCAATAATGTCAGGCGCTTTAGGACATGATTTTCATCATCAACATGGTAAATGGAATTATGGATCATTTTTTAATGTTTGGGATCGATTGATGGGAACATATCGATCATCGACAAACAACAAACGAAATTGATTGATTGGAAAAGACAAAAAAGAAACATATCATGTATTCATCAGTTACTTATTAAAAGCAAACGAAAAAAGAAGCTCGTAGCATATGTCTAATCATTTCACTGATGTTTGATTGATGAGAAAATGAATGTACTTGTTTGTATTTATCATATCTCGAGATGTGAGGTCTTCTTTCGCGTTCGACTTATGATCTATCTGTAAGATTTTAAAGAAGAAATATGTATAAGGAAGCACATACATCAAAGAAAATTGAGAATAGCATTTGCTTAATTCTCACTGTACTTAATGCAAGTTGTTGTCGATGTGTGGTGTTTCGAGTGTAGTCAAAAATAGTACAGCATGAATTGTGAATGACATTTCTTTTCTTTTTCTTCTCTTCGTTCTGTTTTTTTTTCGTCTACTTCTTTTCATTTGTCGACTGAGAAAAGAAACTTGCATTATTTTCTAACGATAAAAATATCCTTCCGTCGTTGATAAATGCATCGACATTCTGATTTCGATTGATTTTCAAATAACATGTGCTAAACTTCTTCTCCGCTGACTTTTTCTTCTGAACAAAATCAGACGCACGCTGATGATTCATCGAGAGCACAAATTATGTAAATACGTGATTTCTTTGTCTTTAGATTATACATATATAGCTTATACTGACAATTGGCTTGAAACTCTGACTGTATATTTACTGTTTTTTTTTGAATCTCAATCATGGCTTCGTTTACAAATTATCGAAATCCAAATTCGACTCGACCGAGTCAGACAAATGATGAAAATTCCAAAGATCTGAAAGCAAACATTCGCGAAAGTCGATGGATTCAACCTGACCAATGGGAATCACCTGAAATTCAAGAGAAATTTGAAAAGGTTAATTGGAGTTTCGCCAAGAAGTTCTCAATGTTTTCGTTTATTTTTTCAGGGCAACATTGCTTTTTCGGACGTGCATACAATGCTACAACAATTGGGTATTAAAGTTCAAAAATTTGAACTAAATGAAATTTTGGAAAAGCATGATCGCAATAAGGATGGTCATATGAGTAAAGAAGAATTCGAAGATGTAAGTCGACTGTTGCTTATGTGAATTTGATGACAATTAGGAAAAATTCATCTTGCTAGGTTTATTTGCAATTACGTATTAAAAAAGATCCAGGCAGCACTTGGGGCCGATCTGTTAAGCCAACAGCCGGTGGTCTTGATCGATTTGTTACGACACGTCGTGATGCAGATGATGATTTAGATTCAACCTCGTCTGTTGTAGAACAAAAACAAGAAGCATCAGGTCCATACCATAGTGTACTAGTCGAAGAACGTGTCTGGACAGCAAATTGGATAAACCAGTGCGTATGATTGAGCAGATTTATACTCATAACATTCGTTTTTCTCTAGACTTCTCGCAGATGACGCTCATTTGAATCTTCGTGCTAATCCGATCGATTCAAAAGATGCACAAGCACTCTACAAAAGATGCCAGGATGGTATTTTACTTTGGTATGTTCAGTTTTTCTTGTTCCATATCTATTGAATGTAACCGATGTTCTAGTAAACTAATCAATATTGCTGTACCGAAAACAATCGACGAACGAGCAATCAATTTAAATTTAAATAAACAGGATATTTTTCGACAAAGTGAAAATTTAGAATTAGGTACGACGATGAAATGTTGAAGAAAATATCGAACTTATTCTTTTTCTCATTAGCAATCAATTCTGCTCGCGGTATTGGTTGTAAGGTGGTTAATATTCATCCTGAGAATATTTCCAAAGCTGTACCTCATCTGGTCATGGGTCTTCTCTGGCAAATTATTCGGGTAAGTTGACGAATACAATTGCCATTTTGTTATCAATCGAATTCCTTACATTTAGATACAATTAACCAGTGAAATCAATTTAAAACACGTTCCTGGTCTTGTCTTGCTTCTTCGTGATGGTGAAACTGCTGAAGATTTACTGAAATTATCTCCTGAAGAACTGCTACTACGTTGGGTTAATTACCAACTTCGACGTACAGAATATAAAGGCAAACAAGTATCGAATTTTAGTAATGATATTAAGGTAAGTTCTGTTCGAAAAGAAACTTTCGTTCCAAGTCAAATATATTTCCATTATAGGATTCAGAAGCATATACATATCTTCTCAACATTATCGCACCTGCTAACACGAAACCTCCTGTCGGACTCAGCCCGTTGAAAGTAAGTGATGAGAAAGATTTTTTGAATGTTTCTTTTTTTATGAAAATTCTTTAGTAAATTTTAATCTATCGGTAATTTTGTTCAAACTTTGATAAAGCTAGTGCCGCATGAGCCATACCGTTCTGTTTTTGTTTGAGTTTCGTGTGATTTTGCGATGATTCTGTTTTGATAAGTCAATGTTTGCTTATAATTTTTTTTCAATATAGGAAAATGATTTACGTCGCCGAGCCGAGCTCATGTTACAAGAAGCTGACAAGATCAAAGCACGTGCACACATAACACCTGAAGATGTTGTTAAAGGAAATCCGAGACTTAACTTTGCGTAAAAAAATAACACAATCTTCTTTGAAAGAAAAATTATATTTATTTATTCGTTTAGTTTTGTAGCAAATCTATTTAATACGTATCCCGCTTTGGATCTACCAACTGAACAAGTACCCGAACCGGGTGTTGTGATCGAAGAAACTCGAGAAGAGAAAACTTATCGAAATTTTATTAACAGTTTAGGTCTCGAACCACATGTGAATTATCTCTATTCCGATCTATGTGATGGATTGATTATTCTTCAAGTAAATTTTTTGCTCTTATGATAAACGAAAAGTTTAATATTCACGTTCTTTGTTTAGCTTTATGATATTATCCGTCCGAACACAGTCGATTGGTCAAAAATTTACAAAACATTCAATGCAATTAAAGAGCGTTTTCAAAAGCTGAGTAGGTTATCAATTTCAAATAAATCTCAAAGACGATCCTTAACCTTTTTAGGTAATTGCAACTTTGCTGTTGATTACGCAAAAGAACCACTTCGATTCAAGATGACTGGCATTGGCGGAGCAGATATACTTGAAGGAAATAAAACATTAACACTTGGTCTTGTTTGGCAAATAATGCGTGCGTACACATTGTCAATATTACAAAAACTAGCTAAGTCTTCAACACCCATCGCGGACAAAGATATAATAAATTGGGCCAATGAAAAGGTGAGAGGACGTCCGTTTCTAACGATGAGATCTCGTAACTTATCCTTTGATTGAATTAGTTAAAATCTGCGAACAAAACGACATTTCTGACCAATTTTCAAGATCAATCATTGAGCGACTCGATGCTTATCTGCGATTTAATCGATGCAATCAAACCGGGGTCTATTCAATACAATCTTCTCAAAACATCGGGCACACCTGAAGTAAATTCTTGCACGATTTTGATCGAATCTGCTAGCGGTTTCTTGTAGGCGAAGATGGATAATGCATTGTATGCGATTTCCATGGCACGCAAAGTAGGGGCACGTGTTTATGCCTTACCGGACGATATTGTCGAAGCAAAACAGAAGATGCTTTTAACAGTTTTTGCTTGTCTCATGGCCAGTGATATGAACGTAGGAAAAAATTAACTTTTCCTCCCATTTCAGTTATATTCTTTATATCGTCAAACAATAAACGTCGTTTTCTCTTTTATTTTTGATGTCTTTTTTTCCAACGAAAGCTTATTTTTCATTGACTAACTAATACACTTATTCCCATTTCTTATCGATCTTATACATATTTTCGTTTGTGAACGATGTATATATAGAATAGTGAAAATGATTCAAAGAAACTTTGTTTTGCTTTGTAGAAAATCTCTTCGTATTTTAAACAGGCCATATTTTGCTTTGCTAACACGTTCTCTGCTGCTTACATTTTGAATTCTTATATAAAAGAAACAGAAATATACAACATTTTATATAATTTTTTTGTAAGAAAGAAGACAAAAAATAAATATAAGAACGAAAAAAACAAATCGATCTTCTGATCAATCAGTATATATACACCTTGGTTTCATATTTGAATATTAATCATTCTGTTTTTTCTCTTTAATCATAGACAAATAATCTCGAAGTGCCATGAACGATGATCCACGGTTCTGGTATGCGATTGACAGTCAAATTAGTGTTTCGTCAGAACGATTCAAACATGGCACATCAAGTCTAAAATGGGAAGCTGGTCCAGGATCGTCACTCACGTATACGAACCCAGAAGCATTTCGATCGATCAAATGGGCGAATAATAAATGCTTTGCGCTGTGGTTTTATTGCAATCAAGAAATCGAATTCGATGCAAATACTACAGTACAACCTATGGATATCGAATTCCTCACTGCTACAGAGAGTACACCTGTGGCTCGCATTTGGTATCATATTAACTATTCCGGTTGGCGAGCATTGGGTTTACGTTATGCACTTCTACCACAGTTTAAGAATAATTTAACTCAAATTCATGGAATTCGCATAACTTTACCATCGAATATTCCCGATGGTATCTACTTTTTGAATGGAATTAATTTTGATTATACGCATTCCACTGGACCACAAGCTGATTATCAGCAACCATGGACCAGTGACATCAGACGATTAGAAGACGATCCATCTACATGGTTATTCAATCCAAAGAACATTTTCCATAATCGTCCATGGTTAGAAGAGCAACATCCTACTGTTTCGGATGATGATGTTAACAAAGTGAAAGACCGGTGGTTACGGAATTTGCCCTATGCGACATGGTAGGAGAGAAATCTGATATGATAGTAAAAGTATCCGTTTGCGTTGTAGGGCACCAAGTGCAAAACCTGAATCTTTTAGTAAACTACAAGAATTAGCAGCAGCGTATGGAATTAAGCCAAATAGTATTTCGAATATTCCATTAGGTAAAGGTGCATTCTATTCACCAGATAATGCACTAGATATTCAACCTTTCCTGTTGGGTCCACTGCGACGAACAGCGACAACTTATCAATGTCATCGACACCAGAAAACGTTCGAAAGTGAAGAAGGTCAAAATGTTTGGAAGCTATTACTTCAATTGTGCGATTATCTCTTGGAGCAAGGTTGGTCAGAAGGAAATTTAAATCAATCTGGTCATCTGGATATCGGTAAGCGTAGCTCAATGGTAACTTTTCAAATCGAATGAATTGACATACTTCAGGATACGAAATTCGAAATTTCCCCATGTGCTTCGTTTATATTCGCGATCAATTGAATGAAGCTAATCGATTACAACCAATCATCACGTCAGCTATATGGATTATGTATGGACATCTACTAACTGAAAAACAAACATCAATCATGAGTACAGATATCATTCATAATTATCTAACTAATGTGGTATGTGACATTCGAATAATACTGAAAGTAGAATGAATAAATATTTTCTACGTAGTCTCGCTTGATAGTTTGTATACCTGAACCGAATGAACTTCTTCGACGACTTATCGCGTTTCGATATACTTTGATTTATTCATTTGAAAATCGAATACATGAGCCATTGGCTTTAGGTAAACAAAACGTTGTCGTTGTTCGTAATCATCTTCAGTATTTAGACGGAACTGTACATCATCATTGGATGTGTCATTTTGAATATACATCGTATTCATTACCTGATGTGCTGAATTTTGCATCGGATCTGAACGATACAGGACTTCACTTTCCGGATAATATTCGTCGCCTTCTTCGTCGTTGTGTCCATACCTTGGATTTCTGTTTGATTGAAAACAACACAATACCGCCAAACCTTGGTGCTCGTGCTGGTAAAATTTCTATCTTGATATTCAACGAGGAAGAAGTAGAAGTTTTTATCTAGGAAAAACTGTTGCATGCAATGGAATTAATATGGCCAAAAAATGTGTATCTATTGGCGATCAGGAATGTGGTTACGATCCATTTGTCGCTGGAATGCTTGTGGATATGTGTCCAAAAAGTGATAAAAGTATCGCGACATATCTGAAAGAGTGAGTAAACAGAGATTCCATATGTGTGTATCGAGAGAATTTTGTTGTTGTTCAGTGGCGTCGATCCAGTTCCACTGAATGGTCATCTAACGCTTAATTCTACTGCTGCTTGTATTCATCGACGTGAAGACTTCTTTGCCTGCATTATCGGCATGGGTAAAAATCGACGTGGTTTGGAAATCTACGGTAAGAAACTTTCAGTGCCACAGTAATTCCAAATATATCTTGCATTCAGGTTGGTTATCGGATACAAATAACTATGGCAAATACGTTCGTAATTGTTCGATATTCATCGTTCCACCCGACGATCACGGTACCGTGAAATATTCGAATACGGGTTGTGCATTTCCTGGCTGGAACTGGTCGCATTGGTTTGTACAGCTCACGTCATTCATAACCACGTTTATTTTAAATTCTAGGCCTGGTACAACCTGTTTGTTGAGACCGCGTTCAGAACTATTCGAAGGTTATTGTAATTTAACAGCTAAGAATTGGTTCGCTGGCGGAACATCGATAGCAGGTCGCGATGGCATGTTTAGTAACGATTTTTTCGTCTGGGACATTGCTTTTCGTCGGTCAGTTTATTGTTTTGATAATCGTATTACTGTTTTAACATCGAATATTAAATTATTACAACATGAAAAACGACCGGTTATAACGACACTGTTTCAATCGAACTTTTCGAACTTAGAAAAGCTTGAACAAACACCATTTCGATTGAATCATGACGAAGAAATGACCGGTTTCCCTGAAGAAAGAGTCTTCGACAACCAGGAGCTAAATTCCATAATTGATCATCGAAACTTGTGCTATTATTTACACCCGAAGGATAATTCCAAGCAAGCATATCGGATCACACTACGACGCAGCGAACAAGATATGATCTATTGCAATGCATACTATCTAATCGATGCTAAACAAAACCCGATTATTGACATGAAATCAAAAAAGTTCAAAGAAACAGTCTTCGAAGATAATGAAAAATACTTCAAAACAACGAAAGACAAGTACGGTCTCGGATACATTGAACATTTAAATGTCGAAGACAGTACCGCGTCGTTTGTTTATACAATTCTCATTGGAAATCATCCAGTACAAGAATGGATGGATGAATTTTCGCATTCAGCAGATGATCCTTGGTCATCGACCGACTTATCACATCTACCTCCTTTAATTATTCTCTCAAAAGAAAATGATACTCACATCTTCTATGATCGAGATACGGATACCACTTGTTACACATGCTATTCCAAAGACCGTCTCAATGTTGATCTCGGTCTCGTGCGATCTTTTGGGCAACCGTGCACGGCAATGATACGTGGTCGTGGACCTGGTACGGTTCGAATAAGTATTGCAACGACGGATTTTATGCTCAATAAAACCTTGTGGATGGTATTGAAAGGTAAATGGAACAATGCGGAGTTGACCAGTGATGATGAAAATGGCTGTGTTCATGTAAGGTCTGAAGTGATGGAAGATGGCGATACGAAAGTTACCGTTTGGCAACGGATCTACATGCCAGTTGAATTTCACATAACACAAGAATCTGAATAAAAATCTCATCTATGTAGTTTTAGACTTATCTTTTATACACCTATTTTTCTGCAATATTTTTTTAAAATAAATATTCACAGTAGTTTTCTTTGACAAATAAAACATCGATCAAATTTCTTTAGATCATGTATTTTCGTTCATCATTGAGAATTATCACACCAATTCGTTATTATCTGCAGCCATACGCAACTAGTCGATCGTATTCTATTTTGAATAATCCCTATCCTAATTGTCAGTCTCTATCTGCGTCCTCGCCTTTGTCGCAACCATGTCGAACATTTATGTTTTGGCGTGCCAATATCAACCGAGAATTGTACGGCTCGCCGACAAAAGCATTAGCAACAAAGAAACGTCGACGTCTTCAAAAGTCAATGACACAAATTATTCGCGAAGGTAATCTATTGCGTTTATTCAAAGAGCTTTTCGTTCCAGAAATTAGCAAATGGTGGAAACAAGTACAACCATGGGATCGAAGGTATCGTACGAAACAATAGAGTAACGATGATCAAACATTTGTTTTGTTTCAAAAGGCATGAATTTTTTCACAATGACTATCTTGTCATTCATGATTTTTCAAATAATGATGAAATTAAAAAATGGACAGTTCGAACCGATCTTGATGAGGGAGTTGGTGAGTCAACAGCTGAACTTGTACCGAGTGGTCACGGGTCAATTCTTTTTCGTGGTAATATATCTTCCAAAATGGTCAATCAAAATACACTATATAATAAAAGTGGCTTTGCTATCATGTTCTCTGAAAGATTGCTGGGATCGTTTCTAATGCCAGCTCATCAGAAAGGCTGGACCTATTTCACTCATATTCTTCTGCGCATTCGTGGGGACGGAAGATTTTACGAAATCCGATTTCATACACCAGACCACGATCATCATCACTGGGTTTGTGAATAGTGGAAGGAATTTGTTCTTGACTTTCTTTCATTTAGTCTGATATGTATTCAATGGTGTTGTATACACGAGGTGGACCCTATTGGTCAACAGCGAAAATACCTTTTGCACAGTTTTTTCGTAACAATATGGGACGAATTAGCGACAAACAACATCCTTTTCAACCGCTTACATGTACACAAATGTCTATCTCAGTTTTGGATGCAGCAGATGGTCCGTTCGAACTCGAAATAGGTGAAATAAGCTTATTACGAGATCTACGCTACAATTATGATAAGTTTGCCTATGAACAGTATACACTTCCTCCATACACAACTACTTAGTAAGTGTCTAGTTGAGTTAATTTAGGTGAACATATCTTTTTCGTTTCGTCTAGTAATTGATCATTGATTAATTTGTACAAGGACGGAGAAAAAAAACAAGCAAGAAAAGGAAAGTGCTGATCGTTCATTCGTTACATTTATTTAAATCTATTTGTAATATTTGTCATCTGCTGAATAAACGTATGTAGTTGCTGGTTTTCTCGATGTTGCTGTTCCGTAGACAATACGACGATGGTTATTCATGATTGGACGAGATGGCGATGATGCAACATAGACCGGTTCGGGATCGACTTTTTTTCTGACCATGACATATTTCGTCCCGGGTTTTTCCGGTTTAGTAATAATCTGAGTAGGTACTGTTTGACGTTGTACTACCTGAACGTACTGAGATTGATGTTCATCGTCACCATCACTTTCGACGGATGATTCGTTATTGGTCTGCTTTCGAACAATGTACTTCTTTCGATGATGTTTCTTCGGACTATCCTCATAGATTGTTTCTTGTTCGCCTGTTCGAGGATCAATAATGACTTTCCGTAATAACTTTGTTGGGTCATGATCCGTGTAGATCAATTCAGTCTTAGGTTTACTGAACGGATGGATTTTAGCTGGTTGTGCTATCAGACGACCGTCTGGAGTTTCGTAGTATGCTGCTCGTAGTGGTTCGTGCGAACGATGCTTAACTCGTCGATTTTCGTATGCTACCGGTGGAGGTGGAGGTGTAGGTGTTCGTACATTTCGAACGATTTTGATCACATTATCATCTTCATCGAGTATCACTGGTTCACCGTTTGCTGTATTACGGACCTTAACTTTACGCTAAAAAAGAAATTACTCTGTTAACATGCTGACAATAAACGAACAAATCAATGCACATACTTCATTCGTTTCGACTACTCGTTGACGACGATGATCCCGCTCTAATTCATCAGCTGTTATATACTTGATGTGTTGCTGAAGAACAGGTTTTTGTCGAACCAGTTTTCTTGTCACTGTTGCTATTTGCGATTCGTTGTCGTCATCTGTCTCGTATACATACTGAACTGGTTTCTTCGACTTCCTATTTGGTACAAGTACATATTCCGTATCGCGACTTAAGCGTTCACTCATATCCGAATGTAATAATCGAAAATACTTGTGCGATGATGTATATAATAATCCAAAGATAGATTGAGTTACTATGCAGCACGATCTATATCTGCAGATTTGTAATTATGTGAAAACTATGAAGAGTGAAAAAGAGAGCATAACTAACAGAATGGCGAAACATATTTTTCCCTCTCTACATTAATTATTACACTCATTGTTGAATTGAAAAGATCGTATAAGATTTCATCAAACAAAAGTTTTTTTTAATACTTTATTCATATTTAAATAAAATATATATAAATTAAAAACATGCTGCTTCGTCAGTCAAGTAGATTTGTTTTCAACACAAAAATGTTACATATAACATTCCTTTTGATAAAATCGAACAACTACACTTTGATTTAGTTTTGTATACAGATCGTTCTTGGATAACTATATCGACCGTCCTCTTGACAAGTGATCTCTTTGAATAATGGAGTGTAACCATCACGACACAATGGTTCTAATTGGCACGTTGGCAATGTATAATATTTCAATATAAGATCAGTGTCTTGAGATATCGATTGTTTGAATACACACGGTTGTTGTTCGGAGAGTAGACGAAAGCCAACGGAATGTTCATCTTGCTGTGGATATCCATCACAAGTAACTAGAACGAGGAAGAAGATACCAGCTTTTTTCTTGAAAGGATTTTCTCGAATTTATGTTATTCTTTGTTGTGCTGTATTCAATGTCAACTGAAAAAAAAAGTCATTGGTAAGGCGAATGATGATCATCTGTCTTCAACTCGATTCCATTTTTGTTTTTATAATAGTAAATTGAACTGAAGTAAATGTACAGATCGAACAAAACTACGACGTTCTAGTTATAAATTACAACTAAAAAAGTCCGTTGAATTACCATAGAGGTCAAAACGAACTTCGAATGGCAAGAAAAAAGGCAGGCAGGCATAACAAGAGATCGACTAAGAAAACAAAACAATGCAATGCTGCGCAATAGCTCGAAACTAACGAATTGTACTCATAATGCACTTTCATATACTAATCGAATAACAATGATCGTAACATACCAGGGCAATTAGTCCACATCTTATTTCGATCAAAACTAGAATTATACGAACAACAATGTAATATATTTTGCTCTGAATATAAATAAAATCGGTCTACTTAGCAGTTGTAGAGCACCACCGGGCTGATTGTGGGCCACTGACACAATCAGAGTATGTGATACCATTGTAAACGAATGGGAAATAGCATGAAGTATAGTCTATACAATTCCAAATTAAAGTAGAAAGAAGAAAACGAATTCTATACCTAAACAATAGCCCCATAGACCATGTTGATCGAGATTGGCTGTCGTCGAGCAAAATAATGCAAATGATGTCGTTGTTCCTATTGTTACTGTACGATAAATACATGTAGAAAACGATGAGCCTTGGTATATAAACGGAAAGTAGCAATCATTGCCATTGCCGGTGCCACCGGTAGTTTTCACTCGTGATGCTAAATGAGATTGTTTTCTGAGGGATTTGTGATTCGACAGACTTACCACGGCAATACTTCCATTTTCGGTCTTGATCGAAGTTTGTTGTTAGAGAACACCAACTATCATTAAAGACATCACTGATGCACTTTTCATACCATTGGCCCAAGTAGAGAAATGGGAAGACACATTCGTTGGGAGCTAATTATTTATTGATTACATAAGAAAACGTGATCATCGGAGAAGAAATGCATGATTTTCATTACCTGAAGTGTTCGTCAGATTCAAGTTTAATTGCGTTGTGAATGAAGTATTCGAAATTGCATTTCGAGTTGTTAAAGTTAGATTTGCCATAGTTGAGCCAGATAATGTCAGTAATTGAGAAAGAATAGTTGTACTATCCTTTGATAATGTCGATGTTGGCATCGATTGAGAAGTACTAGTTTCTGAGCCATTGAATGAACCAGATGAAGAAGCAGTGGTTTGAGTTTTTAGCGACGATTGCGCAGTTGAAGTCCATGATGATGAAATTATGTTATTTGTTGTATTCTGTACACTATTTGGAAACAATGAAGATGTACTTACGATAGTGTTTGTAGCCAGCGTGGGTGTGAATGACATTGGGACTGAAGATAGGTTTGGTACGATTGGTGTATAGACGGTTTGACTTATATAATTATTCGTATTAGAGGGTGTATTTATCGTATTTTGTGCAGTACTCATTGCATTTGAAATGAATGAAGTTACAGTACTCGTTGGGACATTACGGATAGCTGTTAAAATGTCCGAGTGAGTATTATCGAGAGTTGATGCAGCGATCGGAATCACCGGTGTGGAAAGCATTGCTGTGCGAGTTGTTTGACTTGGGTTCGAATTTGTCATGGAGGCAGCAGTTACTGGCGGGCTAAATGTTGGAGGAAGAGAAGATCTAGCAATGTTTGCATTCGTATTCACTGATGTTAGAAGACTATGATCGTCAGCAGCAGAATTTGCAATGGAAAACGAAAATATCGTGGAAAGGATACGAGAGTTGGAAATTGTATTGTATCTAGTCATTGCCTGATCAACTGTAGTTGAATATTGAATTGGAGTAGAGGACGTTGTTGAGGAAGAAACGACATTTTTTGTTATTGTTCCAACGTAATTATTATCAGAAGTATACTGATTATTACTATAAGCAGATGTCGACTGCGATCGTGATGACGAAGTGAGTTTTTCGAGAAGTATTGATGTTGAAATATCACCAGTACCTGGCACATGTGTCGTCAAATCAGAACCATGAGTTGGGAGGGTAACTGTGATAGTTGCCTTTAATGGAGTATCAGATGCAGATGACTGTATGGTCGCATCCACCTTCGTAGTCTGACCATTCATACCAGTAGGTGATGCTAATGATGTTCTTTCATGTGGTTTTTCTGCTGTCGACGACGGTGTACTAGTCGCTCGATTATCTACATGACCGGATGATGACAGAATTGATTGCAATGTGTTTCCTGTCGATTGAACTGTAGCAGATGGAATTCTGGTAGAATCGGAAATGGAATGACTATCGGTTGGTGCATTACTAGTAAAGGCCGACTGCGTTTGATTTAGCGATATCGAGGAGAGTAGTGACGGTACTGTACTGTCTACAGTTTGCACCGTTGTATTGACTAGTAATTGAGTGGGAGTCAAATTGTTTGACGAATCATTTGTTGTGTTTATTATTGAAAAAGGAACACTTTGGCTCATATGAGTCGGAGAGAATGTTGTCGAAATGTTTTCACCACCCTGGTGAGCTGTTGCACCCGAAGAAGTTGATGAAACTGTATGAGTATTGTATGTAGTATTGGACGTTGACAGTATACTTGGATTTTGAGTTTGTTGATATGTCACGAATGAAGATCCTGTTGTCGACGACCCTGTCGAGTTAATTAGCATTTGTGTGCTATTCGAAGACGAAGGTAATGATACCGTTGCCTGGACATGAGCCGTAGTTTGATTTATGATAGTCGGATATTGTGTCGAAAACGAATTTGGCGAGCTGTTTGTTACCATGGTAGTAGTATTTGCAGGAACTAGTGAAGTTTGATTGAGAATAACACCATCCCGTGTTGGCGACATGGTGCTCAAATACGTTGCTGTTGCATTGAATGGAGTAGTTCCTTGTGTGATGTTGTTGGTGGTTGGTAAACTTTGACCTGAACCGTTTAAAAAATAATTGTTTGAAGTCGGCTGATCTGTATAGTTCGGTATCCTTGTCACCTGTGTCGTATTCATTGTTAGAATTGAAGTATTAGCTAGTGCAATACCTGACGATGTAGTATTTACTGTTGGCTGATGTGTAATAGTTGACGATCTTGTTGATGAAACATCCAAAGCAGCGGTTCCTTGAGTAGTATTGGCAAGTGTTGACGAACTCGAGTTTGAATTATTCGATGGGAGGTTTGTATTGGCCGGTACTCCTGTTACAAGTAAAGTTGAATGATCAGTCGTTTGTGTTACGTTTGTTGCCAAAGGTGGATTCTGGTTTGAAGAGTTTGTTTGCGATACACCTGACGGTATAGTATATGATGGATGCGTTTCTGTCACGGATGATACTCTCGTTGATGGATAATCAAGAGAAACATTACTTGGCGTTGTAATAGCAAATGAAGAGAAGTTCTGGTTTGAATTGTTTAATGATTGGGTAGTAAATGATAAATTACTGTTTGTTTGCTGACTTATATTAGCCGGTAGTCGAGTTGTGAGAAACGTTGAATGATCCACGGTGGCTGTCGCGTTTAATTGTGTAGAGGCGTTTTGGTTTGAATTGTTGACTTGTGCCGTACCAGACGAAACAGTATTTAATATTGGAGTTTGTGTAACGGACGATAGTCTCGTCGTAGAAATTTCAATAACGACAGTTCCGTGTGTGGTGTTAGCAGGTATCGATGAACTCGAAATGGAATTGTTTGGTGGTTGACTATTCGCAGCTGGTTGACTGGTGTTAGCTACCATCCCAGTTACGTATGAGGTTGAATGATCAGTCGTTAAAGTTGTGTTTGTTTGTAGAGTTACGCTCTGATTTGAATTATTGATGTATGATACACCTGACGATACAGTATTCAATATTGGTCCTTGCGTAATGGATGCCAGTTTCGTTGAGGATACGTCAACAGTAGCACCTCCTTGGATGGTGTTAATAGGCAGAGGTGAACTCTGAATTGAATCGTTCACTGATTGATTATTCCCAGTGGGCTGATTCGTATTAACCGATGCTCGAGTTACGAACAAGGTTGAACGATCAGTTGTCAAGGTCGTGTTTACCTGTGCAGGCATACTCTGATTTGAGTTGTTAGGCTGTGATGTACTTGACGGCATGGTATTAAGTGGTACTTGCTGCGTAGCCGATGGTAATCTCGTGGCGGAGATATCAATGGTAGCGCCTCCTTGAGTAGTGTTGGCAGGTAATGATGAACTTTGATTTGAATTATTTGATAGCTGATTATTGACAGTTGACTGATTTGTGTCAACTGGTGCCCGAGTTACGAGTAACGTTGAATAAATCGTTGCCTGGACTGTATTTATTTGTATAGATACATTTGGATTTGAACTATTGAAGGATGATGTACCTGAAGGTCCAGTATTCGGTATCGGGGTTTGTGTGACGAATGGCGACTTCGTTGCAGAGATATTGTTGGTGACTACTTCTTGTGTAATTTTAGTGGGTAATGGTGGACTTTGCGTTGAACTGTTCAGTGATTGGTTATTCATTAGCGGCTGAGTTGTATTATCTGGTACTCGTGTTGAGAATATATTAGAAATATCAGCTGGTTGAGTTGTGTTGGCCGACAAAGATACACTCTGATTCGAAACATTTGATGGTAATACATTTGATGACACTGTATTAAATATTGAGACCTGCGGCGTAGCAGACGGCAATCTTGTCGTAGAAATATCAATAGTAACATTTCCTTGGATAGTATTTGCAGCTGTTGACGAATTTTGAGCCGAGCTGTTCAGCGACTGATTATTTAGAGTCGGTTGATTTGTATTAGTTGATAATGTTACACTCTGATTCGAAGTGTTTGGCAGTAATAAGCCTGATGACGCTGTATTAAGGACTGACGCTTGCGTACCAAATGGTGATCTGCTCCCGGACATATCAATAGTAACACTCCCTTGTGTGGTATTAGCAGTTATTGGCGAATTTTGAGCTGAATTGTTCAATGACTGATTATTTAGAGATGGTTGATTTGTAATAGTAGGTACTCGTGTTGTGAACGAAACTGAAGAGCCGGCTGTCTGCGTTGTATTTGTTACCAGTGATAGAGTCTGATTTGAATTATTTAGCTGCGATGCATTTGATGACGCATTATTAAGTGTTGGTCCTTGTGTGACAGTTGACAATCTGGTCGCGGAAGCATCAATAGTAACACTTCCTTGGGTAGTATTCGTAGGTGTTGACGAATTTTGAGCTGGATTGTTCAACGATTGATTATTCGCTATTGAAGCATTTGTATTGTCTGGTGTCCGAGTTGCGAGCACAGTAGGAGTGGGAGTTAATTGAGTTGTATTTGAGCTGTTCGTTTGTGAAATAGGCACAGACACTGTGTTAAGTACTGGTTGCTGCGTAACGTTTGATAATCTGGTTGAAGAAACATCAAGAGAAGTATTTCCTTGAGTATTGTTTGATAGCGATAAATTTTGACTCGCAATATTGGATTGTGAGACAGCTGAGAAAGCTGGAGTAATCGTAATTGGCACTGTGGTGTTGGATATTTTTGTTGCCAATGAATCCAATGGGACAGATGCTTGTGTACTATTTATGGAAAGAGGCAAAGTTTGATTTAGAAGATTAGACGAACGAGTCGTCGAAGTTAAACTGCCACTCGTCCTTTGATTCGTGTCAGGAGCAGATTGTGTAGTATTTATTGAGCTTGATACATTCAGACTTGAACTGTTCACTGGCGGAAGTGTACTACTTAATTGAGGATTTGTTATATTCGATGCATTGGCTGTCTGAGACGTATTGAGAAGTAATGCTACACTCTGATTAACAGTAGTTAGCACATTTTGTGTTGGAAGAAATGCATCATCCGACACTTGATTGGCATTAGGAGTAGATCTTGTCGATGTTGTATTGGATTGTACACTTGTATATGTATTACTACCATTCAATGGTATACTTTGATTCGATTGGTTCGATAATGATGATGGTGATAATGTTGAAGTCAACGTGTTGTTTAGAGGTTGTGCAGTTGCTGACGAATTAGATGGCACTCTGGTCTGAGTAGTATTCGATGAAATCAATACAGTATCATTTGAATACACCAATGTAGATGATACCGTAGGAACAATATTGACCGTTTGTTGTCCTGTCCTCGTAGGTAAATCAGAGATGATAGTGGTAGTCGAAGTAGTTGAGGTGCGATTGAGGGTGTCATTGGAAGATGGTTTAGTCGTTGACGTTATTGGACTTACGGATACGTTTGTGTTATTGTTTGATGACGTAAGATTTTGAGCTGGGAAGTTCGGTAGTACTGACGGTGTTATCACGTTCTCACCTGTGTTATTTGTTGCCAATGATAGACTTTGATTTGAAATATTTACCGGTGATGTTACTTGTAACGAACTAATATTATTCGGCTGAGTAGCAACCGGAGGCGCAATCGTTACATTAGTGCTTGACGACACATTGATGTTCGTTCCATTACCGGTAGTATTGCCAAATAGAGTCGTACCGAGTAACAAAGTTGATGATTTTGCTACAGTAGTAGTAGTAGTAGTTGTTGTTGTATTTGTAGAATTATTATTATATACCAAACTAACACTACTACTATTGGATAGTAACATTGTAGTGGTAGTCGTAGTAGTTCTATCCGATGTGTTCGATGCAGAATTATTGTTTGCAAACTGTACTGTAGTTGTAGTATTTCGAACAGGTATGGTAGTGGTAATAGTAGTAGTAGTGAAATTGTTAACGGTAGACGAATTCGATGGATTGAATGTAGTCGTGTTTGAACCTATTCCTGTACTGTTGTTTGTCGTCAGTATAGGTTTAATAGTTGTTGTTGTTGTTGTATTTTGCTGTGAATTAGAAGTGACTGGAATCGATATATTCGATGAAGTATCGGTATTATTTTGGATTGAAAATGTATTGTTTCTATTCGTGGATGAGTTAAGAAACGGTTGATCATCATTGTTATTAATGTTTACAGTATATACAGATGTTTTTGTAGGTACATCCACTTCTGTCTCAACAGACCTATTTACAGATGCAACACTACCGTTAGTTGTCCTGGTTACAGTAGTTGTGGTTTCAACTGTTGTTGTTGTTGTTGTTGTAGAACTACTCGGTAATACTGTCGCATTAAATACGTCAGAGTGCGTTGTTGTTATTGTTGTTGAATCGAGCACAACATGAGGAGTTGTGGTGGAATCATCAGTAATTGTTGTACTTTTCGATGGAGATAATATGGTATCATCGTGATCAACACTCTCTACTGAATGAGTTGTTGAAACGATTGGTTCATTTTCATGCTCACTATTTAATACGACATGAGCCTGATCTTCATCATTTGTTGGTTCTCCTTTGATGGTCAACTGAATTGTAAGAATAAACACCAAGAAAATGGATCTCTGATTTCGACTGAACTTCATCTTATTCAATGGTACAAATGTATGTCTGTAAGAAAAACGACAAGACGACGACTTTCTTGTTTATAATGAATCATTACCTTCTGTAAGTGATTTATATGTCATTTCCATACATTTCTTTCGTTTTACACAATATTTTCTTCGATAACATCGATCAGAAGTGAATAGAAATCATCGAATTAAATAACAACAACAAGAAATGATTTCCACATTAACAATCGCTTTCCTATTAAATCTAAATGTATCGACATATTATAGAGGTGAATTTACGCAGGCGAATATACTTTCGACCGGCATATTGTTACTTGATAGAAACAAATCGATTTTCAAGGATTATTGTAAAGAATAAAGGTGACACTTCTGAGTATATGCACGCAAAACATAATTTGATATCGAAGTCTTTTCTATTATTGTACGTAGGGCTTTTTTCTTTAAATATCTCATTAAAATATTCTTCAAAACGAAGGTTAATAATGAGAATAGATGTTATTTACACTGATTCAACAAATTTTCTTTATTCATAAATAAAATCAAAAACCAAACAAATCAATACTGTTCACAGAGATGACAAAAAAAAAAGCTTCGTATGCATTTGATTTCAATTCGGTATCAGATCGGGTATGTTCAAAACATGATAGTACGATGTTGATTGCGGTTGAAAATCGTATTGTTGATAATATTCAGAATGAATTTCGGCAGTTACATCTGTTGAACAAGTTGTAGCCGATGTATCGACCGAGTCCAAATAGATACCCGTGTGATTGTACGAGACTGTTTCGTACGAGCGACTGCTGCATGTTGACAGATCACTCATTGAATTAAGGTTATCTGCAAATTGTGATGATATCTTGGGTTTTTCATTTACTACTTCATGTTTTCGTTTACGAGATGAGAATAATAACCAAATTAATGTAATAATCAGGAGTAGGATCGCTACGATCACAATAGCCGTTGCAAGGAAGATCAATCGCGAATTCATTGCTGTCTCTTGATATTGTTGTCGAATTGACGAACAAGTCAGTCGAGAGATGACTTTCATATCGATAAAGTCCGTTGGTGGCATAGGCGGAGGTGGAAGATTGAAACGTGGTGGTGGTGGAAGTTGAACCATGTTCGATAATATCCAATGTACACGATCATATTCTATTTATAGTCAACGTCTCAAGCTGGCGAGTGTGATCTATTCATAAATATATTTCTCACTAATTTGATTCGCTCACCTATCAATATGAACAAATCTATCAATTATATAATTTGATGTAAATGACAGCTGGAGAGAACAATCTCACACATTGCAACAAATCTCGATGATTGACTATGAGAATGAAAGTTTTGAAGGAGATTTTAGCGGAAGTTCATGCCCTTTGTTCTTCGAATGATGTTTCTTTGTCACAATGTTATTTGATACCATTGTTCTTCGCGTTTATCTCACTTTTTTCTCTTCGATTGTTATACATCAAGGTAGATATGCATTCATGTTAGTCATTTATTATTACGTTTACAAGAACTTGACTTGTGCATAAAAATAGTAAGAATTAATTGCTTGAATGTGTCGTTGTAAACAAGTTTCTTCTTAATTTGCCTGAGAAATTAACTTGAGATTCCATTTATTCCACAATCAATCAATCACTCGACATGAATGTTTTTTTGCTAATATTTTTCTTAGGATTGTAAACAATATCCGAGGAAAAAATGAAAATCTTCTCTTGGACATCCCGATACGTGTATAAAAATCGGATCAGATGCACTTGAGGAAAGAGAAGCAAAGAACAGAAGAAGCGAAACAAACGAATTTACGAACGACACACGCCAGCGTATCGACGGAGATGTTTGACTTTGAGTGAGATGAGAGAATAAAAAGTTTTTTTTTTCCTCTGTCTCTCTTCAATTGTTCGAAGAGAAAATACATACGTATGCATTGCCTTATTGCCATTCCTGCTTGTCTTTTTATAAAAATAATCATTACACAAAGGTGCCAACTACTACATCGAACTGATTGAGTTCTATTTCGTTGTACTCGTTGTTCGCGTCACTTATGCTTCGACTGATGCTCGCTTCACCTCAATCAAACAATTTCGTTCATTAATTAGCATTACTCAAATATGCCGAACAATTGTTCAACCATCATCAAGCGTAAGAAAGATATGCTCAATCAGATCTTACGAAGCAACAGCGATGGTAAACTTCAAGATGGTAAGTCATGAAACTAATCTAGCGTTGGAAATCGTTCGAAGACACATATTCATCTTTATGATTTAACAACGAAGTTACCTTGTACATCAAGGTGTATGACCATTAATTTCTCTGCTTCTTTCATATGATAATATTATGACAACAAACAAAACAGTGAACTTTTTCAATTGAACCAACTTAATAAAATAAACTGGATTCATTGAAAGAAAATCACTTTGAAACAAAGATTATTATTGCGATTAGAGGAGTAGTTTAGAGGAGTAGAAGAAGAAGAGAACTGAAAAAAGAAAGAAGTGGAATCCGTAGAATTACATATATTACACCTACCTTCATGAAATTCTATTATTGTACAAACACATATGCCTGTCGGATGTGTTAGTTATGTTATTCTCTCATTCGAAATAAAAACTAAATGTAGGATAAAAAAAAATTTATCGAATTTTCAAAGAAAACAATAATAATACTTTGAACTAACGGAATATAATTTTATCGATTACGAGGGTTTTCTTTGTACTCGTTAGTTTTAGTTCAAGAGCAAAATCACAAGTTCGTTTTTCTATTTATTAAGATATAATTGAAACAACAGCTGAATTACGTATCTCCGGTGCGCGTAAAACTTCGGCGCACGGATCTCCAACAACACCTTATCGATCGAATTTCTTTCCAAACAATCGTGTACAGCCAGCGTCGACTGATCCATATGATACACATCTACCAACAATACGATACACGAAAGGAAATGTCGATCGGCATCATCCATCACACGATGAATACCATTCTCGTGGACGTCCTAAAACTCCTCTAGTTACTGCTAGTCCGAAAAGTAGTGGCTGTACGCCATCTGCATCGATTTCTTCGATATTCAATGCATTTGGTAAACGTTCGACGGAAAATTTAATGAGTCCACATGGAGAGTTCGAGGAGATTATTTCGGCAAGTCCAACACCATTGAGTCGTCGATCACAACGCGCAAGTAAAAGAAATGGAATTAATCAGAATATAATCTTGTCGCAAAGACAGCTAACGGATAGTGGAGTCGATTTTCGTTTCTCCAGTAGTTCAGGTGATACAAATCAACATTCGAATTCGCGACCTTTGAGAACATCATCCAAGCCTCGAGTCACTCCAGCACACATAAAAATGGATTCTTCTCGTGGACCAGAATTACTCACTAGAGAACGGACGAATCATGGTATACTTGATACCGTTCTTTTTCAGAGAAATTGAACACGATTGAGTTCTCATTTAGGCCAACTGTATCAACGTCGTACTAATAATACTATCAAAACTCCAACGAAACAAAAGATTGACAAATATCGTCGTCGTTCTGAAGAAGTTATTCAAGCCGCATATGGACATCCGTCGACTAATTCATCGCCCAACAATGCTCTATGCACTCGTCCGAAACCACCACCACCAACACCAACACCGACAAAATCTCATCGTGTGGCATCAAATGCTGATATCGAAGCTCATCTGAAGACACTCCGCTTGTCAATAAATCCAAATCTACCTCAAACAGTCGAACCATCTCATAATTTATCACACCCGTATCCAAGTCATCGCATTAAATCTCCATATCTATATCCTCCACAGCAACAACTCGTCTCAGCTATTCTACCAACATCCAATCCTCCGACACCGCTAGTTCGTATTCGTCGAAGTCAAGCAGCAAACCTACCCACAGCTGCAGCTAGCTCATCTCAACATCACCATCAAAGTTCGTTTAACCAATCAACAACATACAATCCAGGAAATCTCTATTTAGCATTTATAGCATCACGTCATATGTCCACGGTAGAGAATCATTCATTAGAATCTGATCCTGAGCAACAAAAACTTATGCGTATACTTAATTGGATTGAGAAAGTTGAAGAGCATCGTCGTCAACAATCTGATCATGACAAATTGATTATCGAACAAAACAGACGTATGGAAACTCAAGAAGACGATCTATCTCTATACTCTGAACTTCAATTTGCCGTCGACGATCTACCAGCAAATACAAGCGGACAACCATGTGAGAGAATAGTGACCATAGATTTTGATAAATAACAAAACAGAACTAGAAATGACCGAAGTCATCTGTGGTAGAAATGCTCATCCTAAGCAGTACCATTGTATATTTGTTACCATTTCGGGCGACCTTATCTTCGACAATCATTTATAATTATTTTTTGTTTGTAATAAGAAAAGAGCAAAGTTTTTTTTTTGAAACTATTTTAGAAATACACACATCAGTTCCGTTTCTATGTGGGTTTCAAAGTTTTATTTCATTCTTGATATCCTTTAAAATGTATAACTAAATAATGTCGCCTGTCTATGACACTCTAAAAGCAAAGAAATAGTATGCATGTTTTCACCAATAGTATCATTCCATCGCTTGAGCTGTTTTCCATGATATTCGCGATGTGATTCTCGTCCACCAGTCCTTCACATGAGGTCGGGATTCGAACAGATCGCCTTCACCGATTTTGACAAGCCACGTTCCATAAGGCAAATGAAATAAATCTGCCAGAGTGAATTTCTAGAATTCAATTCGAGGTTCTTCAGTTGAAATAAACAAAAAAAAAAATCTTACTTCACCAGCTAAATAGGGTTGTTGTGATAAAATCTTCTCATAAACATCGAGACTTTTATTCAATTCTGCTTTATGCGACGCAACTTTTGCTTCGTCAGCTTCACCTTGTCCCTTCATTCTGAAATGAGGCGAATGCATCAAGTTCTGTTTTGAGACATCTGTCTGACTTTTTCAAAACTCGTTCAGCGACGATGCCACTGGCATACGGATCAAAATAAGAAATTTCCGTCGATGCAGCTTGTTCAAATAGACCTTGAGCTTTTGGATCTTTTGTTGGAATCAACTCTGTACCCTTGCCTTTATATTTCATTTCAAGATATCGACAAATAGCTCGTGATTCTATGCAGTAAATCAAAACTAAAATAGGACGGTATCTGTCCACCAGAAAAAAAACTTACCATAAACTTTAAAACCATTTTCATCGATCAATACTGGAATAACACCAAATGGGTGTTTGTCTTGCAAATACTTTGGCGTCTATGAAAAGCATTAGAAATCAATTTGGAAAATTCTTATTCGAGCTGTTGTACCTTGTGTTCACCACCAAAAAAGTCTATTGACTGCAGTGTAAAGCTGAGTCCTTTTTCAGTTAATGTAGCTATAACACGCTGGGTGCATGTCGATTGAGAAATCCCATACAGAGTGATCGGAGACTTTTTTGCCATGGATTTATTTCAACGATGATCTGAAATACGATGGTTATAACGCTGACACTTTTGTTGAGATATATATCAGAGACGCAGGAGAAAATTTCTCGTCGCAAGAAACCATAAAAACAAGAGAGGAAAAAAGAAAATGAAAACAGGCAAATTGCATGTTGTCTACCAGCGCTATATCTTCTTTTCTATGTGACGTTCTACTCGTGACTTACCGTCGTTATGGTGATACGTTCTTTTACAGACACTTTCATTGTATCCGGTATACAAATCGAATAGAATTAATTTTTATTTAAACAAAAAATAAAATATGAAGATTTTTCGCATATTTTCGTTTTCAACGACTAGATGTATTGAATTGTGTGTAAAAGGCAGCAGTCGGTACTGAACGATACAAATTCGTATTCAAATAGTCTTGATATGCACGCTGTTTTCTCGAAAGATGCTGATTCTCATCAGCCAGATGTCGACAGGATTGACGATGGTCATCTTTCACTTTTTGTTCAGTAATTATCTCTTGTTTAGCAATTGCATTTGCATATTTTCCCCAAATTTCATCGAAATTCTTCTGCGTATGATCAAGTTTCTAAAAACAAAGAAATTGAATTGAAAACAGAAAGTAGAGTACGTACTCGACGTTCTGCAATTTGTGTTAATTGTTGGTGACGAATGTCATCTAATTGATCTTTGGTCATTCCTTTCCATCGGTCAACAATGATACGACCACGAGCATCAAGTACATCTTTGATATTCTCAGTTAACATATCACTAAACACTGTAGTACCCAACTCAGCTAATTGCTCTTCTGTTTGTTGGCATTTCCGTTCATTGTGTCGAATTTTAGTTTCATTTGCCTAGTAAAAAAATCTGTCTTCAATATCTCTTCTAGGAAAATCTTCTCGAAAGTACGAGTATCTCATTATAATTTCGTGTAGCTAATTGCATTGCTCGGTAACATTCATTTTCGATTTGTTCAAACATATTACCACGTTCAGATAATTCGAGCTGTTTACAATCATATAAATGACTTGCTAGACGTTCCCGTTCGACTTTTCGTATTTTAGCCATTATCTTGCAAAGATTCTAATAATTAGTCACTGATCATCAAACTTAAATTCAAATGTTACTTGTATATCGAAATCATTCTTTAATTGCTCTTGTTGAGCTTTCTTTCGTGCTGACTGTTGAAGATCTTCTCCAGTAAATATTTGAGCTGACGATAGACCTAATCGAGCATCGTCATCCTTAACACGTGTTGGTGTTAAATACTTCCATCGGTTCGGATCGTTCAGATCCCATTCCCTAGCATCTTCCGGCCGTTGATACATACGGCGATAATCGTTTAAATCTTGTGCATATTGACGTTGTTGAGAAAGTTCATCTTGTTCGAGAGAGATCAATTTGAAATCATTTCGTATCATTTCGCAATCTGAATATTACAGAAAACGTTTCGTAGGAAAAAAGTCGTGTCCATTTACCAAATGCATCATTTCGTTGCCGTTCGAATTGTTTCAAACGCTCTCGTTCTTGAATCTGTTCATCCAGTGCTACCCTATCAACCTAGAGACTTTCGATCAGAAAACAACTTGAATTCAGATAGGAACACTTACACCGATAGTTCGATATTTCACATTGAAAATGCGTGATAAACGTTCCTTTTCTTGACGACGACGTCGTTCCACAGCAGCTTGTTCTCGAATATCAATCGGTAGATTTCGAAGAAACATTGTCTCAAGCTGATTTACATCATCATCACGGTTCCATCTTAGACTTTTTCTATTCAATTATACAAATTTCGCGCATTGTCGTCATTAGTGCATTTGTCAAGGTTAATTATTTCGTCTTATCTATCAGAAAAACGATTCTTCTCAAGAAACCAAATGAACTCTTCTTGCTGTCAATTGACATCGGTATGAAGTGGATTGGTCGAGTGTTCTTAAACATAACAGCGTGAGACATTTTTCTACTTTGCAGTGATATAATTGCGAATTTCATCTTCATTGAAGGACGTTTAGCATTTGAATATCCATTTGAAAAACACTGCTGAATACAATCACTCATTGTTAAGCAGATTCTTTCGAAGTAATTAACACCAAGCAAAAGAAAAGAAATCTGCTAAAATGAATTTCAATGAACTTGTCTCTTTCATATATGTATGTATGGTTAATGTTTTTCTTTCACGGTTTGATCATCTCAGCATGAAGACAAGAAAAGGGGAAAATCAATGAATTCGAACATTGTGATGTAAAACGAGAAAAATCATTTCATTGTAACATCGTCTGTTTGATCAGCTATCAATATTAAAACGACACATTCATAAGATGTGAACATCAATGTATGACAGTTTGTCTTTTATCTTAAACGAATGGTCATCTAGTTAAATGCTTTTTCTTTTAAAATCATTTGTCAGACTGATGAATGAAGAACATTAGTAATGAGATATATAAAGCCGTCAACTCGAGACGACATGTCAGGAAATTGGAATGGAGAGATACTCGATATGGATGAAGGAAAAAGAAAAATCGATCAATTGTGCTCATTTCTTTTTGCTGACTGACCAAAGAAGAATATATAAAAGGCTTCTGGTTTTCACTAATGAAGAGTACGATATTGTTTGTAGTCTAGAAACACGTGCATGCCTGTTCACAATGATTATTATAATCAAAAGACCGANATAAGTTCTGAGGCAGAAATCAGCTTCGGTAACTCTTTTGCATAAAGAGCTATAATTGAAGTTGTCGTTTTGTGCGATGCACGGCGGGAAAAATTAGGACCGCCAGCATACAATCTTGGAGTCTATTGATTTTTCTATTTGCTGCAGCTTTTCAACACGTCAGGCATTCGACATAGATATTTCTTATTTTGCAGCGGGTACGCCCGCTAGTACATATACAAATTATGATCGCATAGAATAACAGAAGTGATGGCCAAAAGTTCATTCCCATCGTATGATCGATCAGTCCCAATAATATCTGATGATTCTATCCTATCAAGCCCTAATCATCGATTTCCATTGATTGATGCTGATTCGGGATTACCGCTCTCACGTCAACATTCAGATGGTACGTTTTGATTTTGTTAGGATAAGCTCTCGTAGTGTCTTTTTTCTTGTATCGTTAGATGCAGATGTATTACAAATGAAACGGCAGCATCCGAACATGGGTTTTCGAGATCATAATACAATGTCGAATTCAGTGGATGATCTAACACAACTCACTGATCATATATCATATCCTAATTCAAGCTTTGGTCAAGATTTCAGCGATCCAGACGATGGTATAACTGATATATTGATTTGTATTGTGAAAATATTTTTATTCTATTCAAATAGATGAATTACATTTCGATAATGGAAGTAGTATTGATTATGATATTTCGATTCAAGAAAGACTGAAGAGAGCCAATGAGGTATTCGAACATGATAAAACACCGGCTGAGTTAACACATCAACAGCGTGTTTCATTCGATTCGGTTGTTAAAGCTGTTCAACTTGTTCAGGATCCTGAAGACGGAAAGATAACCGATTCATCTGACACTCAACCAATTTCGCCTGTCGTGGAAGAATCGACAATTCATGGTGCTGATTCCCAAGATGAAAATAGTCCTCATGAGTATACGGTACCTTTGAATGACACAAAACCGAGAGACACACCGACATTAGTGGAGCAAATTAAAGCTATGCAATTTTACGGTGGTTCAACGGTTGGCGGTGATCGACGTGTCACATCAACTACAAACGCTTCTTCTTCTCGTGAAGGTAACGCTCGATGAATTGAGTTTCTGTAGAATGACAAATGACTTGTTCGATATAGATAATTCCTCGTCGAAATTAACTGCAAATAGTGATGCAAACCCTTCGACAACTTCTAGTGCAACACAGAGTTCTGTAATTGTGGCAAGAAATGGAAAATTTGAATTTCAAACTGAAGATGACTACACCGCTAAGCGTGCGATCGACGAATCTGATAGTGGGTCCGACAATGACGACAATCAAACATCTACAACGAAAACTACGAAAGTAACACATTCAACAACATCGTCGAATCCGATACATCATTCTTCATCGTCATCAGCGCGGCCAAAGTCATCCGATGATGCAAAACGAACTGATAATAAATCTAGCGACCCGATGTCAAAATCCTTGGCTTATAATAAAACCAAGTCAACAACAAATAATCAACAAAGAGCGAAAAGGTAGATCAAATTCATTTGAACCATCCATTCTTTTTCTCATGCAAAATTTCCAGTGCGGTTGTTTCAAAATCGATTGAATCCTTCATCTTGCAGTGAGTAAAAGATTTCTATAAAGTAATTTTTCCTTCTCAAATTCAATAGGCCATGTAGTGTTGATTTCGAAGAAATGAACCGAACAGCAGCGGAACGAAAACGTGCCGAATTGCAAGAAGAATGCCGTAAAAAGAACGAAGTAAGATGGAAAAATAGACGCGGGAAACCGAGACATTTAAGTACTTTTTCAAAATGTCGAGTATTTGAATTAAAGCGTGTAATTACCTTGAATGAATGATGAGAAAAACAAACTTGATGAACAGAGATGTTTGATAAGAAATATTGTGTTTTTAGAGTGATATTAAACGACGAGAGGATTTACTTCGTGCGCAAGAATCTTTTGCCAAATGGTTACATGATAAAGAAGCTGAACGTCGAAGGTTGAACGAAGAAAGACGGTTAGAAAGAGAGGAAGAAATGGTAAAAACGAACGCGTTTGATTAGTCTTTGAATATTCCGAGTTTTCGCAGGCTCGACAAGAAAAATGTGAAAAGGAATTAGGAGAACTACGTGAAAAGAAGTACAAAGAATGGATCGAACGGAAAAATCGTGAAGCTATGAAAGCCAATGAATTAAAACAACTACAGACCGAAGAAGAATATGAAATTAAAGTAGGACACATCAGTTACATCAATCAAACTTCGCTTTGCTTGTAGAGCAATCAGGAGAAGTCGGATAAAGAACTACGCGAGAAGAAATATCGAGAATGGTTTCAACGTAAAGATCAGCAAGTGATGATGGCAGAAGAATTTAAAAAACTACAAGCTAAAGAAGATGAAATGACATCCGGCGGATCATCATCGTCGATACACAATTCCAGTCAACAAAATGGCCATCGTGCATTTCGTCTGTATGTTTGTCCTTTCGATTGACTGTTTCATTCGTGATTTTCAATGTTTTGATTTAGTTGGTTACGTCGGAAAAATGAGGAATCTCGAGAAGAAAAACGTCGATTACGTCTTGAAACTCGCCGTTTACGTCGTCATCAACGACGTTCGTTAAAACGTTATCAACTTCAACAAGATCTACAACTAGCAAGGTCGTTCGGTTACACCTAAATCTCCTTTCGATCTCGACATAATTGCAAAGATTACTCAGTCGTTCTATTTTCTCTTCAATACTTTCTTGTCCAGCAAAAAACACAAGAAAGAACATTTGCCATATACATATATATATGCTTTTTATTTATATCATGTTTGTAGAATATTCAGACATCATTTGTCATACACCTAGACATATTAAGGAAAGAGACGACACAAACCGCAACATCATATGCTTATCTCTATATATACATCGATAAATACATCGAGCGGAACGTTGAAAAGAGAAGAAAAAGGCAAAACTTTATTATGACGTCTCGGTGTTGTTACCGGAGACATATCTTTTCCCTTCTTGCAATGGAAATCATATGTGATCATGAGAAAAGAAACAGAATGTTAGATAGCAAAGATATATCAATATATCAGTTCTCTCAAATCGATATTGTCAAAGAAATTGTTTAATACAAAAAAAGTGCATTTTTTCCATGTCGAGCGGTCCAGGTAAGACGCGCATTTGTTTTCGTTTGAATTGAAAAGTAATTGATACTCGCATAATTAATTTTCGCTCGATAAACCTTGAAGAAACTAACTAGCATATGACTCAACGAATAATTGTGTGAACGAAAACAAAAACATGCCCATAATTAACGATTTAAATTAACCAAAATAGTTTTCAGTTTCTTCGCCATCGATGTCCTGTTACTATTTATGATATTTCTCTCCGAAGGTCAACATAATAAACACATGAGAAATCTATTTTTGATATCATTCTTACCTTTATGTCAGATATAATGGCTATCTTGATCATCATCACTCACGTTATCAATGATATGCGTCAACGTTGAGCTATGGATACGCAAGAAGGAGAAAAGACAAAACACATATTTTGACTATCTAATCAAGGTTCTTTTTTTCTCTTGATCAACTTCGATTTTTTTCCTTCTCCTCCTCCTTCTTCTTCTTACTGAATTCAGGTACTATCGTACATGTTTTATAGACAGCTCTAGGTAGGTTTGAGCAAGTCATGTACGAGAAGTTGTCTTTTGTCTCATGTGAGCTTCTCAAAATTTCCTATTTTGTATACGTGCCACGAGGATTCATGGGTGCTGCTCGTGTAATTTTGAATTTTGGTCAAATGTCATAGTGAGAGATGAACGAATCGAGGATTCTTCTTGAGAATAATTCCTTTAAAAGTTTATATTATTAACATATTCATCGAAAAATGTTCTCTGTATTTCGTCCTCCATCTGTCCATGCAAATTACGTAAGTATTCAAATGAGCACGAAACAAATATCAAGGTTCCCTTTTGCTGTTTACACATTGTTTCTCGTTTGATATTTTCCAATAATAATAATAACAACACTAATTTCACCTTCCCGAGCATCAATGAAATAATCACCATTTACTGTAAAATTCTATCCCATAATAATATCAGCAATTTCGTTTTCTTTTTTTTCAGATAGAAATCACAAACTGCACTATCTACAATCACTATGTTTCCATATACATCGACACAGGTATGATAATTGGAAGAGAATGAATAGAAAAAATATTCTTTCATTTAGTTAATTTCAATGCATCCACACCAGCACCAGCAACAACATCATCATCAGCAACCGCCACAGCCGACTCCTCAGCCACCGCCAATGTATTCTCAACCACAGCAGCCAAGTATCGTGTTCTATCCATACAGTCAACTACAATCAATACAACCAACGTATCCGGCACCAGGTTTAACATCTATTCGATATATTCAACAGCCACGCGAGCCACAAAAACAGAAATACCGAAGTGACCAAATAGTGCCGCGTTCTTCACCACCAATCACCTCACCAATTCAACAGCAAATTCAACGTTCTAGTCCAATCAATATGGTGCCATTATCATCGCCGAACATGTGGATGAATAATACAACATTACAGAATCCGGCTCTATTTCGACCGATCATTCGTACAATATCTAATGCTAAAATGGATGATAAATCTCATAACAATATGGTTAATAATACTGGAACAGTAACGCCAGCACTACCAGCTGCAATGTCGTTCGAATCTCCGAAATTATGTCGTCATCATCAACATCATTCGAAACGACAATCATCAAACGACAATCATCAACAACGTCAACGTCAACGTCTTAATAGTGGCTCGAGTTGTTATGGCTCTGATTCACCTATGTCTAGTGACAATGAAGATCCATCCGACGTAAGGATCATTACCATTTACAGAAACTCGATATTTCGATTTTGACCTACAAACTAATATTTGCCTAATTTTCTCCATTCGTTTTCAGACACGAACAGTCAACCCGAAAACAGTTACTTTAATATCATTAACTGCCAAAAAACGACGACATTCGATAGGTCGAACTGAATTGACCAAAGTTAAGCATGTAACTAAGGATACTCATATTCCATCATTAAGTATTAATAGCAGTGGTTTTGGAACGAACAATACCGTCACTTCAACGACGGCGACCCATAGTTCGTCAACAAAAACAACTACAAGTGTAGCTTCTCGGCCTAAACTCCTTCAATATATCGAAGAAAATGTTATTGGAAAAGATTATATCTTTCAAGGACCATGGGGCTTAAGACGAAGTATGTTACTCTGTTTTCCATATATAATTCTTCATTAATGATCGCATTAAATTCGTGTTTTCTTTCCCATTAAAGTGATCTACTGTGATTATACAGCATCAGGTCGACCGTTACATTTCATTGAAAACTATATAAAAAATTCGGTGCTTCCTTTGTAAATAATCATCGTGCTCCTTGAATTCAATCTCTCATTTCTGTTTCTGTGCTTCAGATATGGAAATACACATAGTGAAACAAGCTTATGTGCGCAACAGTCAACGAAATTTCGTGAAGAAGCTCGCCTTATTATCAAAAAATCTGTCAATGCTAATGATGATGATGTTTTGCTGTTCACTGGCACTGGTTCAACGGGTGCTGTTCACACACTTGTTGTTAATTTTGAACTTCACGATGAAACTGTTCGTAAAAATACGGTAGTGATGATCAGTACATTCGAACATCATAGTAATATTTTACCATGGAAGGAAACTGGTGTGGAAGTAAGTGAACTTTTCTCACGGAGAAAATTTAAATGAATTTCTTCTCTCGTGAAGATGATTCGTATTCCAACAACTCAACAAGGCATACTTGATAAAGCAGTTTTCGAAGAACGATTACAACATTATTCGAAATTGAACAAACGTATTATCTGTTCGTTGAATGCGGCGAGTAATATTAGTGGAATTTTAACTGACGTCGATGCCATATCAACATTAGTTCACGAACATTCGGGTTTTATTCTGTGGGATTACGCAACTGCTGCGCCTTATGTTAAAATTGATATGAATCCATCATCGACTGCTTACAAAGATGCCATATTCATATCCACGCATAAGTTTATTGGTGGGCCCGGTACACCAGGTTCGAAAATGATTTAGTTTTCGAAATTCATATTAACGTTCTTGCTAAATATCTTAGGTCTATTGATTGCAAAAAAACGTTTATTCAGTTTGAAAGCACCGAAAGCTTGCGGTGGTGGCACAGTGAATTTCGTTACACGTACTTGTCACGAATACAATCATAATATCGAAACTCGTGAAGAAGGTGGAACACCAGACATCGTCGGTTGTATACGTGCTGGCCTTGTCTTTCAATTGAAAGATGCGATTGATATAAACTATTTACAAGCACGTGAAGATGAACTCTGTAAACGCTTTTATCGACGTTTTAAAAAAAATGACACTTTAATTCTTCTCGGTTCTCAAACGGCTCCACGTATACCTATCTTCTCATTTCTTATCTATGTACCAGGTGTATGCAAGTACCTACATCATAATTTCGTTTGTCTACTATTAAATGATCTCTTCGGAATCCAAGTACGATCTGGTTGTGCATGTGCTGGACCATATGCACTCGATCTATTGAATATTGACAATGCGAAAACAGACATTTATTGCAAATTTATGACTGAAGATGCTTGGTTCGTTGAAGTTCTATTATGTCCACAAAACGTTTAGTATTGATTTATTATTCTATTCTAGTGCGCGAGGTGATGATCACATTGTTCGAACTGTAATGATGAAGTAAATATGAATTTCGATCTTTTCAATCTTTCGCAACGAAATATTCTCGTAATCTAGACCAGGTTTTACACGTCTTAATCTTTCATTCTTTGCAAATGACTATGAAATCGAATACATTCTTCATGCTGTTCAATTCGTAGCTACTGAAGGATGGAAATTTTTACCACTAGTTAGTAAACGATCGATTTTGAATATCTTGCTATTCAAATCGTTTTCTTTAGTATACGTACAATCCAGTCACGGCTGGTTGGAGTCATCGAAGTGGTTTCGCACTTGCACAATCAAGTCTCAGAGATATTACGTACAAAGCTGGTAAAATGCAATATTTCGGCAGTAAAAAACATACATTGCCCGCTCGGGGTGAGAAAATGGTAGGTAGAAATGAATGATCATTGACGAAAACGCAGATATTTCTATTTGCTCGTCTAGGATCCCTTTCGTGAAGCGAAATTAATGGCTGCGGATGCTGTACGTCGTGCATTTAATGCAATTGATTATACATCTGATCCTCCGTTGAATGTGCCAGATAACTATAAGCATATGATTTGGTTTACCCTACCAATTGATATTGCTTTAATGATGAGTAAACAGAAAGAAGCTGGAGAAGACTTAAATGCTAACATTAATTCGATTCCGTTCATGCCCGAAGAAGCTAAGGTAAGATTACTAGATAAGAGAAAGTCAGTGCGAGACGTTCGTTTTCTTCCTAGGAAAAACTTATCAATTCACCCAAAACAAGTGAATTATCAAATAATCCAGTTGAACCTCGAAAGAAACACCATTCCGTTCGGTGTACGTCATCGATTCGTGTTCGCTAATAATACAAGCAATACGATTCAAACAAAGAAACAAAAGCAAACTTCATTCGTTGTGTGTTATTTCTTTTTTGTAATATGTATTCACATATTTAATATTACGGTTTTTCTCCTCATACATGTATTTGCACATAGGCATGTCCAAAATTTAAATCGAACTAAAAGTCTGTGATACGCATTCGCCATAGGCAAGTACGACAAATGAGAGAAAATGGTTATGTCAAGGTTTGTCGTATTATGTTAACCTCGAGAAAGATAAACAAATAATAGATCAAAGTAAGTGATTGAAATGTACTTATTCGACACGCAAAGTATGAAAACGTGTTGAAAAGTAGGAGGAAGAACAGGTTTTGTGTATTAAATATTGACCTTTTATCTTATTTGAAAGTGATTGTCGTTCGACATCCTACGAGATATTTGCAAAACAGCAAAGTTGGATACATTGTCGCAAGAGATTATTTTCTTTTTCATCTTCGTCTTCTGAATAATTATTTGACTAATGTAAATTTGATTTACTCATTGAAAAAAAAAGAAGAAAGAAGAAAAATAAGTAAATGTCATCGATTTTTTCGTTCTTTGTATCATTCTTAATTGATTATTATTAGCAATGTTATTTCGAATCTGTTGTCTCCTTGGACTTCTGTCGATTCATTCAGCATTGCAATTGAACTTTTATACGTCTGTTGGACAATTTCGAGAGGAAATTGCTGTCAACAATGGATCATTGCGAAGATATTTCTCGGATCAAGAGTATCATAGTGTCATACCGTAAGGTTTTTTTCATACGAAGAACTTTTCGTTTTTCAACGTTGAATTTCGTTCGTTAGAGGAACGATTGATTTTCCTGGACAAAGGATTTTGGAACAAGATGTCTACAATTCCAATGAAGATTTACGAAACATGGAAATTTATGTTCGGTCAACTCAATGCGACGATGAAGAAGCAACGAAAGCACGACTGATTGATCCCTATTCGCTATTGATTAAGTACGATTCATCACGATACACGTATGTATCACGTGATCAGATTGAATTTAATCAAGATCCGAATATGAATGGAATGATCTTATCGGTGCGATTGGATAACAAAACTAGCACAAAAGCCAATATGACTTATTTATCTCGTGGGCTTTGGTGGACACCGAGATATGAAATAATTGTCGATGATAATCATCGTAATAATCTCGCTAATTTCAATTGAATTTCTGTATTTTCTCATTCTAGTTGCCACACTTCGAGCTTTAGCTGATCTCACCAATGAACACGAACATTCTTATACAATAGAAAACAGCCAACTGATCACTGGAAGTGTCCCGTTAGCATCAACATCGCTTCGAGTACCTTCACCCATGGACTCTGAACGGATTGAATTCATGGCCACTCCACTGGCTGATTCACCCACACCGATATCAGCCAAACCTGATGCTACTAGTTTCGGTACATACTCATACAATCTAACTCGTAAATTTACTCTTCTTCCAAAATCAATTAAAACATTTCCATTTCTGACAACAACAATCACGTTAAACTATACACTAGAAGCTACAACCTATTTATCAGTTGGTACAACATCAGGCCAATTTCAACGAATATTCATTATCCAACCAGCGGACTTTTTACCAGCCGGTACAATAACCTTCTATTTAGCATCCACAGGCTTAACATTAGGTCAAAGTCGTTTACCAGACACAGCAAAGCAAACACAACAGAGTCTTAATCTAGGAGGTGATCCTGATGTGAAATTTCAAATTATAAGTGTTGTGACTGCTATCCGGCAGACACCCACGTACGGGCAAGATCTGAATGTTAACGTGACGCTTTCTAATCGAAAGGAAAAACAAACTGTTTCTGTAACATTAACACTCAATAGTGGTTATCGTAATACAACGTCAACACTCAGATATCAATCATCATCAAACATCACTATTACACAGGATCCGAACAATAAATCAGTGTTAATTATTCACGCTACTATTCAGCCAAATGAAGATGAAACGTGCGTATTTGCTGTTATTCAAATAAACTGAAAGAAGAATTTGACTTTTTTTCATTGGAAAAATAAATCTTTCATTCGCACTTATGCACATCCGACATGAGTAGACATCTGTCGAACATGGAATACATAGGCCAAACGACGGCTGATATCATCGTTGATGAATCATGACGTTTTTCTTTTCAGTGAAAATAAAAATCTTCCTTCTTTTTCTTTGCTAAATCGTCCTTAAACTGCCTTCGTTGATTAATATCTCCTTTCCCATTTGGAGAAAAAAAAGAACAGATTGCTCTTAACATCATGATCGTCTGCTTTTTGTCCACCAATATTTTATTTTGAATTTCACTTTATCCGTTCTTTCCTTATCACAATCGAATCATATATATATGTGCATACAAGGTAAGTTTATAGTATATTCTATCGAGAAAGTAGTGTAACTAAAGCGCTGTCAATGAATACAACTCAGTTAGCGTCAAAGTCGTTCGCTCAATCAGACCTTTGGTTGTTCAGTTTATATATCATCGGAACGTTTGAATGTGTTTTTTGGTTGTTTAATGCGTTTTTAATCATCATTGAGCTCTATGATTTTCCTTCCATTGATAAATATCGTATACAAAAACATAAGAAGAAATTACGTTTTCAACCCGACTTAGTCAACCTAATGATCAAGGAAACTCTTCGTCATCAAATATCCACAATTCTTCTTACGCCAGTGCTCTTCTACCTTTTGAATTACTTCGGTCATCTCGATATTCATGGATCTCGACCGTCATGGTCAACGATAATCTATCAATTGACACTTTTTATTCTCGCCGAAGATGCCATCTTCTTCTGGACACATTATTTATTTCATACGCCATGGCTATATAAGGCTGTACATAAAAAGCACCATGTGTACACCCAACCGACTGGTGTTGTTTCGGTTCTAAGTGATCCATGGGAAGGTTTACAAAATCAAATCTCAATATGGCTGATGCCGATTCTATTAAAGGACAAACACTTGTTTACGTTATGCCTTTGGATTGTGATACGCGTTTATCAAACAGTCAATGCACATTCAGGTTACGACTTTCCTTATATTAGTACGCAATATTGGCTTCCATCAATAATGTCAGGTGCTTTAGGACATGATTTTCATCATCAACATGGTAAATGGAACTATGGATCATTTTTTAATGTTTGGGATCGATTGATGGGAACATATCGATCATCGACAAACAACAAACGAAATTGATTGATTGCCTGGAAAAGACAAAAAAGAAACATATCATGTATTCATCAGTTACTTATTAAAAGCAAACGAAAAAAAGAAGCTCATAGCACATGTCTAATCATTTCACTGGTGTTTGATTGATGAGAAAATGAATGTACTTGTTTCTATTCATCCTATCTCGAGATGTGTGGTCTTCTTTCGCGTTCGACTTATGATCTATCTGTAAGATTTTAAAGAAGAAATATGCGTAAGAAAGCACATACATCAAAGAAAACTGAGAATAGCATTTGCTTAATTCTCACTGTACTTAATGCAGGTTGTTGTCGATGTGCGGTGTTTCGAGTATAGTCAAAAATAGTACAGAATGAATTGTGAATGACGTTTCTTTTCTTTTTCTTCTTTTCGTTCTGTTTCTTTTTCGTCTTCTTCTTTTACTTGTCGATTGAGAAAAGAAACTTGCATTATTTTCTAACGATAAAAATATCCTTCCGTCGTTGGTAAGTGCATCGACATTTTGATTTCGAATGATTTTTAAATAACACATGCTAACCTTCTTTTCAAACATATCACATTCGCTGACTTTTTCTTCTGAACAAAATCAGATGCACGCTGATGATTCATCGAGAACACAAATTATGTAAATACGTGATTTCTTTGTCTTTAGATTATACATATATAGCTTATACTGACAATTGATTTGAAAATCTGAGTGTATATTTACTGTTTTTTGTTGAATCTCAATCATGGCTTCGTTTACAAATTACCGAAATCCAAATTCGACTCGGCCGAGTCAGACGAATGATGAAAATTCCAAAGATCTGAAAGCAAACATTCGCGAAAGTCGATGGATTCAACCTGACCAATGGGAATCAGCTGAAATTCAAGAGAAATTTGAAAAGGTTAGTTCGAGTTTTGCCAAGAAGTTCTCAACGTTTTCGTTTATTTTTCAGGGTAACATTGCTTTTTCGGACGTGCATACAATGCTACAACAATTGGGTATTAAAGTTCAAAAATTTGAACTAAACGAAATTTTAGAAAAGCATGATCGAAATAAGGACGGTCATATGAGTAAAGAAGAATTCGAAGATGTAAGTCGACTGTTACTTATGTGAATTTGATGACGATTGGAGAAAATTCATTTTGGTAGGTTTATTTGCAACTACGTATTAAAAAAGATCCAGGCAGCACTTGGGGTCGATCTGTTAAGCCAACAGCCGGGGGACTTGATCGATTTGTTACGACACGTCGTGATGCAGATGATGATTTAGATTCAACCTCGTCTGTTGTAGAACAAAAACAAGAAGCATCAGGTCCATACCATAGTGTGCTAGTCGAAGAACGTGTCTGGACAGCAAATTGGATAAATCAGTGCGTAGGATTTACCAGATGTATACTCATAACATTCGCTTTTCTCTAGACTTCTCGCAGATGACGCTCATTTGAATCTCCGTGCTAATCCGATCGATTCAAAAGATGCACAAGCACTCTACAAAAGATGCCAGGATGGTATTTTACTTTGGTATGTTCAGATTTTCTTGTTCCATGTCTGTTGAATGTGACCGGCGTTCTAGTAAACTAATCAATATTGCTGTACCGAAAACAATCGATGAACGAGCAATCAATTTAAATTTAAACAAACAGGATATTTTCCGACAAAGTGAAAATTTAGAATTGGGTACGACGATGAAATGTTTGAGAAAGGATCGAGCTTATTTTTTTCTCACTAGCAATCAATTCTGCTCGTGGTATTGGTTGCAAGGTGGTTAACATTCATCCTGAGAATATTTCCAAAGCTGTACCTCATCTGGTCATGGGTCTCCTCTGGCAAATTATTCGGGTAAGTTGACGAATACAATTGTCATTTTTCTATCAATCGAATTCCTTGCATTTAGATACAATTAACCAGTGAAATCAATTTAAAACACGTTCCTGGTCTTGTCTTGCTTCTTCGTGATGGTGAAACTGCTGAAGATTTATTGAAATTATCTCCCGAAGAACTGCTACTACGTTGGGTTAATTACCAACTTCGACGTACGGAATATAAAGGCAAACAAGTATCGAATTTTAGTAATGATATTAAGGTAAGTTTCTCTCGAAAAGAAACTTTCTTTCCAAGTCAAATATATTTTCATTCTAGGATTCAGAAGCGTATACGTATCTTCTTCACATTATCGCACCTGCTAACACGAAACCCCCTGTCGGACTCAGTCCGTTGAAAGTAAGTGATGAGAAAGATTTTTTGAACTGCTCTTTTTTATGAAAATTCTTTAGTAAATTTTAATCTCTCGGTAACTTTGTGCAAACTTTGATAAAGCTAGTGCCGCATGAGCCATAACGTTCTGTTTTTGTTTGAATTTCGTGTGATTTTGCAATGATCCTGTTTTAATAAGTCAATATTTGCTGATCATTTTTTTTTCAATATAGGAAAATGATTTACGTCGCCGAGCCGAGCTCATGTTACAAGAAGCTGATAAGATCAAAGCACGTGCACACATAACACCTGAAGATGTTGTTAAAGGAAATCCGAGACTAAACTTTGCGTAAAAAAGAGCACAGTTTGTTTTTAAAGAAAAATTAGATTTATTTATCCGTTTAGTTTTGTAGCAAATCTGTTTAATACGTATCCCGCTTTGGATCTACCAACTGAACAAGTACCCGAACCGGGTGTTGTGATCGAAGAAACTCGAGAAGAGAAAACTTATCGAAATTTTATTAATAGTCTAGGTCTCGAACCACATGTGAACTATCTCTATTCCGATCTATGTGATGGATTGATTATTCTTCAGGTAAATTGTTTGCTCCTATTCGAAATGAAAAGTTTAATATTCATGTTCTTTGTTTAGCTTTATGATATTATTCGTCCGACTACAGTCGATTGGTCAAAAATTTACAAAACATTCAATGCAATAAAAGAGCGCTTTCAAAAGCTGAGTAGGTTATCGATTTCGAATAAATCCCAAAGACGATCCTTGACCTCTTTAGGTAATTGCAACTTTGCTGTTGATTATGCAAAAGAACCGCTTCGATTCAAGATGACTGGCATTGGCGGAGCAGATATACTTGAAGGAAATAAAACGTTAACACTGGGTCTTGTTTGGCAAATAATGCGTGCGTACACTTTGTCAATATTACAAAAACTAGCTAAGTCTTCAACGCCCATCGCGGACAAAGATATAATCAATTGGGCTAATGAAAAGGTGAGAGAACTTTCGTTCCTAACGATAATATCTCGTAACTTATCCTGCGTTTGAATTAGTTAAAATCTGCGAACAAAACGACATTTCTAACCAATTTTCAAGATCAATCATTGAGCGACTCGATGCTAATCTGCGATCTAATCGATGCCATTAAACCTGGATCTATACAATACAATCTTCTCAAAACATCGGGCACACCTGAAGTAAAATTCTTGCATCGTTTCGATCGAATCTGCTAGCGATTTCTTGTAGGCGAAGATGGATAATGCATTGTATGCGATTTCCATGGCACGCAAAATAGGAGCACGTGTTTATGCCTTACCGGACGATATTGTCGAAGCAAAACAGAAGATGCTTTTAACAGTTTTTGCTTGTCTCATGGCCAGTGATATGAATGTAGGAAAAAATTAACTTTTCCTCCCATTTCAGTTCTATTCTTTATATCGTCAAACAATAAACGTCGATTTCTCTTTTATTTTTGATGTTTTTCTTTTCCAACGAAAGCTTATTTTTCATTGACTAACTAATATACTTATTTCCAATTCTTATCGATCTTATACATATTTTCGTTTGTGAACGATGTATATATATAGAATAGTGAAAACAATTCAAAGAAACTTTGTTTTGCTTTGTAGAAATTCTCCTCATATTTTAAACAGGCCATATTTTGCTTTGCTAACACATTCTCTACTGCTTGCATTTTGAATTCTTATATAAAAGAAATAGAAATATACGACATTTTATATAGTTTTTTTTTATAAGAAAGAAGATAAAAAATAAATATAAGAACGAAAAAAACAAATCGATCTTCTGATCAATCAGTATATATACACCTTGGTTTCATATTCGAATATTAATCATTCTGTTTTTTTTTCTTCTCTTTGATCATAGACAAATAATCTCGAAGTGCCATGAACGACGATCCACGATACTGGTATGCGATTGACAGTCAAGTTAATGTTTCGTCAGAACGATTCAAACATGGCACATCAAGCCTAAAGTGGGAAGCCGGCTCAGGATCGTCACTGACGTATACGAACCCAGAAGCGTTTCGATCGATCAAATGGGCGAATAATAAATGTTTTGCGCTGTGGTTTTATTGCAATCAGGAAATCGAATTCGATGAAAACACTGCACTACAACCTATGGATATCGAATTTCTCACTGCTACAGATAGTACACCTGTAGCTCGCATTTGGTATCATATTAACTATTCCGGTTGGCGAGCATTGGGTTTACGTTATGCACTTCTACCACAGTTTAAGAATAATCTAACTCGAATTCATGGAATTCGCATATCTTTACCATCGAATATTCCCGATGGTGTCTACTTTTTGAATGGAATTAATTTTGATTATACGCATTCTACTGGACCACAAGCTGATTATCAGCAACCATGGACTAGTGACATCAGACGATTAGAAGACAATCCATCTACATGGTTGTTCAATCCAAAGAACATCTTTCATAATCGTCCATGGTTAGAAGAGCAACATCCGACTGTTTCGGATGATGATGTTAATAAAGTGAAAGATCGGTGGTTACGGAGTTTGCCCTATGCGACATGGTAGGAGAGAAATCTGATATTATATTAAAAGTATCCATTTGCATTATAGGGCACCAAGTGCAAAACCCGAATCTTTTAATAAACTACAAGAATTATCAGCAGTGTATGGAATTAAGCCTAATAATATTTCGAATGTTCCATTAGGTAAAGGTGCATTCTATTCACCAGAAAATGCACTAGATATTCAACCTTTCCTATTGGGCCCACTGCGACGAACAGCGACAACTTATCAATGCCATCGACACCAAAAAACGTTCGAAAGTGAAGAAGGTCAAAATGTTTGGAAGCTATTACTTCAATTGTGCGATTATCTCTTGGAGCAAGGTTGGTCAGAAGGAAATTTAAACCTTTCAGGACATCTAGATATCGGTAAGCGTAGCTGAATGGTGACTTTTCAAACCAAATGAATTGATATTTATATTCAGGATACGAAATTCGAAATTTCCCCATGTGCTTTGTTTATATTCGCGATCAATTGAATGAAGTTAATCGATTACAACCAATCATCACATCAGCTATATGGATTATGTATGGACATTTACTAACTGAAAAACAAACATCAATCATGAGTACAGATATCATTCATAATTATCTAACTAATGTGGTATGTGACATTCGAATAATATTGAAAGTAAAATGGATAAATATTTTCTACGTAGTCTCGATTGATTGTTTGTATACCTGAACCGAATGAACTTCTTCGACGACTTATCGCGTTTCGATATACCTTGATTTATTCATTTGAAAATCGAATCCATGAGCCACTGGCTTTAGGTAAGCAAAATGATGTCGTTGTTCGTAATCATCTTCAGTCTTTAGACGGAACTGTACATCATCATTGGATGTGCCATTTTGAATATACATCCTATTCATTACCTGATGTGTTGAATTTTGCATCGGACCTGAACGATACAGGACTCCACTTTCCGGATAATATTCGTCGCCTTCTTCGTCGTTGTGTGCATACCTTGAATTTCTGTTTGATTGAAAACAACACAATACCGCCAAATCTTGGTGCTCGTGCTGGTAAAATTTCTGTCTTGATATTCAATGAGGAAGGAGTAGAAGTTTTTATCTAGGAAAGACTGTTGCATGCAATGGAATTAATATGACGAAAAAATGTGTATGTATTTGCGATCAGGAATATGGTTACGATCCATTTGTCGCTGGAATGCTTGTGGATATGTGTCCAAAAAGTGATAAAAGTATCGCAACGTATTTGAAAGAGTGAGTAAACAGAGATTCCATATGTGTATATCGAGAAAATTTTGTTATTGTTGTTCAGTGGCGTCGATTCAGTTCCACTGATAGGTCATTTAACGCTCAATTCTACTGCTGCTTGTATTCATCGACGTGAAGATTTCTTTGCCTGCATTATTGGCATGGGTAAAAATCGACGTGGTTTGGAAATCTACGGTGAGAAACTTGCAGCCCCACAATAATTCCTAATATTTCTTGCATTCAGGTTGGTTATCGGATACAAATAACTATGGCAAATATGTTCGTAATTGTTCGATATTTATCGTTCCACCCGACGATCACGGTGCCGTGAAATATTCGAATACGGGTTGTGCATTTCCTGGCTGGAACTGGTCACACTGGTTTGTACAGCTCACGTCATTCATAACCACATTTATTTTAAATTCTAGGCCTGGTACAACCTGTCTTTTGAGACCGCGTTCAGAACTATTCGAAGGTTATTGTAATTTAACAGCCAAGAATTGGTTCGCTGGCGGAACATCGATAGCAGGTCGTGATGGCATGTTTAGTAATGATTTTTTCGTCTGGGACATTGCTTTGCGTCGGTCAGTTTATTGTTTTGATAATCGTATTACTGTTTTAACATCGAACATTAAATTATTACAACATGAAAAACGACCAGTTATAACAACACTGTTTCAATCGAACTTTTCGAATTTAGAAAAACTTGAACAAACACCATTTCGGTTGAATCATGACGAAGAAATGAGCGGTTTCCCTGAGGAAAGAGTCTTCGATAACCAGGAATTAAATTCCATAACTGATCATCGAAACTTGTGTTATTATTTACATCCGAAGGATAATTCCAAGCAAGCATATCGGATCACACTACGACGCAGCGAACAAGATATGATCTATTGCAATGCATACTATTTAATCGATGGTAAACAAAACCCGATTATTGACATGAAATCAAAAAAGTTCAAAGAACCAGTCTTTGAAGATAATGAAAAATACTTCAAAACAACGAAAGACAAATACGGTCTCGGGTATATTGAACATTTAAATGTCGAAGATAGCACCGCATCATTCGTTTACACAATTCTCATTGGAAATCATCCAACACAGGAATGGATGGATGAATTTTCGCGTTCAGGAGATGATCCTTGGTCATCGACCGACCTATCTGATTTACCTCCTTCAATTATTTTCTCAAAGGAAAATGATACCCATATCTTCTATGATCGAGATACAGATACCACTTGTTACACATGTTATTCCAAAGACCGTCTCAACGTTGATCTCGGTCTCGTACGATCATTTGGGCAGCCATGCACGGCAATGATACGTGGTCGTGGACCTGGTACGGTTCGAATAAGTATTGCAACGACGGATTTTATGCTCAATGAAACCTTGTGGATGGTATTGAAAGGTAAATGGAATAATCCGGAGTTGACCAGTGATGATGAAAATGGCTGTGTTCATGTCAGGTCTGAAGTTATGGAAGATGGTGATACGAAAATTACCGTTTGGCAACGAATCTACATGCCAGTTGAATTTCACATAACAGAAGAATCTGAATAAAAATCTCATCTATGTAGTTTTAGACTTATTTTTTACACACCTATTTTTATGCAATATTATTTTTTAATAAATATTCACAGTATTTTTCTTTGACAAATAAAACATCGAACAAATTTCTTTAGATTATGTATTTTCGTTCATCATTGAGAATTATCACACCAATTCGTTATTATCTGCAGTCATACGCAACTAGTCGATCGTATTTGATTTTGAATAATCCCTATCCCAATTGTCAGTTTTTATCTGCGTCTTCGCCTTTGCCGCAACCATGTCGAACATTTATGTTTTGGCGTGCGAATATCAACCGAGAATTGTACGGTTCACCGACAAAAGCATTAGCAACAAAGAAACGTCGACGTCTTCAAAAGTCGCTGACACAAATCATTCGCGAAGGTAAACTATGGCGTTTATTCAAAGACCTTATCGTTCCAGAGATCAGCAAATGGTGGAAAGAACTACAACCATGGGATCGAAGGTATCGTACGAAACAGCAGAGTAACGATGATCAAACATTTGTTTCTTTTCAATAGACATGAGTTTTTTCACAATGATTATCTTGTCATTCATGATTTTTCAAGTAATGATGAAATTAAAAAATGGACAGTCCGTACTGATCTTGATGAAGGAGTCGGTGAGTCAACGGCTGAACTTGTACCGAGTGGTCACGGTTCAATTCTTTTTCGTGGTAATATATCTTCCAAAATGGTCAATCAAAATACGCTATACAATAAAAGTGGCTTTGCTATCATGTTCTCTGAACGATTGGTGGGATCGTTTCTAATGCCAGCTCATCAGAAAGGCTGGACTTATTTCACTCATATTCTTCTACGCATTCGTGGCGACGGAAGATTTTACGAAATCCGATTTCATACACCAGACCAAGATCATCATCACTGGGTTTGTGAATAGCGAAGAGAATTTGTTCTTGACTTTCTTTCATTTAGTCTGATATGTATTCAATGGTGTTGTATACACGGGGTGGGCCATATTGGTCGACAGCGAAAATACCTTTTGCACAGTTTTTTCGTAACAATATGGGACGAATTAGTGACAAACAATATCCTTTTCAACCACTTTCATGTACACAACTGTCTATCGCAGTTTTGGATGCAGCAGATGGTCCGTTCGAACTCGAAATAGGTGAAATAAGCTTACTAAGAGATCTACGCTACAATTATGATAAGTTTGCCTATGAACAGTATACACTTCCTCCATACACAACTACTTAGTAAGTGTCAAGTTGAGTTAATTTAGATGAACATATCTTTCTCGTTTCGTCTAGTAATTGATCATTGATTAATTTGTGCAAGGCCGGAGGAAAAAATACAAGCAAGAAAAGGAAAGTGCTGATCGTTCAATCGTTACATTTATTTAAATCTATTTGTAATATTTGTCATCTGCTGAATAAACATATGTAGTTGCTGGTTTTCTCGACGTTGCTGTTTCGTAGACAATACGACGGTGGCTGTTCACGGCTGGACGAGATAATGGTGGTACAGCATAGATCGGTTCGGAATCGACTTTTTTTCTGACCATGACATATTTTGTTCCGGGTTTCTCCGGCTTAGTAACAACCTGAGTCGGCGCTGTTTGACGTTGTACTACCTGAACGTACTGAGATTGTTGTTCATCGTCACCATCACTTTCGACGGGTGATTCATTATTGATCTGCTTTCGGACAACGTATTTCTTTCGATGATGCTTCTTCGGACTATCCTCGAAAATTGTTTCTTGTTCGCCTGTTCGAGGATCAATAATAACTTTTCGTAATAACTTCGTTGGGTCACGATCCGTGTAGATCAATTCAGTCTTAGGTTTACTGAACGAATGGATGTTAGCTGGCTGTGCTATCAGACGACCGTCGGGAGTTTCGTAGTATACTGTTCGTAGTGGCTCATGCGAACGATGTTTAACTCGCCGATTTTCGTATGCTACCGGTGGAGGCGTAGGTGTTTGTACATTTCGAACGATTTTGATCACATTATCATCCTCATCAAGTATCACTGGTTCGCCGTTCGCTGTGTTACGGACCTTGATTTTACGCTAAAAAAAGTTTCTCTGTTAACATGCCGATGATAAACGAACAAATTAATACACATACGTCATTGGTTTCGACTACTCGTTGACGGCGATGATCCCGCTCTAATTCATCAGCTGTTATATACCTGATGTGTTGCTCATGAGCAGGTTTTTGTCGAACCACTTTTCTTGTCACTGTTGCTATTTGTGATTCGTTGTCATCATCTGTCTCGTATACATACTGAACTGGTTTCTTCGGCTTCCTATTTGGTACAAGTATATATTCCGCGCCACGACTTAAGCGTTCAGTCATATCCGAATGTAACAATCGAAAATATTTGTGCGATGATGTATATAATGATCCAAAGATAGATTGAGTTACTATGCAGCACGGGTTATATCTGCAGATTCGTAATTATGTGAAAACTATGAAGAGAGAAAAAGAGAGCACAACTAACAGAATGATGAAACTTCTTTTTTCCCTCTCTACATTAATTATTACACCCATTGTTGAATTAAAAAGATCGTATAAGATTTCATCAAACAAAAAATTTCTTATAATACTTTATTCATATTTAAATAAAATATATATAAATTAAAAACATGGTGTTTCGTCAGTCAAGTAGCTTTGTTTCCAATACAAAAAAGTTACATATAACATTCCTTTTGATCAAATCGAATAACTACACTTTAATTTAGTTTTGTATACAGATCGTTCTTGGGTAACTATATCGACCGTCCTCCTGACAAGTGATCTCTTTGAATAATGGTGTGTAACCATCACGACACAATGGTTCTAATTGACATGTTGGCAATGTATAATATTTCAATATAAGATCAGTGTCTTGAGATATCGACTGTTTGAACACACAAGGCTTTTGTTCGGAGAGCAGACGAAAGCCAACGGAATGTTCATCTTGCTGTGGATATCCATCACAAGTAACTAGAACGATGAAGAAGATATCAGCGCTTTTCTTGAAAGGATTTTCTCGGGTTTATGTTATTCTTTGTTGTGCTGTATCCAATGTTAACTGAAAAAAGTCGTTGGTAAGACGAATGAGGATCACCTATCTTCAAATCGATTTCATTTCTATTTCTATAATAGTAAATTGAACTCAGGTAAATGTACAGATTGGACAAAACTACGACGTTTTGGTTATAAATCAGAACTAAAAGAGTGCATTAAATTACCGTACAGGTCAAAACGAACTTCGAATGGCAAGGACAAAGTCAGACATAACAAGAAATCGAATAAGAAAACAAAACAACGCAATGCTGCGCAATAGCTCGAAACTGACGAAACGTACTCAAAATGCACTTTCATATACTAATCGAATAACAACGATCGTAACATACCAGGGCAATTAGTCCACATATTGTTTCGATCAAAACTAGAATTACACAAAAAAACAATGTAATATATTTTGCTTTAAATATGAACAAAATCGGTTTACCTAGCAGTTGTAGAGCACCATCGGGCTGATTGTGGCCCGCTGACACAATCAGAGTATGTGATACCGTTGTAAACGAATGGGAAATAGCATGAAGTATAATCTATACAATTCGAAATCAAAGTAGAAAGAAGAAAACGAATTCTATACCTAAACAGTAGCCCCATAGACCATGCTGATCGAGATTGGGTGTTGTCGAGCAAAATAATGCAAATGATGTCGTTGTGCCTATTGTTACTGTACGATAAATACATGTAGAAAACGATGAGCCTTGGTATATAAACGGAAAGTAGCAATCATTGCCATTGCCAGTACCACCGGTAGTTTTCACTCGTGATGCTAAATGAGATGTTTTTCTGGTGGATTTGTGTTTCGACAGACTTACCTCGGCAATACTTCCATTTTCGATCTTGATCGAAGTTTGCTGTTAGAGAACACCAACTATCATTGAACACATCGCTGATGCACTTTTCATACCATTGGCCCAAATAGAGAAACGGAAAGACACACTCGTTGGGAGCTAATTATTTATGGATTACATGACAAAACGTGATCATCGGAAAAGAAATGCATGATTTTCAATACCTGAAGTGTTCGTCAGATTCAAGTTTAATTGTGTTGTGAATGAAGTATTCGAAATTGCATTTCGAGTTGTTAAAGTTAGATTTGACATAGTTGAGCCAGATAATGTCAGTAATTGCGAAAGAATAGTTGTACTATCTTTTGATAATGTCGATGTTGGCATCGATCGAGAAGTACTAGTGTCTGAGCCATTGAATGATCCAGATAAAGAAGCTGTGGTTTGAGTTGTTAGCGAAGATTGCGCAGTTGAAGTCAATGTTGATGATATTATGTTATTTGATGTACTCTGTACACTGTTAGGAAACAACGAAGATGTGCTTACGATAGTGTTTGTAGCCGGCGTGGCTGTGAATGACGCTTGAACAGAAAATAGGTTCACTGTGATTGGCGTAGAGACTGTTTGACTTATATAATTATTCGTACTAGAGGGTGTATTTATCGTATTTTGCGCAGTACTGATTGCATTTGAAATGAATGAAGGTACGGTGCTCGTTGGGACATTACGGATAGCTGTTAAAATGTCCGAGTGAGTATTATCGAGAGTTGATGTAGCAATCGGAATCACTGGTGTGGAGAGCATCGCCGCACGAGTTGTTTGACTTGGGTTCGAATTTGTCATGGTGGCAGCCGTTGCTAGCGGGCTAGATGTTGGAGGAAGAGACGATCTATCAGTGTTTGCATTTGTATTCACTGATGTTAGAGGGCTATGATCGTCAGCAGCAGAATTTGCAATGGAAAACGAAAATATCGTGGAAAGGATGCGAGAGTTGGAAATTGTACTGTGTCCAGTCATTGCCTGATCAGCGATAGTTGAATATTGAACTAGAGTAGAGGACGTCGTTGAGAAAGGCATGATATTTTCTGTTATTGTTCCAACGTGATTATTATCAGAAGTATACTGTTTATTACTGGAAGTAAATGTCGACTGCGATCGTGATGATGAAGTAAGTTTTTCGAGAAATATTGACGTTGAAATATCACCAATACCTGTCACATGTGTCGTCAAATCAGAACCGTGAGTTGGAAAGGCAACTGTGATAGTTGTTTTTAATGGAGTACCAGACGCAGATGACTGTATGATCGCATCCGCCTTAGTAGTCTGACCATTCATACTAGTAGGTGATGCTGATGACGTCCTGTCATGTGTTTTTTCTGCTGTCGACGATGGTGTACTAGTCGCTCGATTATCTACATGACTGGATGATGACAGAATTGATTGCAATGTGTTTTCTGTCGGTTGAACTGTAGAAGATGGAATTCTGGTAGCATCGGGAATGGAATGACTATCGGTTGGTGCATTACCAGTAAAAACCGATTGCGTTTGATTTAGCGGTATCGAGGAGAATAGTGTCGGTACTGTACTGTTTACAGTTTGCACCGTTGTATTAAGTAGTAAGTGAGTGGGAGTCGGATTGTTTGACGAATCATTTCTTGTGTTTATCACTGAAAAAGGAACGCTTTGGCTCATATGAGTCGGAGAGAATGTTGTCGAAATGTTCTCATCACCCTGGTGAGCTGTTGCACCCGAAGAAGACGGTGAAACTGTATGGGTATTATGTGTATTATTGGACGTTGACAGTATACTTGGATTTTGAGTTTGTTGATGTGTCAAAAATGGTGCTCCAGTTGTGGACGATCCTGTCGAGTTAATTAGCATTTGTGTGCTATTCAAAGACGAAGGTAATGATATCGTTGTCTGGATATGAGCTGTAGTTTGATTGATAATAGTCGGATGTTGTGTTGAAAACGAACTTGGCGAGCCATCTGTTGCCATGGTAGTAGTCTTTGTAGGAACTAGTGAAGTTTGATTGAAAATAGCGCCATCCCGTGTTGGCGACATGGTGCTCAAATACGTTGCTGTTGCATTGAATGGAGTAGTTCCTTGTGTACTGTTGTTGATGGTTGGCGAACTTTGACCTGAAACGTTTAAAACATGACTGTTCGAAGTTGGCTGATCTGTATAGTTCGGTATTCTTGTCGCGTGTGTCGTATGCATTGTTAGAATTGAAGTATTAGCTTGTGCAGTACCTGACGATGCAGTATTTGTTGTTGGCTGATGTGTAATCGATGACGCTCTTGTTGATGAAGCATCCGAAGCAGCGGTTCCTTGAGTAATATTGGCAAGTGTTGCCGAACTCGGGTTTGAATTATTCGATGAGTGGTTTGTATTGGCCGGTACTCCTGTTACAAGTAATGTTGAATGATCAGTCGTTTGTGTTACGCTTGTTGCTAAAGGTAGACTCTGATTTGAAGAGTTTGATTGCAACACACCTGACGGAATAGTATATGATGTATGTGTTTCTGTCGCGGATGACGCTTTCGTTGATGTATAATCAAGAGAAACATTACTGTGCGGTGTAATAGTAAGTGAAGAGAAGTTCTGGTTTGAATTGTTTAATGATTGGGTGGTAAATAGTAAGCTACTGTTTGTTTGCTGACTTATATTAGCCGGTAGTCGAGTTGTAACGAACGTTAAGTGGTCCGCAGTTACTGTCGTGTTTAATTGTGTAGATACGCTTTGGTTTGAATTATTGACTTGTGCAGTACCAGACGAAACAGTATTTAATATTGGACTTTGTGTAACGGATGATGGTCTCGTCGCAGAAATTTCAATAATGACAGTTTCGTGCGTGGTGTTAGCAGATATCGACGAATTCGAAATGGAATTGTTTAGTGGTTGACTATTCGCAGTCGCCTGATTGGTGTTAGCTGCCACCCCAGTTACGTATGAGATTGAATGATCAGTCGTGAAGGTTGTGTTTGTTTGTAGAGTTACGCTCTGATTTGAATTATTGATATGTGATACACCTGACGGCACAGTACTCAATATTGGTCCTTGCGTAACGGATGCCAGTTTTGTTGAGGATATGTCAACAGTAGCACCTCCTTGGGTGATGTTAATAGGTAATGGCGAACTCTGAATTGAATTGTTCACTGATTGATTATTCCCAGTGGGTTGATTCGTATTAACCGATGCTCGAGTTACGAGCAAGGTTGAATGATCAGTTGTCAAGGTCGTGTTTACCTGTGCAGATATACTCTGATTTGAGTTGTTGGGCTGTGATGTACTTGGTGGTATGGTATTATGTGGTACTTGTTGCGTAGCCGATGGTAATCTCGTGGTGGAGATCTCAATGGTAGCGCCTCCGTGGGTAGTGCTGACAGGTATTAATGAACTTTGATTTGAATTGTTTGATGGCTCGTTATTGACAGTTGGCTGATTTGTGTAAACTGGCGTCCGAGTTTCGAGTAACGTTGAATAAATCGTTGCCTGGGCTGTATTTATTTCTATAGATACATTTGGATTTGAAATATTGAAGGATGATGTACCTGAAGATCCAGTATTTAGTATTGGAGTTTGTGTGACGAATGGCGACTTCATTGCAGAGACATCATTGGTGACTACTTCTTGTGCAGTTTTAGTAGGCAATAACGGACTTTGCGTTGAACTATTCAGTGATCGATTATTCACTAGCTGTTGAGTTGTATGATCCGGTGCTCGTGTTGAGAATGTATTAGAAATATCAGCTGGGTGAGTTGTGTTAATCGACAAAGACACACTCTGATTCGAGACATTTGGTGAGACTGTATTAAATATTGACGCCTGCGTAGCAGACGGCAATCTTGTCGCTGAAATATCAATAGTAACACCTCCTTGGATAGTATTTGCAGTTGTTGACGAATTCTGAGCTGAGCTGTTCAGTGACTGATTATTTTGAGATGGTTGATTTGTATAAGTTGGTAATGTTACACTCTGATTCGAAACGTTTGGTAGTAATAAGCCTGATGATACTGAATTAAGGACCGATGCTTGCGTACTAAATGGTGATCTGCTTCCGGATATATCAATAGTAATACTCCCTTGTGTAGTATTAGCAGTTATTGATGAATTTTGAGCTGAATTGTTCAATGACTGATTATTTAGAGATGGTTGATTTGTAATAGTAGGTACTCGTGTCGTGAACGAAACTGAAGAGCCGGCTGCCTGTGTTGTATTTGTTACCGGTGATAGAGTCTGATTTGAATAATTTAGTTGCGATGTACTTGATGATGCATTATTAAGTATTGGTCCTGGTGTGACAGTTGATAATCTGGTTGCAGAAGCATCAATAGTAACACTTCCTTGGGTAGCGTTCGTAGGTGTTGACGAATTTGGAGTCGAGTTGTTCAACGATTGATTATTCGCTATTGAGGCATTTGTATTGTCTGGTGTCCGAGTTGCGAGTACAGTAGGAGTGGGAGTGAATTGAGTCGCATTCGAACTGTTCGTTTGCGAAACAGGTACAGACACTGTGTTAAGTACTGGTTGCTGCGTAACATTTGATAATCTTGTTGAAGAAACATCAAGGGAAGTATTTCCTTGAGTATGGTTTGATAGCGATAAATTTTGATTCGCAATATTGGATTGAGAGGCAGTTGAGAAAGCAGGAGTAATCGTAATTGGTACTGTGGTGTTAGATAATCTTGTTGCTAATGAGTCCAATGGAGCAGATGCTTGTGTACTATTTATGGAAAGAGGTAAAGTTTGATTTGCAAGATTAGACGAACGAGTCGTTGAAGTCAAACTGCCACTCGTCCTTTGATTTGTGTCAGGAGTGGATTGCGTAGTATTTATTGAACTGGATACATTCAGATTTGAACTGTTCACTGGCGGAAGTGTGCTACTTAGTTGAGGATTTGTTATATTCGATGCGTTCACTGTCTGAGACGTATTGAGAAGTAATGGTACACTCTGATTAACAGTAGTCAGCACGTTTTGCGTTGGAAGAAATATATCACCAGATACTTGATTGGCATTAGGAGTAGATCTTGTTGATGTTGTATTGGATTGCATACTTGAATATGCATTACTACCATTCAATGGTGTGCTTTGATTCGATAATGATGATGGCGATAATGTTGAAGTCAACGTGCTGTTTAGAGGTTGTGCAGTTGCTGACGAGTTAGATGGCACTCTAATCTGAGTAGTATTCAATGAGATCAATACAGTGTCATTTGAATACGCCAATGTAGATGATACTGTAGGAACAATATTGACCGTTTGTTGTCCTGTCCTCGTAGATAAATCAGAAATGATAGTGGTAGTCGACGTAGTTGATGTGCGATTGAGAGTGTCATTGGAAGATGATCTAGTCGTTGACGTTACTGGACTCACGGATACGTTTGTGTTATCATTTGATGACGTAAGATTTTGTGCTGGGAAATTTGGTAGTACTGTCGGCGCTATAACGTTCTCACCCGTATTATTTCTTGCCAATGATAAACTTTGATTTGAAATATTTACCGATGATGTTATTTGTAACGAACTAATATTATTCGGCTGAGTAGCAACCGGAGGCGCAATCGTTACATTAGTGCTTGACGACACATTGGTGTTCGTTCCATTACCGGTAGTACTGCCAAATAGAGTCGTACCGAGTAACAAAGTTGATGATTTTGTTGCTGCAGTAGTAGTAGTAGTAGTAGCTGTTGTTGTTGTTGTATTTATAGAATTATTGTTATTTACGAAGCTGATACTACTACTATTGGATAGTAACATTGTAGTGGTAGTCGTGGTAGTTCTATCCGTAGTGTTCGATACAGAATTATCGTTTGCAAACTGTACTGTAGTTGTAGTATTTCGAACAGGTATGGTAGTGGTAATAGTAGCAGTAGTAGTGATATTGTTAATGGTAGACGAATTTGATGGATTCAATGTAGTTGTGTTTGAACCTATTCCTGTACTATTGTTTATCGTCAGTATAGGTTTAATAGTTGTTGTTGTATTTTGCTGCGAATTAGATGTAACTGGAATCGATATATTTAATGAAGTATCGGTATTGTTTTGGATTGATAATGTATTGTTTCTATTCGTGGTGGAGTTAAGAAACGGTTGATCATCATTGTTATTAATGTTTACAGTATATACCGATGTTTTTGTAGGTACATCCACTTCAATCTCAACGGACCTATTTACAGATGCAACACTACCGTTAGTTGTTCTGGCTACAGTAGTTGTGGTTTCAACCGTTGTTGTTGTTGTTGTTGTTGTTGTAGAACTACTCGGTGATACTGTCGCATTAAATACGTCAGAGTGCGTTGTTGTTGTTGAATCGAGCGCAACATGAGGGGTTGTAGTGGAATCAGCAGTAATTGTTGTACTTTTAGATGGAGATAATATGGTATCATCATGATCAACACTTTCTACTAAATGAGTGGTTGAAATGATTGGATCATTGACATGTTCACTATTTAATACGACATGAGCCTGATCTTCATCATTTGCTGGTTCTCCTTTGATGGTCAACTGAATTGTAAGAATAAACACGAAGAAAATGGATCTCTGATTTCGACTGAACTTCATCTTATTCAATGGTACAAATGTATGTCTATAAGAAAAACGACAAGACGACGACTTTCTTGTTTATAATGAATCATTACCTTCTGTAAGTGATTTATATTTAATTTCCATACATTTCTTTCGTTTTACACAATATTTTCTTCGATAACATCGATCAGAAGTGAATAGAAATCATCGAATTAAATAACAACAACAAGAAATGATTTTCACATTAGCAATCGCATTCCTATTAAATCTAAATGTATCGATATATTATAGAGGTGGATTTACGCAGGCGAATATACTTTCAGTCGGTATATTGTTACTTGATAGAAACAAATCGATTTTCAAGGATTGTTGTAAAGAATAATGGTGACACTTCTGAGTATATGCACGCAACACATAATTTGATATCGAAGTCTTTTTCTATTATTGTACGTAGGGCTTTTTTTTTTAAATATCTCATTAAAATATTCTTCAAAATGAAGGTTAACAATGAGAATAGATGTTATTTACACTGATTCAACAAATTTTCTTTATTCATAAATAAAATCAAAAACCAAACAAATCAATACTGTTCACAGAAATGACAAAAAAGCTTCGTATGCATTTGATTTCAATTCGGTATCAGATCGGGTATATTCAAAACATGATAATACAGTGTTGATTGCGGTTGAAAATCGTATTGTTGATAATATTCAGAATGAATTTCGGCAGTTACATCTGTTGAACAAGTTGTAGCCGATGTATCGACCGAGTCCAAATAGATACCCGTGTGATTGTATGAAACTGTTTCATAAGAGCGACTGCTGCATGTTGACAGATCACTCATTGAGTTGAGATTGACTGCAAACTGTGATGACATTTTGGGTTTTACGTTCACTATTTCGTGTTTTCGTTTACGAGATGAGAATAATAACCAAATTAATGTAATAATCAGAAGTAGAATCGCTACGATCACAATAGCCGTTGCAAGAAAGATCAAGCGCGAATTCATTGTCGTCTCTTGATATTGCTGTCGAATTGACGAACAAGTCAGTTGAGAGATGACTTTCATATCGATAAAGTCTTTTGGTGGCATAGGTGGAGGTGGAAGATTGAAACGTGGTGGTGGTGGAAGTTGAACCATGTTCGATAATATCCAATGCACACAATCATATTCTATTTATAGTCAACGTATCAAGCTGGCGAGTGTGATCTATTCATAAATATATTTCTCACTAATTTGATTCGCTCACCTATCAATATGAACAAATCTATCAATTATATAATTTGATGTAAATGACAGCTGGAGAGAACAATCTCTCACATTGACACAAATCTCGATGATTGACTATGAGAATGAAAGTTTTGACGGAGATTCCAGCGGAAGTTCATGGTCTTTGTTCTTCGAATGATGTTTCTTTGTCAGAATGTTATTTGATTCCATTGTCCTTCGCGTTTATCTCGCTTTTTTCTCTTCGATTGTTATACATCAAGGTAAATATGCGTTCATGTAAGTCATTTGTTATTACGTTTACAAGAACTTGACTTGTGCATAAAAATAGTAAGAATTAATTGCTTGAATGTGTCGTTGTCAACAAGTTTCTTCTTAATTTACCTGAGAAATTAACTTGAGATTCCATTTATTCAACAATCAATCAATCACTCGACAGAGATGTTTTTTTGCTAATATTTTTCTTAGGATTGTACACAATATCCGAGGGAAAAATGAAAATTTTCTCTTGGACATCCCGATACGTGTATAAAAATCGGATCAGCAGCACTTGAGGATAGAGAAGCAAAGAACAGAAGAAGCGAAACAAACGAATTTACGAACGACACACGCCAGCGTATCGACGGAGATGTTTGACTTTGAGTGAGATGAGAGAATAAAAAGTTTTTTTTCTCCTCTGTCTCTCTTCAATTGTTCGAAGAAAAAATACATACGTATGCATTGCCTTATTGCCATTCCTGCTTGTCTTTTTATAAAAAATAATCATTACACAAAGGTGCCAACTACTACATCGAACTGACTGAGTTCTATTTCGTTGTGCTCCATTTTCACGTCACTTATGCTTCGACTGATGCTCGCTTCATCCCAATCAATCAATTTCATTCATTAATTAGCATTACTCAAATATGCCGAACAATTGTTCAACCATCATCAAGCGTAAGAAAGATATGCTCAATCATATCTTACGAAGCAACAGCGATGGTAAACTTCAAGATGGTAAGTCGTGAAACTAGTCTAGTGCTGGAAATCGTTAGAAGACACGTATTCATCTTTATGATTTAACAACTAAGTTACCTTGTACATCAAGGTATATGACCATTAATTTCTCTGCTTCTTTCATATGATAATATTATGACAACAAACAAAGCAGTGAACTTTTTCAATTGAACCAACTTAATAAAATAAACTGGATTGATTGAAAGAAAATCACTTGGAAACAAAGATTATTATTGCGATTAGATGAGTAGTTTAAAGGAGGAGAAGAAGAAGAGAATTAGAAAAAAGAAAGAAGTGGAATCCGTAGAATTACATATATTACACCTACCTTCATGAAATTCTATTATTGTACAAACACATATGCCTGTCGGATGTGTTAGTTATGTTATTCTCTCATTCGAAATAAAAACTAAATATAGGATAAAAAAATCCATCGAATTTTCAAAGAAAACAATAATAATACTTTGAACTGACGGGATGTAATTTTATCGATTACGAGGGATTTCTTTGTACTCGTTAGTTTTAGTTCAAGAACAAAATCACAAGTTCGCTTTTCTATTTATTAAGATATAATTGAAACAACAGCTGAATTACGTATCTCCGGTGCGCGTAAAACTTCGGCGCACGCGTCTCCAGCAACACCTTATCGATCGAATTTCTTTCCAAACAATCGTGTACAGCCAACGCCGACTGATCCATATGATACACATCTACCAACAATACGATACACGAAAGGAAATGTCGATCGGCATCATCCATCACACGATGAATACCATTCTCGTTCACGGTCTAAAACTCCTTTAGTTAGTGCTAGTCCGAAAAGTAGTGGCTGTACGCCATCTGCATCGATTTCATCGATATTCAATGCATTTGGTAAACGTTCGACGGAAAATTTAATGAGTTCGCATGGAGAGTTAGAGGAGATTAATTCTGCAAGTCCAACACCACTGGGTCGTCGATCGCAACGCACAAGTAAAAGAAATGGAATCAATCAGAATATGATCTTGTCGCAAAGGCAGCTAACGGATAGTGGAGTAGATTTTCGTTTCTCCAGTAGTTCGGGTGATACAAATCAACATTCGAATCCGCGACCTTTGAAAACATCATCGAAGCTTCGAATCACTCCAGCACACACACAAATGGATTCTTCTCGTGGACCAGAATTACTCACTAGAGAACGGACGAATCATGGTATACTTCATATCGTTCTTTTTCAGAAAAACTGAACACGACTGAGTTCTCATTTAGGTCAATTGTATCAACGTCGTACTAATAATACTATCAAAACTCCAATGAAACAAAAGATTGACAAATATCGTCGCCGTTCTGAAGAAGTTATTCAAGCCGCATATGGACATCTGTCGACTAATTCATCGCCTAACAATGCTCCATACACTCGTCCAAAACCGCCACCACCAACACCGACGAAATCTCATCGTGTAGCATCAAATGCTGATATCGAAGCTCATCTGAAGACACTCCGCTTGTCAATAAATCCAAATCTACCTCAAACGATCGAACCATCTCATAATTTATCACACCCGTATCCAAGTCATCGCATTAAATCTCCATATCTATATCCTCCACAGCAACAACTCGTCTCAGCTATACTACCAACATCCAGTCCTCCGACACCGCTAGTTCGTATTCGTCGAAGTCAAGCAGCAAACCCACCAACAGCTGCAGCTAGCTCGTCTCAGCATCAGCATCAGCATCACCATCACAATTCGCTTAACCAATCAACAACTTACACTCCAGGAAATCTCTATTTAGCATTTATAGCATCACGTCATATGTCCACGGTAGAAGGTCATTCATTAGAATCCGATCCTGAGCAACAAAAACTCATGCGTATACTTGATTGGATTGAGAAAGTTGAAGAGCATCGTCATCAGCAATCTGATCACGACAAATTAATCATCGAACAAAACAGACGTATGGAAACTCAAGAAGACGATCTATCTCTATACTCTGAACTTCAATTTGCCGTCGACGATATACCAGCTAATACAAGCGGACAACCATGCGAGAGAATAGTGATCCTAGATTTTGATAAATAACAGAGCAGGACTAGAAATGACCGAAGTCATCTGTGATAGAAATGCTCTTTCTAACCAGTACCATTGTATATTTGTTGCCATTTTGAGCGACTTTAGCTTCGACAATCATTTATAATTATTTTTTGTTTGTGATGAGAAAAGAGCAAAGTTTTTTTTTGAAACTATTTTAAAAATACACACATCAGTTCCGTTTCTATGTGGGTTTCAGACTTTTATTTCATTCTTGATATCCTTCAAAATGTATAACTAAATAATGTCGCCTGTCTATGACACTCTAAAAGCAAAGAAATAGTATGCACGTTTTCACCAATAGTATCATTCCATCGCTTGAGCTGTTTTCCATGATATTCGCGATGTGATTCTCGCCCACCAGTCCTTCACATGAGGTCGACATTCGAACAGGTCGCCTTCACCGATTTTGACAAGCCACGTTCCATAAGGCAAATGAAATAAGTCTGCCAAAGTGAATTTCTAGAATTCGATTGGAGGTTCAGCAATTGAAATAAACAAAAAACAACTCTTACTTCACCAGCTAAATAGGGTTGCTGTGATAAAATCTTCTCGTAAACATCGAGACTTTTATTCAGTTCTGCTTTATGCGACGCAACTTTTGCTTCGTCAGCTTCACCTTGTCCTTTCATTCTGCAATTAGGCGAATGCATCCGGTTCTGTGTTGAAAAATCTGTCTTACTTTTTGAAAACTCGTTCCGCGACGATACCACTGGCATACGGATCAAAATAAGAAATTTCCGTCGATGCAGCTTGTTCAAATAAACCTTGAGCTTTCGGATCTTTTGTTGGAATCAACTCCGTACCCTTGCCTTTATATTTCATTTCGAGATATCGGCAAATAGCGCGTGATTCTATGCAGTATATCAAAACTAAAATAGGACCGTATCTGTCCGCAAACAAACTTACCATAAACTTTAAAACCATTTTCGTCGATCAATACTGGAATAACACCAAATGGGTGCTTATCTTGCAAATACTTTGGCGTCTATGAAAAGCATTAGAGGTCAATTTGAAAAACTCTCATTCGAGCTGTTGTACCTTGTGTTCACCACCAGAAAAGTCTATTGACTGCAGTGTAAAGCTCAGTCCTTTTTCAGTTAGTGTAGCTATAACGCGCTGGGTGCATGTCGATTGAGCAATCCCATACAAAGTGATCGGAGACTTTTTTGCCATTTAGATGTTCCAACGATGATCTGAAATACGATGGTTATAACACTGACGCTTTTTTTTTAGATTTATATCAGAGTCGCAGGAGAAAATTTCTCGTCGCAAGAAACCATAAAAACAAGAGAGGAAAAAAGAAAATGAAAGAAGGCAAATTGCATGTTGTCTACCAGCGCTCTATCTTCTTTTCTATGTGACGTTCTACTCGTGACTTACCGTTGTTATGGTGATACGTTCTTTTACACACTTTCATTGTATCCTGTACACAAATCGAATAGAATTTCATTTTTATTTAAATAAAAGAATAAAACATGAAGATCTTTCACATATTTTCGTTTTCAACGACTAGATGTATTGAATTGTGTGTAAAAGGCGGCAGTCGGTACTGAACGGTACAAATTCGTATTCAAATAGTCTTGATATGCACGCTGTTTTGTCGAAAGATGTTGATTCTCATCATCCAGATGTCGACGGGATTGGCGATGGTCATCTTTCACTTTTTGTTCAGTAATTATCTCTTGTTTAGCAATTGCATTTGCATATTTCCCCCAAATTTCATCGAAATTCTTCTGCGTATGATCAAGTTTCTGAAAACAAAGAAATTGAATTGAAAACAGAAAGTAGAGTACGTACTCGACGTTCTGCAATTTGTGTTAATTGTTGGTGGCGAATGTCATCTAATTGATCTTTGGTCATTCCTTTCCATCGGTCAACAATGATACGACCACGAGCATCAAGTACATCTTTGATATTCTCAGTTAACATATCACTAAACACTGTAGTACCCAACTCAGCTAATTGCTCTTCTGTTTGTTGGCATTTCTGTTCATTGTGTCGGATTTTTGTTTCGTTTGCCTAGTAAAAAAAGATTTCTCGAATATCTCTTCTAGGAAAATCTGCTCAACAGTACGAGTATCTCATTATAATTTCGTGTAGCTAATTGCATTGCTCGATGACATTCATTTTCGATCTGTTCAAACATATTACCACGTTCAGATAATTCTATCTGTTTACAATCATATAAATGATTTGCTAGACGTTCCCGTTCGACTTTTCGTATTTTAGCCATTATCTTGCAAAGATTCTAACAATTAGTCACTGATCATCTAACTTGGATTCAAATGTTACTTGTACATCAAAATCATTCTTTAATTGTTCTTGTTGAGCTTTCTTTCGTGCTGACTGTTGAAGATCTTCTCCAGTAAATATTTGAGCTGACGATGGACCTAATCGAGCATCGTCATCCTTAACACGCGTTGGTGTTGAATACTTCCATTGGTTCGGATCGTTCAGATCCCATTCCCTAGCATCTTCCGGCCGTTGATGCATACGACGATAATCGTTTAATTCTTGTGCATATTGACGTTGTTGAGAAAGTTCATCTTGTTCGAGAGAGATCAATTTGAAATCATTTCGTATCATTTCACAATCTGAATATCACAAAAAACATTTCGTAGGAGAAAAATGATGTCAATTTACCAAATGCATCATTTCGTTGCCGTTCGAATAGCTTCAAACGTTCTCGCTCGTGAATCTGTTCATCCAGTGCTACTCTATCAACCTAAAGGTTTCCGATCAGAAAACAACTTGAACTCAGATAGGAACACTCACACCGATAGTTCGATATTTCACATTAAAAATGCGTGATAAACGTTCCTTCTCTTGACGACGACGTCGTTCCACAGCAGCTTGTTCTCGAATATCAATCGGTAGATTCTGAAGAAACATTGTCTCAAGTTGATTTACATCATCACGGTTCCACCTTAGACTCTTTTTTATTCAATTATACAAATTTCGCGCATTGTCGTCATTAGTGCATTTGTCAAGGTTAATTATTTCGTCTTATCTGTCAAGAAAAAAAAGCGATCCTTCTCAAGGAACCAAATGAACTCTTCTTGCTGTCAATTGACATCGGTATGAAGTGGATTGGTCGAGTGTTCTTAAACATAACAGCGTGAGACATTTTTCTACTTGGCAGTGATATAATTGCGAATTTCATCTTCATTGAAGGACTTTTAGCATTTGAATATCCATTTGAAAAACACTACTGAATACAATCACTCATTGTTAAGCAGATTTTTTCGAAGTAATTAACACCAAGCAAGAGAAAAGAAATCTGCTAAAATGAATTTCAATGAACTTCTCTCTTTCATATATGTATGGTTAATGTTGTTTCTTTCACGGTTTGATCATCTCAGCATGAAGACAAGAAAAGGGAAAAATCAATGAATTCGAGCATTGTGATGTAAAACAAGAAAATCATTTCATTGTAACATCGTCTGTTTGATCAGCTATCAATATTAAAACGACACATTCATAAGATGTGAACATCAATGTATGACAGTTTGTCTTTTATCTCAAACGAATGGTCATCTAGTTAAATGCTTTTTCTTTTAAAATCATTTGTCAGACTGATGAATGAAGAACATTAGTAATGAGATATATAAAGCAGTCAACTCGAGACGACATGTCAGGAAATTGGAATGGAGAGATACTCGATATGGATGAAGGAAAAAGAAAATCGATCAATTGTGCTCATTCCTTTTTTGCTGACTGACCAAAGAAGAATATATAAAAGGCTTCTGGTTTTCACTAATGAAGAGTACGATATTGTTTGTAGTCTAGAAACACGTGCATGCCTGTTCACAATGATTATTATAATCA